GAGAGTGGAGCTTTCAAAAGCCAGTCTTGCCCCTCACAGCTGACATGATCTTGATTTTATCTTGAATGGTAAAACATCTGAGGATTACATCACAAACCGTTGTAGGCTTGAGTGGTGTGGTGCAAGGTGGTGGCTAAAAGTCGCCGGATATAATATGGCAGTTCTTCTGCCACAATTATGGCTGGGATACCCCGGATCTTAATGTGTGCTCGTAGCTGATGGTCGTCCCACTGCTCAAGCTTTTGCGTAAAAGTCTGTTGGATAGTCTGGATTTGCTGCACAGATTCATCCAACTTAGACAGGCGGGTCTGCACTTCCACCCTTTCATCCTCTGCGGCTCTCACTCGTTCCGTTACCGCCCGCACCTCCGCCTTTATGAGGGCGGAATCAGCGGCCAGCAGTTTGTGTTTATCTGCCGACAAGACCTTCAGGTCCCACTTCATAGTTGGGGCTGAGTCGTCCGAGGATTCCTGCGGTATAGGCTGTGGAGCCTCCTGCTCCTGATATCCCAGGGTCGGATAAGGTTTCTCTACCTGCAGGACTTCTGCGGGTGCCGGCCTGTTTGGAGTATGCCTCTTAGGCATTACTCCGATGTCCCTGCTCTCGGTTGTGGTGTGGGGTTTTTGAGAGCGTTGGCTCATTTTTGGTATGCAAGCTGATGGGGGAGTCGGTGTAGAGGTGAATTCAGGTTCGACCCAACTTGCGGCAGCTTCTTCCAGGAAACTTCCCAAGTCCGAGAACGGCAGTATGAAGTAGGCCCGAGGCCTGCGTCTCCGTTGTGGTAGTCTCTGGGAGATAAAAAAAAAAAAAGGCATTAGTTGATGCATTTCATCCTGCTGGATCAGGGTATGTGGGATTTGAAGCTGGATTAGGCTCAGTCTGGCTGATATTAGTTGGATTGGGAGGTTTTGCTGAGGAGCAGGCAAAAATGTCAACCTGTCTGTTTGGCTAATAGGCTCCGCCCTCCGTGGTAACACTTTTTTGTCACCCTAGCTATGCATATCTGTTGATTACAGGTATAGTCCACTTTTAAGTACACAATGGGACCAGAGCATGTATGTAAAACAAAAATGTACCTAAAGTGTAGAAATACCTTTTTTCACTTCCCAGTGCATGTACTGCATTACAACAGTAATTGACAGGCATAACTGATACTGCAACTGCAGCTCTCCAGTGATTTTATTTCTAGTGGCCTTTTGTTCAGTTAAAACAGTCAGAAGAAAAATCTCATTCCAGATTGTACGATTTATCTTTAATGTTTTATTCATCTGACAACCTTAAACTGGGAGGAAAAGTAAAATGAACCTGCCCACTGGGCCTTTTTCTGCCAATACAGTGCCAATTTGTATTTGTTAGCAGCTTAGTTGCACACTTTGTTTAGAAACACCTCTACATCACTTTAAGCATTTACGGTTTAACTTTGAATCCTCAGAATTATGGCTAATGCAGCTAAGTCATAGTTATAGAAAATGGCAGGGTAAACCCTTTCACCAGATGGCACCGATTGCAGAATATGGACAATGTAGGGGCAGAAAAAAAATATATATATATGTTCAGCTAGGAGTAGACATTATTAATTTGAGATGATTAACCTGCGCCATGTCAGAAGGTGTGAAAAGTTCTTGCCCCAAAGACACTGAACTGAGCTGCTCCGGGCGAGAATAGACCCTTCCATTTCGTAATTACTTGCCGACAGAAGAGGCGCGGGAATGTCTGTACTCGCGAGGCACCTTTATGAACACTCACGAGTGTTCTTAAAGTGAGTGTATGTAAAGCGGGGTATGCCTGTATATAATACTATTAGCTATCTCCATGTCTAGCACTTTCACTCTACCGCAAACACACAATTCTAGCTAGGACTAGACATGCATGTTTAGCTTGTTAATTAAAAAAAAAGTCCAGCCTATCTTGACAACTCCCACCTATACCCTGTTATCTTATCTCATGTTATATGTTTCTACTAAGGCATGTATTTAACTCTGCACTCCAAAAATAAATAATGCAATACAGTAATAAAATTGTTCATGTCTGGTGTCTGCAGACACAGAGAATATGCTAATAATAATATCATAAAATTAGGTTTGTAGGATGCAACAGTCTCTGAAGAATATTTACATTTTGTAAGTCAGTAAATTGCCTGGGACCTGTCAGTTGAAACTGATGGACATAGTAAACTTCGATAATGTCCTGTCATGTGACCTGGAGAGAGAGGATTCTGGACAGACAAAATATTTCTCTCTACATAGTGAGATATGGTCAATACTGAATACTCCTCGTTATAGTGGACTAACTATTCTTCAAGCAATCAATGAATTCTCCTCGGAATAGTGGACTAACTATACTTCAATGCTTCAATGAATTCTCCTCGGAATAGTGGACTAACTATACTTCAATGCTTCAATAAATTCTCTTTGGAATAGTGGACTAATTGTAATTTTCTCGCAGAGACTTAGACTTAGCTTGCTAAGTCTTTGTAAATGTGTGCAGAATTCGATACCTGCTAAGACACCTTTTCCCTATCTCTAGAATGGATCCACATATTGTGCAAGTTTCACTCTCAGTTCCTTCGACTACGCTTGGTAACATTGAGAAGGTACATGCAACTCATGGGAATCCTGGCTTACACCATCTGACTTTTTAGATGGGCTCAATGGCATCTCAGGGATCCTCAGGGATTCTTCCTATCTCATTTCAACAAGAGGAAGATGAATTGGAGCCAGCTACTGATGATATCATCTTCAATGAAGCTACACCTTACCTGGTGGCTGAAAAGAGTGAATATAGATCAGGGTTTCCAGTTATCAGAACCACACTAGATAGTGGTAACCACGAATTCCAGTTCTCGAGGATGGGGTGTGTATTGCCTGGTCCAAGTTACACAAGATCTGTGGACAAGCAAGGAAGCAATTCTACCATCAAATATTCTGGAATTATGAGTCATTTTCACAGCTCTTCTACACTTCAAATGGTTGCTGATGAACAAGTGGGTCCGAGTTCGCTCGGAAAACATTGCAGCTGTATCCTATATCAACCAGACAGCCTCTTGTTGATGAAGGAATTACAGTCCATGATGATCTGGACACAGAAAGAACATCCAGGGTTTTACTGCAGTCTACCTACTGGGAGTTCAGAATACAATTGCATATGAGCCGAGTAACAGTATGGCAACAGTGTAACAGAATGGCAACTATGTCCAAGTTTTATTGCGATTGACTCTATTTGGGGGACACCACAGGTAGATCTGATGGCCACTTATGGTAACAACCAGGTCCACAAATATTTTTTCCAGATTTGATGACCAGAAGGTTTAAGGTGAGGTTGCTCTAACCCAAATTTGGAATTCCAGTCTGGTGTACATATTCCCTCCTGTACCTGTAATGTCAGCAGTCCGGAAGAAGATTCAGAATGAGAGCTGTAAGTCATTGATACTTTCCTTCTGGCCACATCAACCCTGGTGCCCTATGGCCAGACGGATGAGTCTGGAATCTCTGAGGGAACTTCCAGTCCATCCAGACCTATTACTACAAGGTCCCTTGAGATACTCAGATCCTCAAGATCTGGGATTGATGACCTGGAGATTAAGCAGGATACTCTGATAGGTAAAGGCATCCCTGAGACTGTCATTAAGACCCTCTTACGGTCCAGGAAATACTCCACTATTACAAAATATGGCAAGCATTTGTCTGTTGGTATCATGAACAGAGGGTTGGAATTACTCCTCCAACCATGTGAACTATCCTGAGCATCCTTCAAGTGGATAGTTGACACTTTGCACATTGACAGGAATCAGTTGGGTATTGGAGCCCCTGGTGATTTGCTTCATGAAAGCAGGGATTAAACACTGAAGGTGTTCGTGCCTCCATAGGGCCTTCCTCTGGTCTTACAGACTCAAACTAAACCACCATTCGAACATCTACAAGAAGCCTCTATGGTGTAGTTAGCACAGAAAATGCTGCTGCTGATGGCTATCACTTCTGCAAAGAGAATGTGTGAACTCCAGGCTTTATCCTGTGAACCCCCATGTACAAATTTCAACAAGATATAGTTGCCCTGCATCCAATACCAGCGTTTCTACTTAAGGTGATCTCCAAATTCCACTTGAACCAGGAAATTGTGTTACCCTCTTTTTACCCTTGTCCTTACTCTCCGGAAGTACAGACTTGCCATACTCTGGATATGGTTTGAGTTCTCTCGCTCTAAATTGAGAGATCTAGTTTTTTGCATAAGTCTTTTAGACTTTTTGTTCTCCCGTTTTGGCCTCCACCTTTTGATAGTGGGTGGTAGCAGCCATCTCTAAGGCTTATCAATGCCTTTCTCTACCTGTACTGAAGGGTATCAGGGCACACTCCACACGTGCAGTTGCAGCATCTGAGGCTTTTGTGGCAAATGTCTACTGACAAAATTTGTAAAGATGACACTTGGACCTCTTTGAACATATTTGTCAGCATTACAAACTGGACGTTAAAGTTGTCAATGAGGCGTAATTTGGATGTCAAGTCCTTGACTCGGTTCAATCTTATCTCTGTTGAATTATATTGATTATTCCAATAAATTTGATTTGCAGTTATTTATGTCACTGTCCCTCCCTTTGAAGCTTGGTTATTCCTATTTGGTTATGCTGCCACGATTAGCCAGGAAAGTGGAAAATGTATTCATACTTACCGTAATTTTCTTTTCCAGGCTATTATTCATGGCAGCATATACTACCCACCCTTTTAACTTATTTGCTTATCTACTGTAGAGCTTGTTACTGACTAGAGAGCTTAGTACTGATACCTCCTTTTGAAGACTCTGTGTTTTCCTGTCCTATCGGCTGTAATGGGCGGAGCTAATACATTTGAATATGCTGCCATAAATAATAGCCAGGAAAAGAAAATTACGGTAAGTATGAATGCATTTCACACTTTAATAATCTTACAATAATATGCACAGTAGCATTTATAAAGCACTATATATTTAGAATTCAAACTCATAAAAAAACACAACTAAACAAATCGAAGTTTTAGAAAATAGTGCAAATGGTTTAATACTGAAAAATAGTATAAACAAATCCAAGATTTATTCAGAAAACTATACTACTGATATAACGCTAAGGGAATGAATTAAAATCCAAATTTGCATCTTGTCAACATTATCTATAACAGATTACAAACATTACAGTTACATCATTTGGAGGTAATTGGGTGGCAAAAACTTGCTTACTCTTTTTTTCTTTCAAGCCAAGGAAAAATAAACAATATTGGTTATTTCCTTCTGCAAATATAAATATCTATTGAACAAATATTTTTTTATCCACAACCTTAATAACAATGAAACATTATGATGGTTTTGAACATGTGTAATTTTAACTGATTTTGAAAAAAAAAAAAAAAATTGGTAACAAATCCAGGGCACCCCTTACACAGTGAAACTATCCAAAATGCCTTATGCCTCTTGTGAAACAAACATTACTTTTGTTAATTTTGCTATAACAAATGAGAGATGGGACAAGTGGTGCATTTCTTTTCTTGGTACTTTAGAAATAAACTAGGGAAGTTGCATACACAAAATAATTCCCAGGAATTCAGCTCAGAGGTTATGGGATGGAAAAAGGCACAAGGTGGCAAAGTATTTGGTTGTCAGACATCTAATTGGCTCTTGATGTTCACACATGAGCTTTCACTTCTTCCTTAATCTTCTTCAAAGATTCACTCACCACATCGCAGACCTTTTTATGCTTTTGCCAATGTTTAACTTGACATTCTCTGCACAGAAGAGAGGATATAACATCAGAAGCAAGACAAGCAATTAAAAAAAAGAGAAAGCACCCACGTCAATGCAAGTATAACCATAAGGGAGATAAGACAGGAGTCAGGTGATAAAAGTCAAAATAAAGACTATAATCTGAAGAATGCAGGGTGTCAGATGTTTGACATAAAATATGGAAGAAAGGCTACATGATCTAGCAACAGAGAATAGAGAATCACCAAGTAATGCCTACGTAGTAAATCACTATTACACATACGGATTTGTGCTCTCAAATATTGTCCATACAATACCGCTCATCAAACTGACATTCAGTCATTGTGAATTACTCACATCCAATGGATTTCTTATGGGTAACATGTGAATAGAAGACTTTAAAAATTAGCATGCAGTATTCTTTAAACTACACTTGTTCTAGGACAAATTTAGGGATCACTCACCTATTGCAGTACCATTCGCTTTGACACCTGGAGCAACGCTTTTTTGCTTCTGATCCACAAGAACCACACTTTGGTTTATCTGGAACGAGGTTCTCCATGACATCCATATTATATGTCTGAGCCCACCTGGTGGGAACAAGTTGAAATACAGAGTTCAAGCGAAATGAGCATGTGATTATTGTGGTTTGTACTGAGTCGGAGTTGCGAATACACACACCTCTGAGCTTGGAGCTGCAATTCCTCATCGCTGGGTGAAAATGCGTGCTTCACCTGGTGCTTTGCTATTGCCTTCCATTTCCCAGAATTACTCCTGATTATTGAATCCCAAATCTCTGGTACCTGATTGATCAAGCAAAACAACCATGGTAAAAGAGAATTTGACAGACGGATAAAATGTATAAGGATTGTATTGCTCAGTATCTTCCAGAATATCTTTTCAAATATACTGTATACATCATCTTATATCCTAAGACCCCTTAGCTCTGAATGATTGTCTATCAACAACCCTCCCACAATGCCTTATAAATTATGTAAATGAACAGAGACAGCAGTTTTCACATTTCCAGCAAATATTTTTGTAGTCTGCCTTAGCAATGACTTGCTGTTTCATGCAAGCTATTTGTGCTAATACTTGGGCTATAATCTGATTGATCTATGCCCAGCCATGGGTCTCTCTGTCTCATCATTCTTAAGATCGTCAGCATTCACATTGCTACTTTTAGAAATCTCTCTGATATCATTAACTGAAGCATTAATAAAGCTGTCGGGATCTCAAAATGTGACAAAAATAATAATCTATACTTATTTCAATTAATTCTCACACGTAAAACACACACACACGTTGTAACATCTGTTCAGACACGTAGATCATTTAGGTAATTCTTACATGTAAAACACACACACAACATTGGTGCAGACACATAGATCATTTAGGTAATTCTCACATGTAAAACACACACACACACACACACACACACACGTAACATCAGTTAAGACACATAGATCATTTAGGTAATTCTCACATGTAAAACACACACACACATGTTGTAACATCGGTTCAGACACAGATCATTTAGGTAATTCTCTCATGTGTAACACATACACACACATGTTGTAACATCGGTTCAGACACAGATCATTTAGGTAATTCTCACATGTAAAACACACACACACACACACACGTTGTAACATCGGTTCAGACACATAGATAATTTAGGTAATTCTCACATGTAAAACACACACACACACGTTGTAACATCGGTTCATACACATAGATCATTTAGGTAAACACTTACAGGGTAATTCATCAACTGTGACTTGATGGGGATTTGCTGAGCTAGCTAGCAATATTGGACTGCAATTCCCTTCTAAATCACAGTTTGGTGAATAATCCTGCTAATACAGGTGGCCTGTGAAAACTAAGAAGTCCCTTGAAAACAACTAAGTGACCTGTCCTCTATGCCCCCTAAACACGGCTACTTTCTCCATACCTGCTCTAAAATAAACTCCTTCTTTGGTGCAGCTGGTTCACTGACAGACAGTTGGCTCAGGAAACGCTGGAGTTCCACAAGATTTGGCAACTGATCAATAAGGACTTCAGTAAGAAAAGAACAAAGCTAAAGAAACAAAAAGTACTTTAATATAATCCATCAAGATGAAGATTTACATTCCATTTGATCTTAGAGAGGGAGCCATTCTTCAACAAAATTATCTTTCTCCCAAATTTCCCTATATTGAATCTTGACACGTGCAAAGACACAATGTGGTTTGCCATGCAAGTGATGGTACCTTTAGGAGCTGTCCTTTTGTGAAGTTGTTGATGTTATATTTCCGTTGACACTCAGGCCTCAGCAGAAGGTTGTAGAGAGCTATCCAAGCCTGTCCATCCAACTTGGTCATCTTCAGCTGGTCCTCTGCTGGTACTGGGAACCAGCGGCCACTCTCATACTTCTGTAGTTGTCCTGAGGGATGTGAAATGAATGAAGTGAAAAGAGAATGAAAAAAAGTGACATCAATATTAACAGAAGGTAAAAGAAATGTTGTTTTATTGCATTTCCTCCCCCTTACAATGATGATTGGTAGAGTTAATGAACGTTGAATTGGATGGAGAATCTCTACCTTAAATCTATGAGACAATGATCAATTTTACAAGTAAATTAAAAACCTCTTACTCACAGAGCTCTATTTGACCATATCCAACTCACAATATTAAAGAAAAATCTGAGCACACATTGCAACAGGCAACGTTTCGGCTCAAACATGAGCCTTTTTCAAGGCCATTTTTAAAAATAAAATCACAATAACAAGTGCATATGTATATACACCCCCCCTCCCCTCAGTGCAAACAACTAATTAATACAATAATTAATCCAATAACAAGTGACAGCATAAATGAAATAATTAACATATTTATATATAACTGAATATAACTGAAAAATGCATGTCATTAGTACCTTCATAAAGAAGAGACCCATACCTTGTATGTAACACAGATTAATTCAAGGAAGTTGCTCTCTTCTATGCTTTGTACATTTAATCATATGACAAAACAACTGAATGAGAATCAGCAGTAATTTAACTCCTATTCTTTGATTCAGCAACATAGTCACCTGGTAGCCTCAGTCATCTTGCAATAAATACAGTCACAGCCATATGGAGTACAGTTATGTGGATTTGTACCTTTGTGTCTGCGACTCCACGGACAGTGTTGTAGCAGTTCTACTAGCACACAGGGCAGATTGTGGGTGTTCAGCAGCCGAGTCGTCACACTGAGAGGCAAACTGTTGACAGAAAGTCATTCTTACTATACACAATATGGGTACAATGTCCACCAAGTATGGGGTATATCGTTCTTGTGTGTTCCTTGTCTCTCATGATCAATTTCTACTATGTGTGCACATTGACCACTTACTTACCTGTCAGTGTGATCAGTGATATAACGAAGGACTGACAGACACTTTAATGCAATGTCAAATTCAAGATCTTCTGCTTGCAACTTCAGTTCCTAAGGAAAGACACAACAATAAGTCAAATAATGGGTAAAGCTGGGATCAATTAACCATTTCCTGCCTAAGGAGTTAGGCCACTTTTAAACCACTCTTTGTCTACAATATACACAGACAAAACTAGAACATTTTTGGAAAGATTAAGAACACAGGAGAATAATGAACAAATACAAAAAGTAATTTGTCAAATGGATCATTTAAATGTTGCAAAATGCTAAAAAGGTATTATTGCCACCTGACTATTCTAGAAGTATTATTCACCGAATTGAGAATTGTCTGGAATCCAAAGTAAATCTAAAATGTATGGTCAAAATAGCCAAACTAGAAACAAATTCTAGTTTAGCTACTTTGGGCATAGATTTGAAATTTATTTTGGACTCCAGACAATTCTCACTTTAATGAATAACTTGTGTCAAACACATTATGTGTTCTATGTAAAAAGTAATGACTGATTTTTAAAAATAGGGCAAACAGTGTGTAATTGAATTTGTCTGTAATTCACGCTAAAATATAGCAGTAAATTAAATTTAATACATAAAGCTTTATCATAAAGAACTTAAACTGCAAAAATGTCTTGAAAGCTTGTTGGGTATTTCCAAAACTGGCCCGTCTTGCCCCCAAATTTGCCACACACCTCCAAGGTTGAAGCCTCGCTGGAAATGTTAGGAAGGAGCCTTTCCTTGGTTTGTTTCATTCCATCTGAACTCTTTGATGCCAACATGGTAAGTTTTCGGTGGCAGTAATCAATGAGATCCAGGGCTAGCTCCTCAGCAGACTCACATACGTCCTATCACGAAAAAAAATCGGTATCAACACATCGCTAATTTTCTCTGCATTACCTTATGGATGGCAAAGTATTATGTTGTAGTTGTAGTTAAAGAACAGCTGGGGGATTTACTTGTTAGCCACTCCTGATCTTTAATAGCTGCTCACATATGATCTTCCATTTTAGATTTGGACATGTAATGTTTAGTAAGCTGTAACTCCATACCCAGAGTCACAATCATTGCCCTTTAAATACTGTCAATTAATTTATTATAGCATAATTTGATTTTCATTTCCATGGCTAGCTGTCCAGTAAAAGGGTGATCTCTACCATGTAAACACAGTGTATGTGTAGTCTCCATCTTAATATGAATTATTTACAAACAGATTTTTGCAAAAGGTTTAATTCTATGAAGTAAAATAAATAAATAAATATGACCTGAGGTTTTCCTGGAACAGACAGGACTGGGTGTATCAAACACACCTTTTCTGCTATCAAATATTTAAATTATAGGTTATAAAATATTAAATAGTACTGAAAATTATATCAAAATTAATCGTAATAAAGCATTGAGAAGAAAGTCTATCATTAGGATATGTCAGTTCAGTCACTGGGTTTTTGAAATGCATTTTTAAATTGCTGAAGTTCGAGTTCTTATACACAAGGTTCTAATGCTACACAACTAAATGAGGTTTTCAGAGTCTAATGAAAGTTTTAGAATTAATGCTTTCCATTAAAATACTTCACTTGAGAACATGTGTTAAATGGACACTCTAGACCAATAAAGCATGTTAGCTTGCTGAAGGGCTTTATGAGTGAAGAGGGTGTCCTATCTTTTTCATTTTACAGAAAGTGCAGATTTCAAGAGAAAATTTAACTTTTAAAAATGAACTTTGTTACTCCCCCTGGCTGTCAATCAGACAACCGGTTCTGTTACTACATGGTTTGTTTGGCTCAGTGGAGCTAAACTCAAGAAGCAGCAATTGACCAGAGGACCTGCCTTGCAGAGATGGCTCATTGAACTGCATTGGAAAGTCTATGATTGGACGGCCACAGAAAGTCTGGGCGGGGTTAGAAGGAGAGGGCTTGCAAAAGTTTCAAACAAGAGATCTGCAGTGATTGCAAACTGTTTTTAAATATACCCCAAAGCAAAAACACATAATTAAATGCATGCATGTTTTTATAGAGGGCATATCTACTAAACTGCGATTTAAAAATAAATTATTTTGACAGTGGAGTGTCCCTTCAATTGTAGGAGAGGAAAATCTGCTGGGGATAATCGTTTTGTATTTTTGATAACAAGATACAGATAAAGCTGAAAATAAATATCAAATCTGTCCTGAGTAGACTCTGCTTACCTTATGGTAGAAGATGGTCTCCAATAAGTTAATGATTGTAGCTTCATGGTGTATCTGTGAAAAATAATTGATTTATCCAACTGATTAATTGTATTGACAATGGCTTTAATGGTGATCTGAGACTTTGTTTCCTAAATCAGTTAAAATGTAATCTGAAAAACCTGAGCAATAACATATGGGCACAGACCATATTGCTAGCTATACATTTGGCTGGCAGTATATTCAGATGACAGTAGGAACACTATCAGGGTTATTCACTAAAATGTACGATACATCTGATGGCCTCTCTATCCAAACCATGATGGTCTTTTGTTGCTTACAAATGAACCAATATCATGAAAATGCCATAGAAGAGATGTGCAAAATATATATATATAGTTCTCGCTCACCTATCTGCTGATATCAGATCTATCTATGTATGAGGTAGAAACAAAGGACCAGGTTACTATCTCAGGCAGGCACAGGATCCCCTCCACCCTAACTGCCCTAACAGAGCCACTACTCAATAACAATTTGACCACACAAATTGTGCCAGACTTCCCCATCAACTGACTAGTCAAATAAAAAGTAATTAATTAAACCTCTCCTCTCACCCATCTCAACTATCACATGTCCTTCTATGGCAACTACCTTTTACAACTCTACCCTCTCAAGTACCCTAGATAAGCTATGTCCACTCACTGCCAACCCTACTAAACACTAAACACCAACCAATATCCACCTGAACCTACAAAGGTGCTCGAGTGTGAGGGAACATTACTGGAGGAAGTCTCATAGTGTAACTGACTTCTGTTGCATTCCTACACCTCTGCCCTCTCTCATAAAAAATAAATAAAACATACTTCACCTTTCTCATCTTCACCTTCTCGTGCGAGCCCAAATGCCTCTTTCAAACCTTTAAAGGACCACTATAATGCCAGGAAAACACACTCGTTTTCCTGGCACTATAGTGCCCTGAGGGTGCCTCCACCCTCAGGGACCCCCTCCCGCTGAGCTCTGGGGAGAGGAAAGGGGTTAAACTTACCTTTTCTCCAGCGCCAGGCGGGGAGCTCTCCTCTTCCTCTCCGCCTCCGATCCTCCTCTTCGGCTGAATGCGCATGCGCGGCAGGAGCTGCGCGCGCATTCAGCCGGTCTCATAGGAAAGCATTTACAATGCTTTCCTATGGACGCTGGCGTCTTCTCACTGTGATTTTCACAGTGAGAAGCACGCGCCAGCGGCTGTCAATGAGACAGCCACTAGAGGCTTTGGAGGCTGGATTAACCCTATTATAAACATAGCAGTTTCTCTGAAACTGCTATGTTTATTAAAAAAAGGGTTAATCCTAGAGGGACCTGGCACCCAGACAATTTCATTAATGTGCCCTACATCGTCTTCACCATCTACTAATCTCACTGCTATCAATTTTGCATTCTACTTCACAGAATAGGTTGAGAAATCGCCTTACTTGCTATACTTAGTTTATTCTCCTCAGTTTCTGAATAGGAGGTTTCTGCACTTCTCCTTTCTTCCTGCCCTACCACGTGTCCCCCTGATCCCTTTGCCTCACACATTATTCACTCATTATCTGTGACTGTCCTATCTTTGACTAAAACCTTCAATCTCTTTCTGTCCTCAGGAATTTAAATTATCCATTGTGCTCCCTCCTTGCAAGCTCCTATCCTTTCAGGTATGTCCTGATCATTTGATTCCCTTACTTCCTTCTCTGGATTTGTCCCTCATTCTTTTAGATTGTAAGCTTGTTTGGGCAGCGCCCACTTCACCTACTGTTCTTCTATGTCAAACATATTTTGTTACAACTAATTGTTTGTCTTGTTTTACCTATTGTACAGCACTGTAGAATATGTTGGTGCCATATCAATAATTGTAACGTCTTCTACATACCTTAATGTCACATTTCTTCTCCCTTTGCCAAGGCACTTTTCTACAATAATTCCATTCCTCCCCTCTTAATTTATGTTAACTATTCCACTTTATTGCAGATCGGTTCCTTTTTATTACAGCATTACCCTTAGAATTTATTTTTTTACTTCAGCTAACCTAAACTTTCCTCTATTTCAAATATCCTTTTTATCCTAGCTTTCTCCTCTTTACCCTCTTTATTGCAGCACAAACATTGCCAGAGCATACAAGTACACAGTGTTCCTATTTGCCAATCCTTTCTAGGAAGAAACAATGAGAACTTACCACCATGTAGAGAGGAAATGTACTCTTAGGTTGAAAGTCTTGCAACTGACATAGAACAGGGAACACTTTGAGTTTCCATATTTCCACTGCAATCAGCTCATGGATTAAAGTAGGAATCTGAGGGACAACAAAAAATTGAGACTTGTAATAGGGACAATAGAACTAATTCTCACTTGGTGAAAGTAGGACAGTACAGCTTGCTCTGTAGTAAGCGAATGTGAGTCTATTTATTGAGTATGGAGTATGATTGTGATTATGAGTTGCTGTTTAGTTCTTGTCTGTATGTAGCATGAGAGGTAGGCAATGGATTACCTTTCCATGAGTGACCAGCAGTTCCTTAATAATCTCCTCCTGTCCTGTAGATGCATTTAGGATAGCCTGCATGTTAAGCTTCTCGATGTATTCATGTTGTTTGAACCATCTAAAGGACAAAAATGAACACTTACTGTTTTATGCCCCCATAGGGGTCAACAGAATGTACTGGTCTTCCAGTTCTTATCATTGGGATTGTGCCATTAATAACTTCTCTTATGTCACTAACTGGGTACTGCTTTATTTGTTATACACACTCTCTCCAAGCCAGAGTTTAAGTTTCCGCCTTTGAATAGCACCCCTTCTCCTTCAGTGTCACTTCAGGTAAATTGTGCAACCATCATCCCACATATATAATGCACCAACATTTATGTGCATGCTTTTTATTGCAGGACTCACAGCATGTCAAAGACATTCAAGGCTGGACAGCTAATGCAGATGTTCACATCCACATTATCTAAACTTTTGTCAAGTGCACTTGAAAACTAATGTCCCTTTAAACGCCAGACTTTATCATGACACAAACAATCACCAACCTGAAGCAAAAGATAAGACACAAAAAGAGTCTGCAGCTGCAGGGCTCTACTTCTGCTTTTCTATTAATCCTTTTTCATATGGATGCTGAAGCAGTGCATAAAAAATATCAGAGACCTGGCACACAAGACTATTTTTTAAAAGCTATTCCAAACTGGACCTGTGGAATTTTCTTGCAGAAAAAACAGCAACTCCCTTCATAAATGGAGCTGCTTCAATTAAAAAAAAAAAAAGGATTTCTGGTACTGATCGTTCATTTTAATCCAATAGTGGGGTATATATGTTTACAAAGTTGTACAAAGTTGTACCTCGAACACTGGGGGTTAAAAACCCCCTTCTGTCACTTACCAGATTCCAGCACCGCTTGGCGTTTGTTCCGGCCATGCCTCCGCTCCTTCCTCCATAGGAAAGATTGGAAATAATGATTTCTTATTAGATGTCCTCATGCATTATATGAGGAAGTCCAGCATCATGTAGGCAACCAAATGTCACCTAACGACCCGGAAGTCCCTCTTTTGGCCACTAGAGGTGGAGTTAACCGCAATGGTAATTGATGTAGTTTATTAAAACTGCAGGGTTAAGGAACCTGGGACACTGCACCCAGACGACTTAAATGAGCTGAAGTATTCTGGTGCCTATAGTGCCCCTTTAAGGCCAAAGTAGCTGAACTGAAAACATAACTGACTTAGAGAATTTGTTGCCTATTTTAACCTTAAATTTTAAATTCACTTGAATTCTTGCTTTAGTAAATAACCCTGTAAATGTTGAGCACTGACTGGCACTGACAGGGAAGCTGTAGTCCAAAGCTCCTGGTGTACCAGAGATCCCATAACTTCTTCCTATGGAGTTGTCAGATCTACCATGATTTAAAGGACCACTATAGTGCCAGGAAAACAAACTCATTTTCCTGGCACTATAGTGCCCTGAGGGTGCCCCCACCCTCAGGGTCCCACTCCAACCGGGCTGAAGGTGGAAGAACGGGGTTAAACACTCACCTTTCTCCAGCATCTGGCTCCCTCGGCGCTGGGGACTCTCCTCCCTCTTCTGACGTCACCGGCTGAATGCGCAGCAAGAGCCCCTCATGCATTCAGCCAGTCTCATAGGAAAGCATTCTCAATGCTTTCCTATGGACGCTGGCGTCATCTCACTGTGAAAATCACAGTGAGAAGCGCCTCTAGTGGCTGTCAATGAGACAGACACTAGAGGCTGGATTAACCCTATTGTAGAGAAACTGCTATGTTTACAGCTGGCAGGGTTAACCCTAGATGGACCTGGCACCCAGACCCCTTCATTGAGCTGTAGTGGTCTGGGTGCCTATAGTGGTCCATTAAGTACACTGGAGACACATATCACTTCCTGTGTCTGCTGGCTGTTATAATGAACATGGTGGAGGGGAGTCAGTCAGCTAACCATGCAGTGAATATGGATCAGTGAATTGATTTCTTTCTTGCACCGCACACAGTTTCCATGTGCAGCCGCTCACCCTGTGGAAGTATTGCCAGAAACATGGTATAATATGTTGTTGCCATGACTGTGAGTGCCTCACCCTGCAGAGCCTGTGTCCTTTACTGTGAATGTCTGCAGACTCTGCGCCATCCCCTCCGCCTCTCCATACAGCAGGACCGGGGCCGGTGGTGCTTCCTCCATCTTGCGGCTACGGTTGATGCTAAAGCAAACCTAAAACCGTCACCATGGCAACGGGCCCGTTCGCGCAGGCGCGGCATCCCTGGTTACCGTGGTAACAGCGAGTCCCGGCGGGGCACGCGCACTCCGATCCTCTTTGTTCGTAAATTTACGCATGCGGAGGGGCGGATTCCTCAAGGAGGGCTGTGATTGGTCCGTTCACCGGAAGTCGGCCATTTTTTTTTACACAATGCAGTGTCGAGCTTGTTGTGTACATTGTGTACATTGTTACAATGGTGTGTTAGTGTCATTGTCACCATAAAACCTCATTTCCCCCGGGAGGTGAATAGGAATATTTACATTGGAAACTGTGACTATTTACATGAGATACAATAAAGTTTATTTCATCCACCTGTGTGTTGTTTCTCTTTGAGTTCCGCTCATGTTACATAATATACTGAATAGCTGCCATTGATGGGATGGTTCAGCCTGTCACCTGTCCTGGGTAATGCCTGCTTTCAGCATGTACTGCCCAGAGTGCTGGAGGGATATGGCTGTTGATATTTATTTCTTGCTTAGTATTAAAATGTGCAGATTTTATTTTAATTCAATTTCTCAAAATTTCACAGTAGACCTATTGATGGTGTCAGCATGAGGTGCAGGTAGCATGACTCCCAGGTATCCCTATTTAGAGCCAAGTCCCTCTTTTGCAGGAGCTTCGTGCTGTCTGAGTGTATAACGGAGCTCCACGGCAAAAATTCTCCCAGTAACGTGTCTTTAAGGACACATGACATGTGTGACATGTCATGCTTCCTATTTTATTTTAGAAGTTTGGTCCTTAAGGGGTTAAAGGGACACTACAGGCACTCAGACCACTTCATCTCATGGAAGTGGTCTGGGCGCAGTGTCACTGTCTCCTAAGCCCTGCAATGTAGAACACTGCAGGGTTAAGGGGTTTGGGTCGCACATAGGAAAGCATTGACTCGGGAAGGCCTAATGCACATTTGGGTCTCCCATATGATGATGTTAGAGGAGATGGAGCTTAAATAAGGTAATTTAAAAAAAAATTTAAAAAAATTAACCCTTTGATAGCCATAGAGGGGAAGGGGGGCACTATAGTGTTAGGAATACATCTTTGTAATAGTGTTCCTCTAAACTACAATAAATGTGTTCAGTCTGTGTAAATAAGATACATTGCTCCTGTTCTAATTTAAAAATTAGTTACATAAGTCGTTATTAGTAAGTCACCTAAAATTTCTCACATCAGCCAACCTCTTTCTCACACTAAATAAAAGTGTGCCTCTTTGTCCATTTGAAATGTTGGGATGTACAAAGTAGGGTTGCAAGATCCACCATAATATTTTATGGACATATATCTCTTCGTGTTGTAGGACACTTAAGTGACTCATATTCTGAGTTTACCTTTTGCAGCATTTGAATTTTACATATTGTAGGACAGAATTTCTTTTGTGCCAATAATCAATATGAGCAGGTGATATGTATCCAAGAAATATCGGTCAACATTAGATGTCTGGCACAAATCACATGACTACATTTTTGTTAGATATTAGCTGGTAAAATATTGATCAATTACAGTACTGCAGTATGGAGTTTTTGAAGTCACCTTTGTTAAAATGCAAAAGTTACATAACAGGTATTTGTGGGTGAAGGGTCAGTCAGTCCAAAATGCAAACCACACCAGTTAGAAAACTGGTCTAAGTCACAGATGCCTCATTACAAAAGCCACAGATATGTACGGTATATATTTCCTCCACTTCTGAAGAAATTTAGCACTGCATAGTGGGAATTCCTGCCACGGTTGAACATAGTTTTGAACTGAAAATAACTGAAAGTACAACTGTGGTTTACATAACGCCCATAAACAGAAATGTCATAAGTAGAGTCAAAAGTTGAGTAGATGCAAAGAAAAAAAAATCATTGTGCTAATTAAAACCATTATGAATAACTTCTGTCTCCTACAACCCAACTTTATGAAAGTATCTTATATAAAACACATACATCAAATCAGAATGCAAGGTAAATATTTATGGATATTTTGTGCAATGAAAGGGTTTATACAATAAATCCTGGTGGACATTTTAGTGGTATAAAGTGCTGATGTAGTAAAAAGTCAGGAAAACCAGGGATCAGAATAATGTGAGACCAGTTATAAAGAATAACCAAACACAAGAGAACACACAATGGGGTATCGGCCTCATTTAAGTTTTGGGTTTAAATAGCAAACTAAATGGATGATGAATTATGTGAGTTTTGGTTGCACTAGAACACACAAGTGCATGTGTCCAGTAACAATGCAGCATTGTTGCACTGCCATGGACAAGGGAAGCTATAATATAGATCATTCTGACAGTAGGCAGGTTTGGAGATGCTTTCAGTGACACAAGAGCATGCAAAAAGGAGGCATGTACATTTATCAGCTGTGACAGAAGAAACCTGTATTAACGATTTCAATGGCTGAACATTTTTATACACATTTGTTTTTAGATTTGTATGTACGTATGTTTTCTTACATTGGCACTTTATTGTACTAAAAAATACACAAGTAGTTATTGTAATGTAGTGGCATCAGCACTTTTAGTGCCCAAAATGCCCAAAAATAAATTACGTCAAAGCTTGATTTGTCCTTTTTACAAGGATAGTGAAGCAGTGAGGTCACCAAATATTTGTATGATCCTACCATCTATTGATGGCAGATAGACTTTCACTCTCAGAGACCCAGATGCTGCCTTGTACATGAACAATGGACTCAGTGTGCTTTATTCACTAAAATATTTTTAAATCCCTGGATCATGGTGCTAATTGAATGTGGAACAAGAGCATTTTGCTGGTGAGATAGCTAAGTGGACTAATGTAGAATCAGTTCAACCCTTGGGTTGCAGGTTTGAATCCTGGCAGGGTTCATTCAGCCCTTCATCCTTCTGAGGTAGATAAAATGAGTAACAACCTCTGGATGTTGGGCTAAGGTAACATCCCCAGGATGTACTTGAAAACCAGAATAATCTGAATGTGCCTTTCCTGGTTAAATTTATTATTAAGTACTAATAGAAAATTTAGAAATATTACAAGTCTAGAAAAGATAGGAGGAGGAGGGTAGGGTTAGAAAACAACAAAGACGGTTGGGCTTAAGGGAAGCAATGTCAGAGGTGTGTTTTACACTTTTCCTGAAAAAGTATAGTAGAAAGGACCTCTGATAGCTGACAGTTTCATATCTGGGGTTGTTGTGAGAGAACGATCGAGTGGTTTTGAGGAGGAGGGATGGGTAAGTTGATGTCTTGAAGTACATGATATTACATTTTGAGCCAGAGTGGTCAAAAAGTGGAAATTAGGTGAGATGGAGAATGTCTCCAACTCAGCAATTCGAGCTTGACATTTGAAATTCACTTGTTAATTCTCCACAATTCCAGGTTTAGCCTATTTCCCTGTATGTGGAGGTTTTTACAACCTGGTCTATATTTTCCAAAAAACACAAAACAAATTAGCCCAACACCCATAACAGTCCAACTGTTCTAACATTTGAATTTTGGTGATCTAACTCAATTTTAAAATGCGAAATACTAGAATCCATAAGCAATCAGCTACCAATTTCTCTTTCTTTTAAATAAATTTGGGATACCATCCAATGGTTGATCAATAGGACCAACACTATTTTTGGAAATAAATTACATAAATTATTTTGCATGTCTATGCTGAAAACATATATCCCTATTAAATAGTAATGCTTACAAGAAATGAAGCAGGTTTGCACTTAAATTAGTGCAGCTCATCAGTGTGAATTTTCAGTGTCCTTAGAAAGGTGGCATATGACTTCCCTGCCAGTTGACTGAGAACTACATTTATCAAGATGCTCCAACATCCCACCTCCCTACTTACCCAGAGATGGCCATCACAAGCCCATGATGAACTGTTTACATGTCTCTGCCCTGTCTGTATAGTATTGTATGTGGTTTTCAATGACATGCAGTCCACCCTTATTATATAAATCCATAAAAATCAGTGTACAGGGCAGGCTGTGTAGATTTAATGGAACAATCCATACTAGGGCTGTTTGAAATGCAGAAATATGCAGTGTAACTCACAGCACCACATCTAGTTTTTTTTTTGTGCACGCTTATCCACAAGTATACTATTACTAGACACAAAATAAGCTAGTGATTTCTACCAAGCCATCTCTCCATGTCCCCAGAGGCGGAACCTTTGTTTCCGGGCGGAACGTTGTGCAGCGAGTCCTGTGTTCCCGGCGGGGCGGCGCTGAGCGGACAGGCCTGCAGGGACTGAGCGGTGGAGTGGGGGGGAGAGACTGGCAGAGACCGGAACTGTATCCCGGGGAGCGGTGAGAGCTGAGCCTGAGCAGCCCCGGGGGTGGTCCGCATCGCACATCGTGTGAGTTGATTGTGTCCATGTGATGATGATGATATGGGCGAGTGTTTACATGGAGGAGTGTGAGCGTGCACTCTCTTTATCTGCCTCCCCCAATAACTCTGTGTAAATAGATTATACATCATAACAATCATTCCATACACACGTGTGTACATGGTGTGTGGGTACTTGGTGTGTGTGTGTACATTGTGTGTGTGTGGGTACATGGTGTGTGTGTGTGTACATTGTGTGTGTGTGTGTACATTGTGTGTGTGTATATGTATATACACATGCTTGCTGTGTGTGTACATGGTGTGTGTGTACATGGTGTGTGTGTGTGAGTGCGGGGGGGATGTGTGCTGGGATATCCTGGGTAACTATCCTGTGTTTCACTGGACTCAATGCACACAGCATTGTTTAGTAAGGATGTCTCTTTGTCGTTTAGCCTTGTACGTGGGAACTCGTATCTCATTAAAATGGGGGTTATTCTGTTTATAAACAGTAATGCCGTGAGTGAGACAGTGTGTGTGTGTATATGTATGTATGTATGCACACTCTCCATTTTTAATTGCTCTTCTAGATATTAATGTATATGGGGCAAGTGGCAGCATGCGTTCATTTTTATAAACAATGTTTCATTTCTCTATGTGTGTATCTCTGTATGTATAGTAGGGATCTATAGAGATTTTTGTCTCACAGTATATTTACTAAATTATTACATCTGTAAATCTTTAAACATACACCAGGCAGTGTTTGACTCGTGTGTGTGTGTATATATATATATATATATATATATATATATATATATATATACATACATACATACACACGTGTGTGTGTTGCATTGAGCAAGACATATGATGAAAATTGTCTTATTTTGAATTGTAGAAAAATATGTGAATATTAGGTTTTGTTGCTTTGAAATGGCTCATTTTCAGCAATGGTAATAAACACATCTGTATTGCACTTTTAAACAAATATTTGCCCTTTGTAACTGTCTTCTTCAGTCAAAAGTCACATATTTGTTTTGATGTGGCTGAAATGAGATGAACACTAAAATGCTCCCCTTCTTTTTATTGCCTACGACTGTTCAACTGTAAGATGCACAGAGTGCTTCATATAGCAAATATATTGTAGGGTGACAGATGTCTGTCCAGTGTGTAAATCAGATAGGCATAACTAGTCAACCCACAAATCACCTTCATTTAACAAAAACGTTGGGTGGGGGAAGCACATTATTTGATTTGTATTGAAAAATATTACGGTCTAGCAGGAGAAATTTGGAGACATAATTTCGGGTATTTATAATTCCATCTTTCAGGCATGCAAATAGAGATGCTAACCCCTTGGATTTAAGAATAAACCAACAATTGCCTTTGGGATCTGGGGCTATTAGTGCTGCTCAGAAGAGTTTGGCATCAAATAGTTTCCCTTTATCCAGAAATGGCAATTCTTGAATAATGTATTTAATACAGCCAAGCTGTCACTAAAGGTGAGTTGGAGAATTCATTTTACATGTTGACATAATTTGCTAAAATTCAGAGTTCAGTGAATAAATCAGCATGTGAATTTTAAATTTTAGGCCAAAATCGAAACCTTCTTTTTAAAGAATGTTTTCCCCCGATATTTTGGTTAAAAATTTGAAAGTCACTTTGAACTTGTAACAAGTCAGAGTTTAGAGAATACAGCTATACAAGTGAAATCAGTTTGCTCTCCTGGTTTGTTGTAGAATTATTTTGCCATTTTACAAAGTCCTATGACATGGATTGACCAAAATTTGACACAAAGCTATTGCATAATTAAATTTTAATGCCCGATTATGTTTTGGAAAAAATGGGCACCCTAGATTAGAAGTGACCCAGTTTTCTTGTAAGGCAAGTATAGATGATGCATTTGAATTATGTAAAAAAACAAACAAAAAAACACCAATTCAAAATGATAAAAGATTTTTAAAAAGTCACTTTTGAAGTTTTTGCTTTTTCTTTTGTTTACATAACCACCCTTTAATTCTGTCCAGACAAGGCTTAGCCAGTCAGTATCCTCTTATGCTATTTTATGGAGTCTCACTTGTTAGGCATGTTTAACCAAATACTGCACAGGTTAAAGCAGTGGTTCCCAAACCAGTCCTCATGGCCAAACAATAATCCAAAATTTATATCTTTCTTGTTTTTATTCCAATGGAGATACTGACAAAACGTGGACTGTTGCTGAGTTAGAGGACTGGTTTGGTAACCAATTGGTTAAAGGGATACTACCGGCATCAAAATAACTAGCTTAATGAAGCAGTTTGTGTATATAGATCAGGGATGCCCAAAAGGTAGATCCTCAGATGTTTTAAAACTACAGCCTCCAGATTGTCTTTCTAAAGCATTCTAATGGCATGCAAAACATAATGGTAGTTATAATTCTACAACATGGGACCTACCTTTTGGGCACCCCGGTATAGATCCTGCCCCTGCAGTCTCACTTCTCAATTCTGTGACTATGGCTGTATAAACAAAGTGATTTACCTCCCAAATGGCAGAAAATTTAGTAGTAAGACTACAGGGGTATTAGATATACACCAATACTGCTTTGTTAAGCTAAAGTTGTTTTGGTGCCTATAGTGTCTCTTTAAAATGCAGATAGAGCACTAGCTATTTAAGATCAGAAATATGTGTTCTAGCGTACACAGAAAATGTAACTTGCTCTTTGTCACTTCCAAACTGCCTAGGGGAGAGGATCTGAAGCACACACTTTAACACCTCAATCCCACTTTGCCATGTCCTCACAGAGACCCCCCCTTCGGAACTGTAACACTCATCTCCGGTCTGCCTGTGCCCTGCCCTCACTGTTCTTTGCACTGTTTGCAGAACTCCTATGTGTTGCCGACATGCTGCCTTTATTGAAAGCATTATATAGTATAGTACAGTAGTGACTTTCACAACTAAATAAAGTGCTCTAAGTGCAATTAGTGTAATTATTTATACAAAATAGAGTAAATAAAAACATATATTGAAAGCATGCCTGCATTTGGATGGAGTCACGTCAGTCACCCTGTTCCTATACTCCTTAGCCAGCTCTAGCAGTGCCGGCTAGTTGGTTATCATAGGAATCACAGCACACGCATTGTGGTTGCTTTTGTGGGGGAACAGAAGAACCACCAGTGGGAGGTCTCCTATTTTGTCCCTTGTCATAAATTTTTTGGCATAATTGATTGACATGTGGGAGATAGACTTGTATTTAGGTAGGTTTTTCTCCCAATCTGTATATTTGCTAAACTAATCTGTTAGCATAATAGTATAGATAGACATGAATGCTCTTTTAGAAAGAGCGAAAATAAACGGCATGACAGCTACCATTTGTTTTCTGTGCACAGTTGCAGTAATTCTGAGAGCAGAGGTTTCTGGAACTTGTACAAATCGCAGAACACTTTGCTGTGCTTCTTCATGTACAGCTGTGCTATTAGACGGAGTTTCTCGACGTGCGGGGAGATGGGGAACTCTGACATCATATATGCTGGTAGAGTAACCAGCAAGAAAAATTACTCCAAACACCATGACTACTTCAGTGATATGAAGTGTTCATAGTTCTTGGAATCTGTTCATATGTGATTGTTCATTATGTGTCTGTTGTCTGCAAGCAGAGCATGCTGGTGACAGACAACCAATGACAGCATGTTACCCAAGTCCTTCTCACTGCTTGTTTTCTGGGACACACCTGCAGTGACGGGAGAGTGACATCAACGGAGGAGGATAGGGCTTCAGTGAGACTTGTCATTGGTGATGGGTTGAAGGTAAGTTTGTTTTATTTCTTGGTTTTTCTCCAACTTGGGGGATTTTACTTGTATCACTGGACTCCCCTCAATACCTGTAAAATAAAGAGTTCATTTACTTCCAATACAAAGGTGAGAGGGCCTCTCATCTCTGCTGCATCTGATTGATAATTATCATCACTGATGATCTCCTGGCCAGTGGAATGCTTCTCATAGAGAGAAGTATTAGCAGGCGATATCTATGCAGTACCATCAATGCTTCTCATAGGCTTTCCCTCTTGGGGCACAAAGCAATTGAGAAGAGCACCATCCTGGTTGTCTAAATTACAGCCAGAATGATGCAATTTAGCACTTTTATAAGATCACTTGAAATCAGCACTTTTACAAAATATAAGAGGGAACATTCTGTTAACACTTAAAGCACTTAAACTTAAGGGACTTGGAGTGTTTAGAGAGGGATATGCACCCTATGTTGTCAGAAACCCACATCTAATGTATTGCTTCTCCATTAGAGCTATAATGACATTCAACATTGACAGGCAAATAATGATACACATATATAAATAAAGATGTTAACTGCTTATTTGACACTATTAATGGCATTGTCAGTGCTGAGTGGAAGCACCTTTACAAAAGAGCCCATGTCACGAAAGATAAGATGGTAAAATTACCAGCACAGGAAACATCATTCTTCATCTTAGAACCTGCCTCAAAAGCATATGCTATTAGTAGACACTTGAAAATGACATTAAAATTTTTGAAGTGAAATTAAATAGCTTGCAGAAATAGTGTAGAATATTTATCAGGGGGTTATCCAAAATCTCTCCCTATTTATTAACGTATTTGAAAAGTAGTCTGTAAAGTAATAAACAGTGGAAAAAAAAATCACTGAACTGAATGTCAATGGCAGAAAAAATGCCATCCAGAAAAGGTGCAGTTTATTTAGTGTCATAATTTCTTTAAACTGATTTTTACTGCCCCTTCATTCTGTCAATGTTTTAATAGTAGAGCGTAACCATGGAAACCAATGCTGTTTTACTGTTACATTTTCAGAACTTTTTTTGCATTTAAAGTTGTTTTTAATACTTAAAGGAATGCTCTAGACTTAAATTGGTCTGTTCTGTTTTTTTTCCTTCTCTGCATCATATTTGATAATACATTAAAAGTATGCAAAAATAATACCAAAAGAGGTGAAAGGAAACACTGAAGCTATGTCATCCCATGTAATGCTGTACCTTTGCTCAATTCATAGTTTGTAGCTGCATGTTAAGAGTTGTGGGATACTGTATGTGTCATTTAATGTCAGGGAGCTTCTGGGTAGCTGTCCTGTCCTTATGCATTTTACGTCTTGGAGGAGGAGAAAGTGATTTTAATGTAAGCATCTTTAAATCTGTGTGTTTGTGGGTCTTTTCCCTCTGTATATAATATATGTAAATCATTGAAAATATATGTACCTTATATTTCTTAAACTCTATTGTACAGCAAATCCATCATCTGTACTGAGCACAACGTCTCGGCATGTCAATAAATTTAGTTGAGATTGTACTGCTTTTATTTTTAAATATATTGCCCATAAAAACATGTTTATGTATTCTACAATTTCAAATATAAGGCCAAATTATCTTGCGCAGTAAGGGTTCAATGACTGATCAATGAAATGGAAATCCCAACACAAAATTCTTGTTAAAATAGCCAAATTGTAGCTATTGCAGATTTGTAGAATTTTTTTACTTTGGACTGAATGTTGTCGCTTAATTTTTCATTGCAATTTTCTGATACACAAGAAATTGCTGCTAAAGAACAATCGTTTTATAAAGGAGTTTATTCCTTAAACCGGAATTGTGCAGAATTGACAAGTGAATGGCAGAATCTGAAAATGTTTTCAATTCAGCTGTTTTGGCATACACTTTTCAATTCCATAGTCAATTCACTTTAAATTCTAGTTTAGAGAATACACCCCATCATGTACTGATATTTCTAATGTTGCTTCATGGATGAACATGTTGTTATGGCAACACAATTTTTTTTCCACAGAAGCAGTTAATGTTAAAGGGGCACTTCACACATAAATTGACCACCCTTCCCCCAGTTTTAGTGCAGCATGTAGATAATGCATTACACAACATGCTTACAAATAAATTATAACTAAAAAGGTACTCTCCTCTAAACATACTCCTTTCTAGTCAGTCCTTCCTTGTGTCCTCCAGGGAAGTGGCTGGGTGTTTCCAGCGAGTTATTGTACTAGGCTGCAGTCATATGGCAGTATCACGAATCATTTAAAGTGAACCTATCCTTTCAGGTTTAATCTAATTGAAATTGCCCCATAACGATTGAATATGTTACTTATCGTGAAGAGAAATGATATATCCAATGTGACATTTTTAGATACTAACATTATTTGCCTTTGGTTCTGCATCACCATGTTCATAGGTCAGTGGATATTGCATTACTGTTGCCAAGTTTGCTCCTGCAAGAGCCTGTACTGGCTGTCACTCAGGTAACCCTGGGAACAAATGTAAATATTGCCATTTCTCAGGAAAGGCAGTGTTTACAATTGTCAGATTGCACTGTGGGACAGTCTCATTGCACTAGAACCACTACATTAAGCTGTAATGGTTCTAGTGCTTAGTGTGTCCCTTTAAAGGTTGCTATGGTGGTTGTGATGGAAGGAGTGCCCTGGTGCTATTCCCCGGTAAGGTGACAATCCATATGGCAGTGTTTGCCCACTTACCTAGGTCCCTCTGTGTGCCTGGTCTCCTTTGCAGCAGGGTTACAACATCCGACTTCTGCAGAGGTGCAACCTGGATACCAAACCTGCTGCTCATTCATTGGCTGAGAGCGTCTGCCAATGAGTGTAACTCTGTGCATAGAAATATGCACAGAATTGATCATTAGTTGTGAGCTAACTAATGACACCACAGTGATGCTGTCAGATGTGGAGTTACACCTCTGTCAGCAAAGGGGTTAAACTCCTAATGTGCCGCTTTTCATAGCAAAACGTTGTACATACAGATTCCAGGTACCATGACCACTTCAAATCACCAAAGTGGCCATGGTGCTTGCAGTAATCCTTTAAGGGACATTATTCCCACGTAGGACAATCCACTTGTGTACAGTTCTCTTGCTCTCTCTGTAAATCAGTTCTTTAGCTGTTTATTCTAATTTAATTAACAGGTTTTTCAACAAGTCAATAGGTTTGCTATAACAATGTACAGATAGTATTTAATTTACTATTAAATAAAAATGTTTATACCATGACACTTTAACTCAGATACACTTAAAGGGACTCTCCAGTGCCAGGAAAACAAACCTGTTTTCCTGGCACTAGAGAATCCTGGAGTGCCCCCCTTCCCATATCGCTGAAGGAGTTAAAACCCCATCAGCTACTTACCTGAATCCAGTGCCGATGTCCCTTGGCGCTAGGACAGGCTCCACCCACTCTCCTCCCCCACCAACGTCAGCCGGCGGGGGAGACATAATACGCGCGTGCAGTAGACCTCCCCACAGGAAAGCATTATTTAATGCTTTCCTATTGGGAAAATCTGACACTGGAGGTATGTGAGGCCGTCCAGCGCCAGATAATGGACCAAAAGTCAGTTTGGATTCCGGAAGCCCTCTAGTGGCTGTCTTATAGACAGCCACAGAGGGCAGACTTAGAGCTGCAATGTAAACATTACAGTTCTCTGGAACTGCAATGTTTAACATTGCAGCACTAAGTGCAAAAGGGACACAGCACCCAGACTACCTCAATTAGCTGAAGTGGTCTGGGTGCCTACAGTGTCCCTTTAAATCTTTTATATCAAGAGACTATTAGGGTTCTTCACTAAAGTGAGAATAATTTTAAATTATTGGCCAAAGTAGCTGAACTAAAAACATAACTGACTTACTGTTTCCAATTCAGCTCTTTTGGCCTTAAATTTGAAATTCACTTTGAATTCTCATTTCAGTGAATAACCTTGTAAGTGCTCAGATAGTTGAGTTTTAGGAATCTTTATTCCAGACAACCGAGCAGCAATTTTTCAGCTCAGCAGAGCTGCTATGCCAAGACATTGCCATTTAGTTGTGTGGAGTAAAGTCTCTGTTACTCACCTACTTGATTACCTAGTCCTTCTGTTACATACCTGCATGCAAATGCAACCTTATAATGTTATTTAATGGACGTCTCTGCAAACACTTATATCAGTACTGTGTTACAAATAACATATTTAAAGATAAAAGAAGTAGCTAGATTTCATTTTTTTTTTTAAATGCAAAACCTGCTCAAACACTATTATATAAATTAAACAAATGGACTCAACTAGGACTGTCTCTTTAATACTGATTCATTGTGTGTATGAAGCAGTGTTGTTTATTTATGAGGAGCTATATGAAGTAAAATCATCATAGAAACTGGAAATGCTGGATACTTGGCTTTTAGTAGTTTGTTCTAGAATTCTTGTTTACGCAGAACCCCCATATTGAAATCTTCATCTTGCATGGAGTGTGTGAGAAATTAGAAATGACTAATTTGGACAGTCTGAAACTATACAATGTCTATGTTTTCACGGAAATAGGCTTTAATGTAATTTTGGATAAGCTTTTTATTTGTTTATTTTTTATATTATTTAGTATTTTTGGATAAACTTTTAAAATTATATTATATTTTCATATTTATTGATATACTCTTGCATTTATATATATATATATATATATATATATATATATATATATTAATATTTTGGAGATTATCCAAAAATATTATATTGAGGCTATAATTAGGTTTACTTTGCAGAGAACTGCAAGAATTGACATTAGTAAACCTAGAATGGGCTGATGCCCCCGTCATGTTGCTGGCAGCATAGCAAAACGTTGCACATACAGAATCCCGGCACCATGACCACTTCAAATCTTTGAGGTGGTCATGGTGATTGGAGTAACCCTTTAACCAACGAGGTTTGCTGAGAGAGTTCTAGGGCTGGTCTTATCAAATCCCAAGAGTTTGTTCAGTGTAACAACAGATGCTAGCTGATTGTCTGGTACACAGGGTAAGGTTTGTTACTTATGACCTCATACTTTTAGATTTGTGTATCTACTGCTCCTGGTTTTTGGTAATTTACTTTTCACTAAATTGTTTAAATGTACTTAGTGACATCTACCAAACATATCAGTATTGTAGAAAGTTAGCTCAGGCATAGGTACAACGTTAGGTTGCACACATGGCCGGATAGTTACCATTGGGTCTGGGCATCTGGTTAACATTAATATTGAAGAGCGCCAAAGATAAAAGATCACATGTCAAAATTAAATAAAAAAACATGAAAACAAGGTGGCTATAAGTGTGCAATAGGAATTCCGTGGAGGTAGGCCCCACTACAGCAAGAGTCACTCAGTCAACCCACTCCCGATGGTGGAAAGCCATTGGAGTAGGCAGAAGGGCAACAAGGTGCAGCAGGAGAGCAGATACGAGGTGGGGCGTCCCATCCCCCTCTAGCTGATGTGTAGACCAGCGTCTCATGGCCACGGACCTGGCGACTCTCCGAGTGCAAGTCCTTTCCATGAGAGGGAGAGCAGGAGGTCCGGATGATCGGGCGCCACTTGCGGCGGACAGTCCTCTGCTGGCGTGGGTGATGCATTGGGGCTAAACCCCTTGAGGACTTTATCCTGGGAAGGCGATTGGTAGGCACAGATGTTCAGTAGCTTTATCAGGAGTGAACTCTTGGTTTCCATCCCTCTATGCTCACTGCAGCTGCAGGTAAGGGTTATGTTGCTGAATGCTCTGCCAAGGTTGCCCAGAATTGGTAAAAAAGTTAATTGAGCTTCATGTGTGAGTGCTCTAGCGTACCTGATAGTGCAGCCTGCAGCAGTATCGGGCCCTCCTTGATTTGAGTGAAAGCATCTGCCATACTTCTGAGTACGCTTATATGCTCATGCAGGTTGGAGCAGACTGCTGATGGTTAGCATGGCCTGATAGTACAGTCCAGAGGGGGCTGGGATAACCCACGCCGGCCCAAATTGGGGGGAAATGGCACCATAGGAGAGTTTAGTTGGGGTCAGCGCCACGAGGGCTAGAGAGAGCACTCGCCTCTCCTGCCCAGCAATCTACCAGGCCCCATTGTTACTCCCGCAGCAGGGTCTGTAAGGTACCAATCCAGAGCACCCAGTCCGGTACAGACAGTGTGTAGTAGCTTTAAAGTGCCTGATGAGAGTGCTAGGAGTTGAGAAATTTTAGTCCAGGAGTAGAAACTCCAGCACGATGCGTCCTGCTGCCATGAGGGGCCCCCCTCAGTTCTTTTTAGGTTGTACTTGCTTAGAGATGGGGTATTTTGGTATGTATATTAGAGGTTGGCAACCTCCCTGTAGTACTCTACATTATTAAATGATATCATGGAAGCCACCAGAACAATCTTTATATGGTAGTTTTATAGGTGAGAAGAAGAATATTTAAATATGGCTATATGGCTTTTGTTCCATATACAATATGTGTCTGTTAGTCATACTTCTATGAAAGGGACGCTACAGTCACCAGAACAACTACAGCTTATTGTATTTTTTCTGGTGAGTAGAATCATTACCTTCAGGCTTTTTGCAGTAAACACTGTCATACCTCCACTGGCCACTTCTAAGATGGCTACTAGAGATGCTTCTGCCATTCAGTGTATCTACCCTCTACATGGAGACATTGGACTTGCCTCATAGAGATGCACTGATTCAATGCAATTCTATGAGGAGATGCTGATTGGCCAGGGTGTTTGGCTTGTGCTGGCTCTGCCCCTGATCTGCCTCCTTGACATTCTCAGACAATCCTATTGGAAAGCATTGTGATTGACTGAGAGAATCACTTCAGATGATGTCAACCAAGTAGGCAGATCACTGGCAGAGCCAGCACGATTTTACTATATTTAGGAGATATGGGGAGCTAGTTGGTCAGGAATACATGTTTGTGTTACTTTAATGAAGCAGTTTTGGTGTATAGATCATGCCCTGCAGTCTCATTGCTTAATTATCTGCCGTTAAGGCCTTAAATTACTTTTGTTTCTGTTTATGCAGCCCTAGCTATTCCTTCCCTGGCTGTGATTGACACAGTCAGCATGAGCAAAATTATTTTAGATCCTACTTTAGAAGTTTATATCTCTGTTTATTGAACTTTAATCACACACAGGAGACTCCTGTAGGGTCTGACAGTATATTAAAGTGTCTCTATCAACTCAAACGTACCTTTCTCCTACTGTTTCCTCTTCTGTTCCTCCTTTCAGAATCTGTTCTTTTCTTTATTTCTGATCTATTTCTCTCTAAAACAAGACAAAGCATAGACTACATTGTTTTAGATACTTTTGTTACACTTCACAATTTTGACAAAAGGGTGGAGCTTAATGCAAACTTCATCCTTTGTTAGCTTGCCAAGTATAGGAAAAATACATTAGACAAAGTAGCCCCTACTTTGCTGGGTGTAACCAACTCTATCTAAATAATTTTTTCTTATTTTAATTCACCTCTTCTGGCAAGCCAGAATTGCTTCTTTCTTGGTGTACAGATTGTCTATCTCTCTACCTGCTAATGTTTTGATCACTTTCTTTTTTTAAAATAATTTTCTTGTTCTCTTGCAGTCCTTGCCCTGCGAGGGCATGATGCGCTGGTAAATGTGTCACGCCCTCCTACGGACTTGAAATGTCTGACGCATCCATCTCAGGGAGTGAGCCAGAGTTGGACCCAGAGGACATGGAGGAGGAAGGTAATGATGATGATGATGATGATGAAGAAGATGAGGATGATGAGGAAGAAGAGGAGGAGGAAGAAGAAGAAGATGGTGATGGTGACGATGAAGATGGAATGGAAGATGAGAATGACGGTGATGATGAGGATGACACAAATGATAAAAAAGGTAAGAGAAAAGAACATTACACTTTGGACAGTGATTGAATTATTCAAAAACATGCCTTTAAAATTACTGCAGTTGTCTTTTTCTTAGAGAGACAACATTTCTTAAAGGGATACTAAAAGCACCAAAACAACTTTAGCTTATTGAAGCAGTTTTGGTGTATAGACCATGCCCCTGGTATCTAACTGTTCTGTTCCCTGCTATATAGGATTTAAATCACTTTTTTATGTAGCCCTAGCCACACCTCTCATGCATGTGACCTACACTGTTTATGTACAGAGAGATCTAATGTTTAAACTTCCTTTGTTGCACAGTCTTTTTAATTTAGAATGTATTTCTTACTCTGTTAAAAACCTGCTAAAGTCTGCAGGAGCCTCCTGCATGTGATTAAAGTTCAAAAGTGAAAGATAAAAATTACATACACTGAGCTGTCACATCTGATTGAAAATGAAACCATTTTTTTCATGTAGGCTGTGCGAGTCACAGCCAGAGGAGGTGTGACTAGCTATGAATCAACAAAAGTGATTTAATTCCTAAATGACAGAGATCTAGCAGTTAGACTACATCACGCGGCCATAGGTTCGCCATCAATGCAGAGTAGGCACCTGCCTGCCCAAAACGGCAGGCGCCTACTCTGCTTCCGTGTCGGGAGGCAGGGGGAGGGATCGGTGAAGCAGCGACCAAGCTGTGTGGAGCATTGCCGCGCGTTACCATGGCAACTCTCCACAAAGGTAAGAAGGAGGGAGGGTGGCATAGCATATTTTTTTTTTAAAAAACACCTTTACCCCAGCCCCCCACACACAGCACCACTGCCCCCCCATAGCACCACTGCCCCCACACACAGCACCCCTCCCCACACCCAGCATCCCTCCCTCCCCACACCCAGCTTCCCTCCTGTCCCCTACACCCAGCATCCCTCCCCACACAGCATCCCCACAACACACAGAGCACCCCAACCCCCCACAGCCCAGCACCCTTACCCCCCACACAGCACAGCACCCCTCTCTCACACACAGCACCCCTAACACACACACACACACACACACAGCACCCCTCATACTCACACACAACACCCCTCACACACACACACAGCACCCCACATACACACCACCACTCATACACACACACACACACACACACAGCAACTCTCATACACAAACACATAGCACCCCTTACACACAGCACCCCTCACACACACACACAGCACCCACACACACCCTCACCCCCACACACACACAGCACCCCCATACACACACACACACAGCACCCCTCATACACACACACACAGCACCCTCCTACACACACACACAGCACCCCTCATACACACACACACAGCACACACCCTCACACACACACACACACACACAGCACACCTCACACACACACACACACACACACAGCACCCCTCATACACACACACACACAGCACCCCTCATACACACACACACACACAGCACCCCTCATACACACACACACACACACACATACACACACACACACACAGCACCCCCATACACACACACACACACAGCACCCCTCATACACACAACACTTTAGCACCCCATACACACACACACAGCACTCATACACACACACAGCACCCCTCATATACACACACAGCACCCCTCATATACACACACAGCACCCCTCATATACACACACAGCACCCCTCATACACACACACACAGCACCCCTCACACACACACACAGCACACACACAGCAACCCTCATACACAGCACACACACAGCACCCCTCACACACAAACACATACACTACACCCCTCAATGCAGTATGTGTGTGTACTCAGCAGTGTGTGTATTCAGCGGACTGTGTGTGTGTGTATTCAGCGGACTGTGTGTGTGTGTGTGTGTATTCAGCGGACTGTGTGTGTGTGTGTGTATTCAGCGGACTGTGTGTGTGTGTGTGTATTCAGCGGACTGTGTGTGTGTGTATTCGGCAGTCTGTGTGTGTGTACTCGGCAGTCTTTGTGTGTGTACCCACCAGTCTGTCTGTATGTGTACTCAGCAGACTGTGTGTGTGTATTCATCAGTCTCTGTATTCAGCAGTCTTGTGTGTGTGTGTATTCAGCAGACTGTGTGTATGTATTCAGCAGTCTGTGTGTGTATGTATTGCATTTGTTGGAGATACTAATAAATATAAGCTTAATTTTATCTATTTATATCATTATTTAAAATTTGTATCATTGAACTCTCTGTTGTTGTGTTCTTTTAAAACAAAAGTTGTTAATTAGTTCGGACAACAGTACGAGTTGTTTTTTCTAAACTTAAACCTCAGTATCGAGGTTTAATTGCTGTGTTGGCACTTTAAGGAAAAAAAGTTGGCATGTATTGCGGTTTGGGCACTCGGGCTCAAAAAGGTTTGCCATCACTGGACTACATGATCAATACCCCAGAACTGTTTAATTAATCTAAAGTTGTTTTAGTGCTTATAGTATCCTTTTAAAGGTACACTCTAAGCCATATCTTAATGTAGTGCTTTTGGTGCATAGATGCTACTTTTTGACAGTAAAACATTGCTGTTTTTAGAGAAACAGTAATGTTTTTGTCAATCTTTCTTTTATTAGAGGCATGTGAAAAAACAGTACAGAATAAAAGATGGAGAGTTATAGAAAAAAAGGAAAAAAAGTGAGAAAACGGTAATGTTTGAGAATGCACCATCAGACAGAGAGCCACTAGAGGCTCATCCACTTTAAGACCTTCTATTTTGAGAGGTCTTTAAGTTTGCTAGGTATGTCCAGTACTTCTCATTCTATGGCTATGAGATGCATTGGGTTAGGTAGTCACAGGGATTGCACAGTTATCATTATAATTGATGAACTCTCAGAAGGCAGAGAGGTGTATGTCTTGTTGCTGGATTGCTGGTAAATTTAATAACTGGGGGTGGCTGGGTCTAAAAACAAGACAGAACACATGTAACTTTAAAACTAATTATTTTTATAATTTTCTATACACAAAGTTAAGAATAACTCACCTCAATCCAGCGCCGAGGCCAAGTTCTACTGGCATTCCAGTGCTGGAGGGTGAGGGACATCCTTGAAGACAGGCTAAGGGGAGGATTTAGGCGGCATGAAGGTTCACATGCTAAAAATGACTTTTTTTTTATTGCCAAAGTGTGATTGTTATGGTTAGAACCTGCACAGCTTGTGCTGGCTTTACCAGTGGTCAGCTAATCTGAGCATGGTCAAGATCTTTGCAAGCAGACATTTTTGATGGTGAACCGGTAAAAATTAGCAGCAATTTTTAAAACTATTCCGTACTTAGTAGCCGCTTCTACCTTCCAGCTGTTATTGATAATGAGAGATTATTATTATTATTATTATTATTATTATTATTATTGCCATTTATATAGCGCCAACAGATTCCGTAGTGCTTTACAATATTATGAGAGGGGGGTTTAACTATAAATAGGACAATTACAAATAAACTTACGGAACAATAGGTTGAAGAGGACCCTGCTCAATCGAGTTTACATTCTATAGGAGGTGGGGTGTAAAACACATTAGGACAGGAGTTTGCAGTCAAATAAGGTGGGCTGCCCTTTAGGAGACAGGTATGTGAGGTAGAGGTTAGTCTTGGAGGCCATAAGCTTTCCTAAAGAGATGGGTTTTAAGGCACTTCTTAAAAGATGCAAGATTAGGGGAGAGTCTGGTGGCGGTAGGCAGGCTATTCCACAGGAAGGGAGCCGCCCGCGAGAAGTCCTGCAAGCGTGAGTTGGCCGTACGGGTGCGGACAACGGACATGAGGTGGTCACGGGCAGAGCGGAGAGACCGAGCAGGGACATACCTACGGATCTGTGAGGAGATATAAGAGGGGCTAGAGTTGTTCAGTGCTTTATAGGTGTGAATTAGTACCTTGAATTGACTCCTATAGCATACAGGAAGCCAATGTAACGACTGGCAGAGGGGTGAGGTGTGAGAGAACCGACTAGAGAGGAAAATCAGTCTGGCAGCAGCGTTCATTATGGACTGTAGTGGTGCAGTAGGGCTTTTGGGAAGACTGATCAGGAGAGGGTTTCATTAATCCATGCGGGAAATTACTAGAGCATGGACAAGCTCCTTGGTAGCATCTTGTGTAAGAAAGGGGCGGATGCGGGCTATGTTTTTAAGGTGGAATCTACAGGATTTGACAACATGCTGAATGTGAGGCTCAAAGGTGAGGCCAGAATTAAGTATGACGCACAAACTTGAAGGGAGAGCGAAAGAGGAGGATCAGTATTAGGAGGAGGAAATACAAGGAGCTCAGTTTTAGAGAGATTGAGTTTCAGAAAGCGGGTGGACATCCAGTCAGAGATGGAAGAAAGGCAAGCAGTGACACGTTGCAGGACGGCAGGGGAGAGGTCCGGGGAGGAGAGATATAACTGGGTGTCATCAGCGTACAGGTGGTAGTGGAATCCAAAAGAGGTAATAAGTTTGCTAAGAGAGGCACTATAAAGAGAAAATAGAAGGGGACCAAGGACAGAGCCTTGGGGGACTCCAACCGAGACAGGATGAGGGGAGGAGGTATCATTAGTAAAGGAGACACTAAATGAGCATTGGGAGAGAGAAGAGGAAAACCACGAGAGGACAGAGTCACAGACACCAAGTGTTTGAAGAATTTGAAGAAGGAAAGCATGATCAACGGTGTCAAAGGCCGCAGAGAGGTCAAGAAGAATTAGTATGGAGTAGTGGCCTTTGGATTTAGCTGTGATTAGGTCGTTAGTAACTTTGATAAGCGCAGTCTCGGTAGAGTTGAGAGGGCGGAAGCCAGATTGAAGAGGGTCAAGGAGAGAGTTGGAATTGAGGAAATGAGACACATGGGTAAAGACAAGTCTTTCCAGAAGCTTTGAGGAAAAAGGGAGCAGGGATATGGAACGATAGTTAGAGGGGGAGGGCGGGTCGAGGGATGTTTTTTTTAGTATAGTTACTACAGTGGCATGTTTATGGTCAGCAGGGACAATGCCAGAAGAGAGAGAGCAGTTGAAGATGTGCGTTATTGAAGGCACGAGACAAGTGTAGAGAGATCTAATAAGGTGAGATGGGACAGGATCGAGCGGGCAAGTGGTGGGGCGAGAGGAAAAGAGAAGAGCAGCCACCTCTTGGTCAGTGGCCGGGGAGAATGTCTGAAGCAGGGGTCCTCAAACTCCGGCCCCCCAGATGTTGCTGAACTACAACTCCCATGATTCTCTGGCTATCTATGTAATTCAAAGAATCATGGTAGTTGAAGTTCAGCAATATCTGGGGGGCCGGAGTTTGAGGACCCCTAGTCTGAAGGGTAGGAAAGGCATGATCTATGTGTGGTTGAGAAACAGAATGGCATTGAGGGGACTGCTATTTGCTGACCAGGGCCAGATTTTATTCTGTTAGAAAAACCTTTTCAAATAATTATCTACAGAAGTCCCCACTAAAATCTGTGGGAATTGTTGTAGATAAATTATATTAAATGATTTTCCAACAGATTGTGATCATTTGAAAAGCTTATCCAAAAGAATTCAACTGAGGCCAAGGTTGGAAATGAGACCGGAGTCTAGGCAATCTACAGGTTGCCCTTTAGCTATGGTAGTAATAAAAGTCCCTTGATGCATGGCAGTATTTCCAAGGCATTAATGGCTAACTATGGCTCTCTAGCAAAATTAAAGTCAATTAATAAGACCCTGACCTCACACTAAAATGCATATATAATAGGCCAGTATTGGTTATGTAAGCGTCTTGTGAGAAGCCAATGTGGGTGGAAGGAGACGTTTATAGGGCGATTAACTGGGAAAACTGCTGTGGAATGTAAAATCCCCACCATTCTTTCTTTGCATTAAGTGTAATTATATAATTCTGTATCCTTTGCAGAGCATTTACTGAGACTTTCATATAAATTAGAGTGCTGCTCAGGCTCCGACATATAGTTCTATATTAATTTATTTTATTGTTGATTCCATTGATAAGTAAGGGATTTATCTAGTAGGCAGTGATAAGTGCAGAACATTAGAACATTGATGGTGCCATGTTCTTTTAATTTAGCAGGGGTAGTTACAGTACAGTTTTATGCTGATGGTTACTGTAATAGAGAAACAGCTGTGATTTGTAAAGGATAATTATAAGAGGAGGGCTACTCTAAATGACCAGTGATAGGGACAGGAAAGTTATATTATGAGGGGTCCTGTAATTTGAGTATTAATAGGTAGAGGGCAGTTACAGGTTGAGGGTCCTGTTAACAGAACAGTGATAAGGACAGGACTATATAGGGTGAGCGGTTTTGTTGGACAGGGCAAATAAAGGGCAGTTGGTGCTGTAATAGAGCGGTTATAGGATGAGGGATCCTGTATAATAGAGAAGTGATGGGTGGTACACGTTGGTGCCTTGGTATGCTAGATGCTGATCTCAGAAGTTGCAGAGACCTCATTGAAAGCTCATCCACGTGTACGTACATTAAACCCTGATCAGTTTACTTCTGACATCACAAGAAAAAGTGATATGAGTACACATCCCGAGGGATTTTTTGTATGAAATTCTGCTCAGACTCCACATCAAAGTAAAGCGAACTATAGCCAGCCCTAACTGACTTAACAAGGTTCATTCATTGAACCAGTGACTGCATGAAGGGGAAAAAGATAAATGCTAAGTTTTTCATATACCAAGTAAAGTTTCCATGAATGAAAATGCTTGCTTACTTCAGCTGTGAAATGGTTTATTTTTTTTATTTTGTATTAATTTTAGCCTTTGTTTCCTTATGATATTGTATTCCTCCCTTTATGTGCTTGGAAGTGGGTTAGAATGTTACCTAATAGGTGTGTGGACAGGGCTCCCTCAGGTGCTATTGGAGACTCGTCTGAGCTTTGTGCTTTGCACAACTCACCAGACAGTCTGGATTTTGTTGTCCCTTATAATCCTCCCTTGGTCCCCCCCTCCCTGCAGCGTCTGTATAATGCTTATGTAAGGATCCAGTCTGCATTACTTAGTAAAGAGAGTGAGACTCGCTAATCTGCCATCAGTTATTTGAACTGTACTTTGTTTTATAAGCATCTTAGTTGGTTCTAATTAGGTTCTGTCCTGTTCCTGTATTCAATATCCTGAACCTCCCATCCACACTGTACAGCAGTAGTACCCAGTGTTCATGAGAGGTTCCTTTCATATTCGTTCCTGTTTCTCAGCAATTGTCATCTACAAAAACCTCCGGACTTTTCAGTGTTGGCCATGAGGCTTTTGGAAGAATCTGCAGTACTTGCAGGTACCAGTAAATTCTATTCAGACTGTTCCGTACCAATAGTATTTATAGTACTAGCTTGAAAACAGAGAGGGGATGATATGACTGAGCTATAGAGTGTAGCAAATAAGAATGCCACACATAAAAACTGATGGGACAAATGTAGCCTATTTTTATAATATTACAGTGGAAAAGGTAAAGATTAAAAAGGGAACTGGAATAAATGGACTAAAAGAAGGTTTAGCTATGTTTGCTAATCACTGGCTATAGCAAGTGTTTCTTAATTTGAGGAGTGTACCTGACTTTTGTTAGGAGCCAGGGGAACGCTGCGCTTTACAAAAGCACCTTATTCAGTACCAGTATTTACATTTTTATGAACTTTGGTTCTAGGAGTTTGTCAGATTTTAAAAACCAACAGAAGTCTGCTTTTATATCCAAAATGACACGGCTATGTTATTAAGCTGGACACCAGATGTATTTTCTGAGTTGGAATCATGTTGTAGATGGCTTTGGTTAAAACTAAACTCATTTATTCTGAAATTGTTGTGTGCATAACAGTCAATCTGCTCTCTCGTGGGCTTTGCTAATTACTCTTATTGCGTATGGTGTAAAACGCACGCTCTCTGTGACAGGATAGTGTAGATGGGCAAATCTATAAATTTTTCATGTAAACATCAATGTCCCAAGGACAAGTTGCTATTTTGCATCATCATGTTGCTAAATAGGAATATGTTTAATAGAACAAACAGGGCAATAATCCCATCAATAATCACGCAATAGCAGGGTGCTTTGAGTAAACTTTGGGAAATCAGGAGAAAAAAATATAAAAAAAGATGGAGGGAAGATAACCCTACAAATTAAAATTTGTGCTTCACGGGAAAATTAAGATCCTTTCCTCCTTTAAACTCCCTCCCCTCTAAAAATAAATAAATAGAAATCAATCAATATCAAAACACATTTATTAAAGACTGTTAAATTAACTAAAACTAGGTCACCAAGCAGCTCACCTCCTGTAAAATATAAGGGTGTAGTCACATCAAAATGCTGTTTATGTAAGAAAATATTGTTAGTTGGTCCATTTGATATTTATTTAATATTTGTTTTTATAAAGGCCCACTGGTACATCTGATAGGTACTGTGTGGGTCACTTTCAGTAAGGTATGTAGTTGATAGTAATCTATCAATCTGCAATTTTCTGTTTTGCTTGCTTTTGACATTAAGAGGATTTGCGCACGCGTCACACAAGGGGTGCTGGGAATATACTTGGCTTCCACTGGCCACAATGGTTTTACTGGTTCCTGTGTTATGCTTCCTATTCTGTGTATTATGATGTACGTTTTTTCTTTTCATTCATTTTGCTTTTGAGTTTCACAGGCTGATTCCTAGTAAAGAATTTGCTGAGGATTATGTAATGTTTCTTTTCATTTTATGTAACCATGTTCAGCAGATACTGCTTGCATAAGAAGCTGAGAAAGGTTTAGCACTTTCATATAAACACGTTTTTGATGTTATCAAGTTAACCCCAAATTAATCTTTCCCAGTGTGTTTTTCTTTAGGATTTATTTAGAATTAGGGAGTTTGAAATTAATTTGATCCACCGTTTGCTCCAGAGTGATTTCTTTTGTTTAGATAAAAGCCTTTTATCATAATGTCTTGTCTTTGTGCCATCTCAGAAGCTTGCTGTTCATGTGTCACTACCCTTAGGGTTTCGGAATACATGTCCCTAATGTCACTTATCCATGCTAGGAGCTGCTGTATTCAAGCCATTGAAGCACAATTGAGGTGACAGGCAATTACATGTGACATTTGGAATCATTTGTTTTTAAATGTTTTAATGGGATCAACAACATATATCAGTTAAAATTATAATATTAGACATCATACACATATTCTGTAGGCAACATGTCTTTAGTGTTGTTTTGTCTGTCATCTAAGTCTGTTTTTATATGACAGCACTGCTGTTTGTGTAACCTGTGTCCACGTCAGTGTGATCTCTGAATCTCAATATAAATCTCGTGGGAATCTCAGGTTCTCAATGACCATAATTATAGTAACTCTGTATCCATGTTTCTTAGGTGTTTGATTTATTTCTGAAATCTTAGGGTCAGTGTTACTGATACCTTTGGGTGCCTATGATTATAGTAACGTCATGTCCATGTATTTTAGCTCTTTGTTTCTATATATAAGATTTTATGGTCTGTGCTCATGGCAACTGTGTCCAGTTCTCTGAGATCTACCGGTTTCAGTATCCCCTCTCTGGGTACCCAAGGTTTTCCTTAATTTGCCTTCCTCTGGGACCTTTTATGTTCCTGAATTGGTCTGTTATGCTCTCTGAATATTTTTTCAGGGTTATAGTGTTGTCCTTATAGAGAGTGTTAACCATTATTTATACTTGTTTTCAGAGAAGTCTCAAAGTGCAGCATTGGGAGCAGACAGCTCTGAGCAAGGTGAAGATGAAGGCGAAGGATGGAAGCGCTCAACTACCTCAGGACAGAGTACAAAAGTAGCAACAAATGAAGAGTCAAAACAGAAGCGGGCACAAAAGCCTTCCCACATGAGAAGAAACATCAGGTGAGACCACAGAGTACTATGTCAGATTGTGTGTCAAAACATTTATCTGTGTTCCCTCTTTTATTCTGTTATTGAACTTTGAAATTGTATATGTTCTGAACTAGGTGGCACAATGGAACTCACAATTGACTCTTGTTTTTCTCATCTTACTCCCATTCTACACAGGAAGCTGCTCCGGGAGGATCAGCTTGAAGCTGTGACCAAGACTGCTCAGCAAGAGGAGTTAGAGCGAAGAAAACGTCTGGAGCAGCAGAGGAAAGATTACCCTCTGCCTATCATCCCGACACTGCCAGCTGTGCCCCTTGACTTTCTGAATGGTGAGCCCTGCAGTTTTAGGGTTAAAGCTTGGTCAAAGAAACATGTGAACGTTGGAGATGTGAGTGGTAGTAATTACAGATCTACTCCTTGTTCTGTTTCAACAGAGGAAATTGAGTTGAGACCAGCAGATGTGTCACAGATTGTGAGCAGTCAAGAAATTATATGTCTGGATACGAGTAGTGGTGACAGTGACGATGACTCGAAGGAAACTGTGCACGGGCTCAAGGATGGTAAGAAAAAGAAAGAAAAATCAAGGCATGACGAAGACCATAAGAACTTGGTAGTAATTTGATTTCTAGGAATTTTAAAGGAAGCTGATGAAGTATTGCAGAAAAAGATTATAGGTTGCAAGAATATATATGAATGATATTGAAGAAGCAGAATTTGATTTAAAGGTGACTGCAGATAGTTGTTCCTCAGGCTTTAATATTTTATTAAGTGAGATATACCTCCTGTTAGGGAGGAATGTGTGTCCAATAAAGTGCTAAAGATCAAGAATAAATCACATCTGCTCAAAACACATGTGTGGAAATACCCTATTATCCACACTTAAAATAGTCCAAAATCTATAAGGTAGTATAAGTGCAAAAATCTACACCTCTAAGTGGAGTGCTGAGAGAAATAACGGGGTACACTTACCCCATATAACTTGGGGTGACAATATTTGTGGGGATGGCACTATCCCTAAGTAGATTCAATAGGCTCCAGAGGACTATTTTAAAATAATTAGATTTTAATACAATATACACAAATAACATATGAAAGACTAAAGTGTAAAAAGTCCTGGATAAGCCGAAACGCGTTTCACTCTTGTAGAGCTTCCTCAGTCAGCTGTGCACTACTTGTATTAAAATCTAATTATTTGAAAATAGTCCACTGGAGCCTACTGAATCTACTTAGGGGTAGTGCCAGCCCCACAAATATTGGCACATAGCTACTACTCCTCAGAGCCAGGATACAGGGCTCTGAAAAAGGTGAGCACTTTACTTATTTTCACCACTGCAACAATTGAGACAGACAGCACATTTGTTCTCATCTCTCTATGTGTTATCTTTGAGATCCAACATATTGTGGAATGCAGGTGTGATGCTGCCTTAAAAGCATACAAGCCTGAATACGGAGCCAGTGTTTATGTATAGGCTCCTTTAAATGTGAGTGTTCCACTTCACAATTATTTTATCTAGTTTATCTTTATGTACCATCTGCACTATATTGCTTTTTTTACTCTTTTCACATGTACTGCAAATTAAACTTGCTATCAAGTTATATGGGGTAAGTGTACCCTGTTATTTCTCTCAGTGCTCCACTTAGAGGTGTAGGTTTTTGCACTTATACCGCCTTATAGATTTTTAATACTTTATTAATTCATTATATGATAATAGGTATATTCATCAATGTGTAAGAATAATCTCAATTAATCAAAGGATTCTTTCGTTTTCACTTCGCGATGCATGATCACCAACTTTGCTCATTTGAGATATAGATGGAAGGATAGAGTAATACGTTGTAGAATGCAAGGATTTAACAATGTGTTAAAAAGCATTTTCCTTCTCCTCCCCCTTTGCCCTACTCATCTCTGCTTTTCCTCACTCAGAAATAATAGAGCTGAGCTCTGGTGAGGAGGAGTCTTTGCACATTGTAGATAGCGGAGAGTCCACCAATGATGCTGATGAAGATCTAGGTACAGAAAACAGTGGCTCACATGTCAACGATGCTTTGAACCTACCAGATGCGTTAGGTCGTGTCTTGGTTAATATCAATCACCCACCCAATGAAAAAGACATTTTCCTGGCTCCACAGCTTGCACAGGCTGTTAAACCTCACCAGGTGACTAGAGGGACACTTTGCTATACCTTTTCATTCTATAGCTCTACACTTCCTTTGTCAGTCAATCTTACTACATTTCATCTGTATATTTTTCCATGTCTGGCATATTCCTCCATGTTTCTATCAAGATTGGTCTTCTTCGTATCTCTTTGCAGGCCCTCATACTTCCTCCTCCCCCTCCTAATGTTGCTACTTTCACTCTCTCATCTTCTCCTGCTCCATAAACTCACTGTCAACTGTTTCCCCATTGCGTCTTCTTGCCCCCTGTCATCCTATGTCTAATTTCTTACTGCCAGATTGGAGGGATCCGCTTCCTGTATGATAACCTTGTCGAGTCACTGGAGAGATTCTCTGGCAGCAGTGGGTTTGGCTGTATCCTAGCACACAGTATGGGTCTGGGAAAAACCCTGCAGGTCATCTCCTTCCTGGATGTGCTTTTCCAGCACACATCGGCCAAGACTGTGCTAGCAATTGTACCGGTAAGAGCAGGGTTATTTGCATCTGGTATATACCAGAGCTGAAAGTCTCAGTTTGTACTGTTGCTGCATGTACCTTAGTGTTTATCTACTAAACCCAGAATTGTGGAAACTGAATTGTTAGGCATTGAAGTTGAACTGGGAATATAATGAAGTTGATGTTTTCCAGGTCATCACTGTTTGCCTAAAATACACATTTTCTTTTTTTCAGTTTTACACAATTCTCAATTTACTGAATAATCCTCCAAAAACAAGTGATGATAAAGTTTACACATTTAAACAATGTTATTTCCTGCTTCAATTTCTAGTAACAAATGCAATACTTTAAGGCAACAGAGTAGCCTGTAATTCTTTTATTAACTCTGAAGATTAAAATAACTGTAGAGATCTGTAAAATGGCAGCATCCAAATGCCTCTTGCAAAGCCTGTCTGAAATGTTGTTTTGTGCATTGCAGGTGAACACCTTACAGAACTGGCTGGCCGAATTTAATATGTGGCTTCCTCCAACTGAATCCCTGCCTCCTGATCATAACTCTCAGCTGATCCAGGGAAGAGCATTCAAAGTCCATTGTATGAGTGACGAACACAAGTGAGTGAGCGCTGTGGAGGAGCTAAAATGCATTCCACTCATACACTGCTTTAGAATGTATGCACACTGATGCTGCTGCAGCTTATGCATAGATAATCACAGGCTATTAGTGCCTAGAGACTGTGTAGAGGCCTGGCTATCTCATGATATTTAGTTCTGTGACATTAGTACTGGAGTTATTAGTTATACCTACCTTTTGAATTAACCACAATGTTTGCACAGACTGGTATTTATAGCAAAGAAGAAGACAACTCTGTCCCTACATCCCCCCATGTCCCCGTTTTCAGGTACATTTGTAATTCTGTAAATTTCATCTTACCCCACTAGGACAACGGCAGCTCGAGCCAAGGTTGTTAATGAGTGGTCAACAGAGGGTGGTGTTCTGCTAATGGGATATGAGATGTACAGGCTTCTTTCCCTCAAGAAGTCCTTCACTACTGGGAGGAAGAAAAGGAGTAAAAAGGCAGCAGGGCCTGTGATTATAGATCTGGATGAAGAGGATCGGCAGCAGGAGATGCTAAAAGGTAGGATTAGCAGACTTGACCAAAGGTTATTGGTTGGATCAATGATTCATTGAATTGCATTTTATCTTACCTATTCTTTTCATTCCACAACAGCTTTTCTCTCTACTGATCTGTGCTCTGTTTTTCTCCATGTACCCAAACACAGGGATAGAGAAAGCCCTGTCACGACCTGGCCCAGATGTGGTGATCTGCGATGAAGGTCATCGTATAAAAAATTGCCATGCGAGCACATCTCAGGCTCTGAAAAACATTCGGTCTCGGCGGAGGGTGGTGTTGACAGGTTACCCCCTGCAGAACAATCTTATTGAGTACTGGTGCATGGTTGATTTTGTGCGACCAGACTTTTTGGGTACCCGTCAGGAATTCAGCAACATGTTTGAGAGGCCCATACTCAATGGACAGTGTACAGACAGCACCCCTCAAGACAAACGACTTATGAGATACCGCAGCCATGTGTTGCATAGTCTTCTAGAAGGCTTTGTACAAAGGTGAGTACCCACATGCACCCCCAATGAAACAAAATGCCTGCAAAACAGGGTGTTCTTTGGCATATAGTTATATACAATAGTGATCGCCTAAAAGCACCAGCACACAGTTAACTCTGAAACACCAAAACAATAAATTTAATATAAAACCAGAATAACTGTGTGGTGTGTTTATATGTGCAGAAAATACACAAATCAAAGTTAAAACCCAACGTGACATCTCATTAAGTAATTAAATGCTTACTTTTCCATGTGTTGTAGTAAGTGCCAAGGATGGAATAATATATCTTTACTTGTCACATATCATAACAGACAAAACTGGTCGGAGAAATCACCATAAGAGTGTTGGACTTGGCTGTTTACACTTATGGAAGTGCTTCCCTGTGGACTAAGGTGGCTTTGATGTTTAGTGTGAAGATCCACTATTATCCATTGGCACATGTGATACTTAATTTTAAGCCATTGACAAGTGAGGATTTATTATTCCGTTCTTGGCACTTACAATATATGGAAAAGAAAGCATTCAGTTAGTCAAGTATTTCAGTTTGGTGTTTTTTGTTTTTTTTAAATTATTTATTTTTCAATTTTTTAACTTGGCATAAACAGTAAGACAAACGTTATAGCATATCGGCTTGTGCAAAAGCCTATAGTATATGTCGTGCAATTCCACTTTGTTATACATTATGTAGTTCAGTACATTATCTTTTTACTCTGCTCAATTCTACTGTCAACCAAGGTGTATTTTTAGAAGAGTACACTGAAGATAGCGAAAACCGTCTGCCAGTTCGCACTTCTGCCATTGTACCATTTGTTTTTCTCACCTTCCATATCTACAGTGCTTGTACCGCCCTTTTGCTTATCTTTTGTATCTGGCATACGCTTGGTCCCATGTAAAGCATGGGATAAGAAAAAAGAAAGGTAAAGAAAGGGAAAAAGGAAAAGACAGACATTTAGAAAGAGATGAGGGGGCACTGGCGAGCGCGGCGGGGAACAGGGGCGGCTGGTCCTTAACGCTTGTGACTATGTTGCATAGTGGCTCTGTCTATGGTGACTGTCTATCTTGTCTCCTGGCTCCTCATGGGGCTCTGTGACGCACCGTTGGCACTCCGACCGAGTACCTCCGCCAATCGATGCTCCTAGTGCTTGCCAGAGGAGTCCAAGCACTCCAACCGACACCATCCGCACTGCAGACCCCACTTCCAGCGATGCAGCTGCGCCGGGGTCTCGCCGTCTCTCACCCACCCTGGATCCAAGGCCAGGACCCAGCTTCCAGTGGGTGAACCTCTCCTAAATCCAGAGAGCAGGAACCCGGAACAAAACAACCTCTTGCAAGAGCTGACTCTGGGGAGTATGTGATTATAGCAATCCCCAGAGTGTAGTTATCCCATCCCCGAAGCATGAGCCAAGGCTTCAAGAAAGGGTCAAGCAGTTCTGGTTTATTGAGGGCTACCTGCCCGGTATTTATGCAAGTGTCCACCAGGTGGACCTACACAGACCAGTGGGAGCGGGACCTTGGTGACCTGATGGAACAATGGGACACATATTTGATATTAGCCTAGGGGTCCTAGGGGACCTGATGGAACAATGGGACACATATTTGATATTAGCCAATCAGAGACAATACAAACAAAACACTCCCACAGTGACATCACAATCCCTCCTCTCTATCCTGGAGATAATTGGGAAGTAATCAAATTATCTCCCAGGACAGAGGCAAGACTCCATTAACCACATGGTTATAAAAAGACATAAAATTACACAATGTTACAATTACTACATAAAACATATACATGCAACATATCCCCAGATAGCTTAGATCTGAGCACATTATTACCGAATGGCGCTCAGATCACATACATACAGTTCAATCGCCATGGAGCCAAAGTCTTTTCCATAGTCTTTCGTTACACGAATAGGCTCCATGGCATAGCTATCTGGGGTAGCACTACTCACATATTGAAAGTTCCGAACGCCCAGGCAGAAATACACAAATAAACATTTCTGCAGGGTAAAATACAGCTATCAGCACAGGGGCCATAGTCGGAAGGCAGGAGGCTAGCCAGTAGTCCCCTCCAGGCACAAGTGGTGAAGGGCACTTCGTCACAGGCTCCTCTCACTTACCTCCCTGTCCCACTGGGCTGTTATCCCAGGGTTCCCATATTTTTTGGAACGCTACTGTGGTGCCGTTCACCCTAGCTGTTAGGTCATCCATTAATCTGCTATCTTTGATCCTAGAAAATATTTTGGTGAAGCTCGGTCCCTCTGGCGCCAACCACGCTGTTGCTATCGCTCTATGTGCGCTTAACGTAATCTTGTGCAATAGTTTTTGCTCCATCCTGGTCCACCCCTCTAGAGACCTATTCAGGAGGTAGACCCAAGGGTCCCAAGCTGGTGATCTATGGAAGATCTGTTGCACTAAGTTCTCGACCGATTTCCAAAATCTATTTATAGTTGGGCATTCCCACCACATATGTATGTACCTTCCTCTGTTACCGCACCCCCTCCATCTGTGTTTATTTTATGCATTCTAAAAAGCTTCAGTGGGGTCATGTACCATCGGAACATGGTTTTCCACGACTGCTCCTGAAGCATCACGCACATTGATGTATTTTTGCTGGCTTCCCAGATTTCCTGTCATTTAATTCCTTCCAGGATCTTGCCAAAGTCCCGTTCCCACTGGTCTGTGTAGGTTAGTCTGCCCCACTCTGTGTTTTCGGAGCTAAGGTGGGCATACAGCAGTGTTATTAAACCCTTAGGTGCTTTCTCTGTTGTGCACAGCTTCTCGAAGAAGGTCAGCTGTCTGCAGGCTGCTTTTTTGATGTGGGTGCGGTTGGCAAAGTCTCTAAGTTGCACGTATCTGAAGAAGTCCAAAGGTGTTAAATTATGATTTTGCTTAAGGTCTTCAAACTGTACTATTTCTCCCCCCTGGAACATGTGGCCTATCCTCTGTAGACCTACCCTTTCAAGGTTGCGAAATTCCCTTGCTGCCATACCCGGAGGGAAGGCTCTGTTTCGGAGCAGTGGCATTTGTGGGGACGGGGAAGAGGCCAGGCCGTATTTGATGTTTGTCGCATCCCATATACGTAGTGTGTTCAATATTGCTGGGCATGTCGCCCTTATCAAAGATCTGTGTACCCACATCGTAAACTGTGGGAGGTCCGATCCCACCATGAGAGCCTCTATGTCTACCCATTTCCGTTCGTCTGGGGGGGAGTGCCACATAACCACCTGTGCCAGTTGGGCTGCTAAGTAATAAAAATAAAGGTTCGGTAGGCCTAGTCCCCCTCTGTCTTTTCTCCTGTACAGAACCTGTCTGGAGATCCTATGTCTCCTGTTCTGCCATATGAAATTCCCTATTGCTTGTTGTAGGGGTACCAATTGTGTTTTTGTAATGCGTATGGGCAGCGTCTGAAAAAAGAAGAGGATACGTGGGAGAATATTCATTTTGACAGAATGTCAGTTTGGGTTTTAACTTTCACTTTTTAGTGTATTCGTTTCTGCATATATGCACCACACAGTTGTTCTGATTTTATATTACATATATGGTCTTTGGGCATGTTTGAGGTGCAGCAGAAAACAGAATGGCCTTGTGTCAGGGTAAATTCTGCCTCAGTGTCCCTTGTAACTGTCAAAGAATTACATTTTTGGTGGAGGGCGACTTCCATATGTATAGCTGTCATATTAAAACCCCTTCCAAGGAAATAAATACAGTATACTGAGTTAATGGCTCTACTTATCCCTAAATATATAATGTAATGTATGATTGTTGTTTTATATATAATTTGGCCCTGCTTTGTATTTACTCTCTTTGCATTAAACATTTTTCTGTCATCCTCTCCTAATTAGACGTGGACACACAGTGTTGAAGGCCCAGCTCCCATCCAAAGAGGAGCATGTCATACTGGTGCGTCTGTCTTCCATCCAGCGGGCCCTATACACAGAATTCATGAACCGTTTTCGTGATGCAGGGAACAGTGGCTGGCTAGGCCTCAACCCACTTAAAGCTTTCTGTGTTTGCTGCAAGGTGAGCAGGAGAGATTTCAACACTTCTTATATTCTTGATTTTACATACATATTTTTTGTTGGGGGGGAGGTAGAGGGTGTGGTATGTCTATTTCTCAGTTCTTTCTTTCCCGGGTGCCACCAGCCATGCGCAATATACCTTCTGTCTGTGATTTTCCACCACCTTTCTTCATGCTAACTTCATACTGTATCTCTCCCTATAGATATGGAACCATCCTGACGTACTTTACGAAGCACTCCAAAAAGAGAACTTGGCAAATGAGCAAGATCTGGATGTAGACGACCTTGGCACAAACACCCGCTGCCAGCCTCAGAATGCTAAGGTCAAGATGGAGCCTGGAACACTAGGGGCATTCATGGGAGAGTCCAACAGCAAGCTGCTGCAGGGGATGAGCCTGAATCCCACCCAGGAAAAAGCCAATCAAGTAGTCACCTATGAGTGGGTAGGTGCCAAACAAGTCACATATGAATGAATGTACATTGGGGGCTTTGGAAGGTAGGCCTGAGGGGTCAGTTCCACTATCAAACAGAGCTTAGGAGGTGCAGCCATATTAAATTAGTGAGTTGTCATGTCCTTTAACTGAGAAGTACTGCGTGGTAGAGGCAGATGGTAAGATTTATGCATGGTGGCCTGCAATCCCACAGCTCTCCAGGACTGAACTGGCTCACTGGGGTGTTTCCCTGTGGACTATAGTTTATGCGGTTGACCAAGCTTCTATACAATGGTGAGTATGTATGGTGTCACTGGAGAGTTTTGCAGGTGTCTATGAGGTGGGATGAGACTATGTTTATTATCACATGTCAATGGTGGTAATTGAGTTCTGGAATTTCTTGGGCATGCAGAGATCTTTGCACTCCCTCATGCTGAGCATCCTTCATTTGTCAAAACCCCTGTAGCACATGTGTTGTGTGTATGTAGGAATTTCTATGTGTTTCTTGACCCCCAGACAATGCAATGTGTTTCTTCTTGGTCCCATGTAAAAAAATTGCCAGCTCTCCCTTGTGATTGTACCAAGGGGTGTCCAAATGTGTCCCTGGGTCTGTTTGGTTGCACCATATTTGTCATGCCTACTGACACACTATATCAATAGACTCCCATATTTGCTAGGGACTTTTATTTTCCAGTACTGGTTGCCTGTCTATATACCTCAGATCCTTATAATACACATGATGATTTGGTGCCTTGACATGGAATATTTTGTAATCTCTGAAACTGTCCGTGTAGTAATATTAAAGAGATCCTGTAGTGAAAAATTATTGTTGGCTATCGGATCAGGAGAAAATGAATCTTGATAAATTAGGAATTTGTTATTACATTTTTCTCCAGCAAACAAGCACAATAATTATTTCTAGTTGTCTGCATTATGAGGGTAGCCGGTAAATAGCCAAACTAGTGTGAAAAAGTGGAGCTGCTTTACTCTATTATAGACAGAAAAAAACAGAATTGGGGGGCACAACCAGCGCATGCATTTCTTAGCAGTGGTAATGCTGTAAAGAGCAAAATAAATAGAAATTACAAATTAAGAAACCGCACACATTAAAGAAAAACTGTTTTAAGTCTTACAAATCTTAAAATCAACTATCTTGGCAAACAAACATGTCGTCTGGTTACACCCCTTTGGAGGTGACCACAGGAAAGCATAACTTTGGGGAGAGTGAGACCCCATATTTGTTTGCTAACGTAGGTGATTTTAAAGGGACACTCCAGGCACCCAGACCACTTCTGCCCATTGAAGTGGTCTGGGTGCCAACTCCCACCACCCTTAACCCTGCAAGTGTAATTATTGCAGTTTTTATAAACTGCTATAATTACCTTACAGAGTTAAGTCCTCTTCTATTGGCTGTCTATCAGACAGCCACTAGAGGGACTTCCGTGTTTTAAACGACGCTGGACGTCCTCACGCTATGCATAAGGACCTTCAGTGTCGCCGGAATCCCCATAGGAAAGCATTAAATGCACATTAGGTCTCCCCTTCCAGCTGACGTGGGTGGAGCCTGACCCAGCACCGAGGGATATCGGCGCTGGATTCAGGTAAGTCACTGAAGGGGTTTTAACCCTTTCAGAAACATGGAATGGGGGTTGGGAGGGTGAGGGGCACTGCAGGGTCCTGCAGTGCCAGGAAAACGAATATGTTTTCCTGGCACTGGAGAGTCCCTTTAAATAGCGCTGTAAATTTTATTTTTTTGTTGCACTGTTCCTTAATTTGTATTTTGCTCTGTTACATTGTGAATGATGTGATGTACTAAATAAAAAGAAAACTGCTAATTCCTTTCTTTTTAAGTGTTCCCCAGCTTTCCCATCCGCTAGCATCGCCATCCACACATGCATGATTAGCTACTTAAAATGTGTTTGTGATCTTTGGACAGGTTAGTGAAGCTTCTGACCAAGGATCATCTAAAGCAGGGGTGCCCAAAAGGTAGATCCCCAGATTTTGTAGAAATACAACCCCCATGATGCTTTGCATGCCTTCAGAATGACCAAGCATCATGGGGGCTGTATTTTTAAAACATCTGGGAATCTCGGCCGACTGAACACATTTGCAAAAGCTGCAGATCTGGTTTCTCCTACCTTTTTAAGTTCTCGCCTTCTAATCCAGACTTTTTGTTGCTGTCCATTTGCAGATTTCCCAGTACAGCTCATTGAATCTTTGCAAAGTAGTTACTCCGAGCAATTGTCTGCCTCTTGAGTTTAGCCCTGTAACATTCTCTATGGTAAAGATAGTTAAAGAGGTAGCTGGTAAAATTACTGCTTCTTCTGTAAACGTCAAGCTTCTTATATTTTCTGAACTCTGATGTAAGTGTGTGACTGGTCTGATTCACATTTTCTTTTTTTAGGCTAAAGAAATTCTATATGATTATCAGCCGGGTCAGCTGCAGAACTCGCCCAAGATGGTTCTGTTATTCTACTTGATTGAGGAGAGTATGAAAATGGGTGATAAAATTCTTGTTTTCAGGTATGAGCAACAAGTGCTACTGCTTTGTTTTGTCAATCAATAGTAATAAATAACAAGACAGAATTTGTATGTATCCTGTTTAGAGATGGAAGGGCTTGGAAAAAACGGGTGGGGGAAAAACAAAATTGTTTAAAAAAAACAAAAAACCCGTTTCTTTTGCCAGTATGTAATATATTTATTTTAAAATGATAAATAATATGTACATGACGTGGTGTTCATATATTTAAACCTCTTGTATTATGCATAAAAACTATACAACGTTACTTTTAGAAAGTTTAAGAAAGACTTAATATCTTTGTAATCATTGCATTTCCCGTACCCTGAAGACAAGCAAATCCTGCAATACAATTCAAATACTTATAGGGTTTTCTAAGTGACTGAATCTCAAATTCAAACAGCCAAATTGGAAACATTCTCAAAGTCAACTATTCTCTCAGATTGGTACTTTGGTCTGAAATCTGGAATTCAGTATGAATTTTCACTTGTAAGAATATACTGAAGATGCAATTTTCAAAATAAAATACATTTTCTTTTTTTTAAAAATATTTATTTTTGTCATGCATAGTTAAACATTCAAGCTTGTCATTACATATCAAATGGAAGTAAACGCAGTAGGAACATTTGCATGTTTGCTACATGACATGTCAAAAGACTTTTTTATGGTTTAAGGCGTCATAAGAAAAGCATTCATGCCTGAATATTATGGTTGGTAATAGCTTAGAAAAATATGGCTTATGACAGGCATGGATATTGCAGGCTTGGCATTAATTTGTGAGTACGTTAAAATGCATTTCTGTCCCTAGGAGCACAGAAGTGATGTTTCACTTTATTTTGCTTGTGGGCTCCATATTGTTGGAATAGTTTATTGGTGATTCTGTCCTCTCAGTGAGGCATTAAAGGGGCACTTTAGGCACACAGACCACTTCATCTCGATGAAAGGGTCTTGGTTCAGTGCTCCTATCGGTTATCATTGTAGTCCATTGCAATGTTTCCTTTGCAGGGCTAAACACACCTCTAGTAGCTGTCTTGCTGACCGCCCGAGAGGCGCTTCTACTGTAAGAACTGAATCAGACTCTGTTACTATACAGCATTTCATGCTTCTCTTTCCCACCTTCTTTCCTTTTTTTTAACATTTCATTTAGGGAGTTCCCTAAGTAGGGATAAGAACACTATAGCATTGGGAATAAATGTTTGTATCCCTAACACTATAGTGTTCCTTTTATTGAAAGGTAAGAGTTTTAATTCCTCTGAATTCTGAAAAATTAACTATATTATAAAGGGACACACTCCACTGCCCATATACAAAATAATCACTGTTTAGTAAATATACCCCAAATGAAAACTTACATGCCTTTATTTATGCATTTTTATTATTGGGGGTAATATCTAAAAACAATGTAACAAAATCATTTTTAAATCATAAGAGTATTCTGCTTTGCATTTTTATTTTTATGGAAAAAAAACAGAACTGTTTATTTTCATGCCTTTAAAATTTCAGTAAATTTTACATCTCTAGTGCTGTTTAAGATCACTAAGTGAAATGACGAATCGCCATTCTGAAGACTACGACAAAGAGTACAAGTTTCCTAAGGGCAGAATGGATTAGGACAGTTATTTTGTGCTATGAGTGTTGTCTTGTTTCCATGAACTATTTTATGGTCCAAAATCCACAAACATTTATTGTTTGGTCCATCAATTAATTGTCTCTTATACTTCCTATAGCCAGAGCCTGTCCACATTGTCCATCATTGAGGAATTTCTAGCTAAACGACCAATGCCAGCCCGTCAAGAGACAGATGATCAAGAGAATCAAACTTGGGTTAGAAATATCAACTATTATCGTAAGTGGAACAGCTTGTAATATTGATATTTGGCAGGCTGCATGAGTTATTTTATACAGTTATGTGAGATGTGTGTTTGACTGCTCAGTTTTTAACCTGCCTTTGCAAACAAGATCACTGTTTAGTGTGTTCTCCTTATGTCTATATTTTCCATAAACTGTTCATTTAATAAAGTGCTTGATTGTGTTTTGCAGTTTGTCATGTGCACAGAGATAGATAGTACAGATAGTAGATAGTACAGAGATAGATAGTACAGATAGTGCATCCAGACATTTGACACTTGTCCATGCTGTGTTATTTTAATCATGAATAATAATACTGTGATTCCCTTTTTATTGTAGGATTGGATGGAAGCACCTCTGCCACGGAAAGGGAGCGATTAATAAATCAGTTTAATGACCCAAATAACAAAAATATTTGGCTCTTTCTGCTGTCCACGCGGTGAGTTGAATTGGGTCCACACAGAATATGAAAGAAATAGTGTAAAGTTGGTGATAGTTTTGGTAGAATGTGACCATTTTACAGAATTAAAGATAACAACAATGGTCTGTTAGGGCAAGAGATTAAATGTATCCCTGAAAGTACTCTTTTACTATTTATAGTGCTGGATGCCTTGGTGTGAACCTGATTGGAGCCAACAGAGTGGTGGTGTTCGATGCCTCCTGGAACCCATGTCATGATGCCCAGGCTGTGTGCCGAGTGTATAGGTATGGCCAGAGGAAGCCTTGTCATATCTACCGGCTAGTGTCTGACTACACCTTGGAGAAGAAGATTTATGATCGTCAAATTACCAAGCAAGGAATGTCTGGTGAGCAAGAATGGCTAATTGAAAGGATAATATGAGCATTAAATGGGCGCACCAAGGTGCATTTTACCACTCATTTGTGGAACTATCTTTTTGTGTTGCTCCATTTGATTCGTTGACTAAAACTTGTCAGTAGTCCGCATATGAACATACACTCACTACAGTCTCTATGACAATATGAAAGTGATATCAGAGCGATAAAGTTAGGTTAAAATCTTTTCTCCTTCTTTAATTTGCAAACTTGCTGTTATGAAATAAAATCTTAACCGTTTATGGTCAGACAATATGCATTTTGTTTTCAAGCAACATACTGCCTGGAATGTTCTGGTTAGTATAAGTTTTTTCTAAGATAAGATCTCTGCTTTCAGATCGTGTGGTTGATGACCTGAACCCCGAGGTGAACTTTACCCGCCGAGAGGTGGAGAACCTACTGCATTTTGTGGAAGAGGAACCAGATGCTTCCCGCCAGCATTTGGACCCTTCCAAATACCATGAGACCGTCCTGCATCAAGCCTGCCTTCTGTACCCAAACCTCATCACCAAGGTAAGGGAATGTAATATCACTAATTAGTCTTGATGTTTCCAGTATGAGTTTGCATTGCTGGAATGTCATCACAATGCTACAATAATTAAATTAAAGATGTGCCTGTGTTTAGTGTGCAGGACTAACAAAACACAAACAAATTTAACCACTTAAGACCGGAGGGCGTACTATTACGCCCTATTCTAAGCGGCTCTAAACGCCGCCGGGCGTAATAGGACCTCACAATCACATGGCTGGGTTAGCTGCCTGCTGCATTGCCAGCAGGGGGACTGCCTGTAATGACAGGTAGTCCCCCTGCTGGCTGGAAATAAAATAAAGTTAATAAAGTGTAAAAAAAAATTATAATGATATACTTAGATCATATATATATATTTATACACATATACATACACTGTCTAGGTGTATTTTACTATTAATATATATAATTATATATAGACTGATACTGATTAAATATATATATAATTATTGTTATATATATATTTATATATAATATATTTAAAAAAAAGTAAATACGTTAAAAAATAAAATTACAAAAATAATAAAAAATAAATAAAAAATATATAGATGTGTGTTATTTCGTTTTAACTATATTGTGATATTAATATATATATTTATATCAAAATACACGTAGAACGAAATAATATATATAGCTATATACATATATATATTCGTATATATCACTATATATATACCTATATATAAATAAAAATATTAAAAAAAAAAATATATATATATATATATATATATATACATATATTAATTCTACATATATATTTATGTAATATTTTTACATAATTAGGTATCTTAATTAATTACAATTAGCAGGACCTGCCTGACAACCCATGCCGAAAGAAAAGGGAATTTAATTTGCTAGCACTATATTTAGCCCTATAACTTTCCAAGACACCATAAAACCTGTACATGGGGGGTACTGTTCTACTCAGGAGACATCGCTGAACACAAATCTTAGTGTTTCAAAACAGTAAAATGTATTACAACGATGATATCGCCAGTAAAAGTTAAATTTGTTTTGCATTTTTCACGCACAAACAGCACTTACACGGACGATATTATTGCTGCGATACTTTGTACTGTTTTGAAACACAAATATTTGTGTTCAGCGAAGTCTCCCGAGTACAACAGTACCCCTCATGTACAGGTTTTATGGTGTTTTCAAAAGTTACAGCGTCAAATATAAGGCTTGCGTTTCATTTTTTTCACATTAAAATTAGCCAGATTGGTTACGTTGCCTTTGAGACCCTATGGTAGCCCAAGAATGAAAATTACCCCTATGATGGCATACCTTTTGCAATAGTAGACAACCTAAGGTATTGCAAACAGGGTATGTCCAGTCTTTTTTTAGTAGCCACTTAGTCACAAACACTGGCCAAAATTGGCGTTTTTTGCATTTTTCACACACACAAACAAATACTAATGCTAACTTTGGCCAGTGTTTGTGACCAAATGGCTACTAAAAAAGACTGGACATACCCCATTTGCAATACCTTGGGTTGTCTACTATTGCAAATGGTATGCCATTATGGGAGTAAATTTTATTCCTGGGCTACTATACAGTCCCAAAGGCAACGTAACCAATCTGGCGAATTTCAATTTCAAATGTAACGTGCTATGTTTGACCCTGTAACCTCCCAAAACGCCATAAAACCTGTACATAGGGGGTACTGTTTTACATGTGAGACTTTGCTGAATACAAATATGTGTATTTTATTACAGTAAAAGCTGTAGAACTAAAAAAATTTAAATTCTTATTTTCTCCCATTTTTTCATATTAAATTATGTTTCATAGCTACATATTTGATATTAAATGAAAGCCCTGTTTCCCCCGAATAAAATGATATCTAATAAAGGTGGGTGCATTTAATATGTAAGAGGTGAATTACGGTTGGACAGACTTGTAGCGCAAATGCCAGGTTTTGTTTACATTTTGTTTTGTTCACGACGTGTACATTTGGCTCGGGGTTAAGGGAATGACAACTTAATTACAGGTAAGGTCTTGGCGATTGTTTAGTGGGTAGTCTTTAACACAAAACTTATTAAATCCACCATCAAAAGTACAAAATTAAGTCGCTCCAATCTGTCTGCACTTTTCAGGAGCCTTTCCAGCACGAGTCTCTCCTTTTGGATCGCAAAGAGCAAAAATTAACCGCATCAGAGAAGAAGGCAGCAAAGCGCGGGTATGAAGAGGAGAAGAGGGCTTCTGTGCCCTATTCACGACCTTCTTATACTCAGTACTACCCTGCACCTGATCACAGCCTGGGGAACATACCTGCTTTTAGTCAGAGGAACTGGTGAGTGCTGAGACAACATGGCAGTGGGGGCAGGTGGTGAAATAAATGAGTAAATGAAATATAATCAATTCTCTTTGGTCTCCATCTTAGGCGTCCACTGATGAAGGGCGATGACCGGCCTGTTGCAAGCGTTCGTCCTTTGCAATCTACTCCTATTCCCATGATGCCACGGCATGTTCCTATGAGCCATGGGTCTGCATCTAACTCTGTTCACCCATTCAACTTCCCTGTTAATTACTTGCAGAGAGCTGGAGTCCTTGTTCAGAAGGTTGTAACCACCACAGGTATGCCACACTTAGTAACTCATACATTTGGAACTGTTAACCTCAAACTTGCCATTTCCAGCTACTGTTTTTATTGTTGTACACGTAGTGAATAGTTTGAAGCCACATTTATATTAGTAAAGTAGCTGGCATTTCCTCTGCTGTACAAATGACTGTGTTTTAATATGCATCTGCAAACTCAGATCAGCTGAATCTATAGGCAAGTTAAACCTACAAGACCATGTTGCTTTTACTGTTTCAAAGAAATAGTAAGTAGGTTTAATTACTATAGTTGGAATTGTGGAAAATTGTGAATTGGACATTTTAGAGCAAAATAACCAATACCCTCTGTTATTTTTCCAGTTTGGTTATTTTGATCTGAAAAGTATGCAATTCTCTCTTTATTTCTGCAAGTTCCAAGTGTATTGATTAAAATCCAAAAGTTTCTTGCCCTCCTGTTTGCCTCTCAAACATTTTAATCTTATGATGGCTCACCAAGGGCTAATAAACATTTAATCTCATTGAATCTGTTATTGTGCCTGGAGTCCCCTGGCACTGTCCCTTCATTCAGTGTTAAATAATTTCCAAGCAGTTCAACCCTGAAAGATAGTACCTTGCCCCTACTGGAGGTATGGCTAAAGTAGAGATTACACATTTCCCTCCAGCCATATGCATGCATACCTGCAGTGGGCACTGTGATAGGCTGACTTTTAGCCAATCACAGCAGTCCATTGCTGTTCAGCATTAGCTCATGCAGCACAGAGGGATGTGTTTAATTCTAAATGGAAAGACAGCGCATGGAGACTCCAGACACAATGACCACTTCAATAAGAGGCAGCAGTTATATTGCCTACAGTGTCCCTTTAAAAAGGTTTGAAGCTGTCATCCTGAATATAACTGATTTTAGCCCTTTTGTCCTATCCGCAGACATTGTCATCCCAGGAATGACCACTTCCACAGATGTGCAGGCGCGTATCAGTGCAGGAGAAAGTATCCATGTTATCCGTGGTACTAAAGGTGAGCCTAGGCTGTAAAACCAAATGCTTACTTTCAAGAACTCCAGGCAATATAGCAATTTACTTTAAATGAACTGTTCTCGAACAGTTTAACCCCAAAGTTGTCTCCATCACTGATCTCCATTGGCACTGAGGCAGCATCCGGCTTTTGAAATTTCACTTTTACTAGTTTTGCAAATGGGGAGTCAATGATTGGCTGAGAGCGTATCAGGGGCACCTCTACCCGGCGCATTCCACACTTCCTGAAAGTAAAATTTCAGAAGCAGGATGCTGCCTGAGAACAGTTTAGCTCCTTGAGCTAAGACAAAGCCTGGAGACTCCTGGCACCATAATAACTTAATTTAGATGAAGTTATTATGGTGCCTTAGGGAGGCTAAACTGTCCCTTTAACCATTGCACTGATGCAATTAAAGACCCATGTCAAGGAGAGACAGAGTCTGTTTATTTTGATTTTTGTTTGTGTGTATCAAAGAAACGTTTGTTACTGGTAAAATAAAAAAAGAATGAAAAAACTCACCCAGTGCTTACCAACTAAATTTCTTCCAAAAAGCAATAAGAACTTGAAAACTGTGAACTGTAAACCTTGAATTTTGTGAACTTCGAGAAAGATGTGCTCTGTCCTCAATACAAAAAGTACCCAACTACTACACCTGTTTCACAGGTTAAAAGAGACAAACGCTTTGTCTTAGGAAAAGAGTAGGCATTTCTTGTAAACTATCTTACTGTGACTGAATAGAAAAGAGATTGACAAGAAGGACAATTTCAGTAGTGTTTTTAAAGGCCTTTGAGAGCTTGCATAGCTCAACTAGTCTATCCCTTTATATCCTTCCCATCCACCCATGATATTTCAAAGTTACTATAATGCCCCTTCCATCCCTTCTCTAGAAATGTATAGTGCTTTCTGTCTTTATATGATTAATTCAGACATTTTCTGCCATTTTAGAAGCAATTCCTTAAAGGAACACTATAGCGTATTCCTAACACTATTAGTGTTGTCACCCTATTAGTTGCTTAGGTAGCTGGAGCCCACCTGTAGAGTCTTTTACTTACCTTTTCTCCTTTGCAGTGACTGTCTCTGGGCTGCTGTTTTACCTCCTTGACTAAGGTCATTGACCAGTTATAATAGTAGATCCTGTAGTTATAACTTAGTTTACATTCAAATAATTTTGTTGTTCTCATTAGGAACTTACATCCGTACTAGTGATGGGCGGATATTTGCCATTCGAGCAAGCGGCAAACAGAAGAGTGGGGAAGGAAGACGTGCAGCCACCTCTGGTGAGTATAAAATGAGTGAAATTTAAATGTCTAATCAGATGTATAATTAGTTAAGCCAGTGGTTCCCAAACTTTTTAGGTTCAAGGCGCCCTTAATATTTTAGTATTTTTCCAAGGCACCCCAAGTCAAAATTTCTAGGTTGTATATCTGTCCAGCGCTATGGCATTTACTGGCGCTATAGTGTAATATGCAGTGTTGGTGTTTGAAGGGGTGCTTGTATATAGTTATTGTGTTTTAATACGGGGGGGTGTTTGTATGTAATGTTTGCGTGTGATGTACATTTGTGTTTGAGTGAAGGGGTGTGTTTGTATATATATTTTTTTGAGTTTGAATGCAGGGGTGTGTGTGTATGTAATATTTGTGTTAGATTGCAGGAGTCTGCTTATATGTTGTGCTGGTGTTTGACTAATTGGATGTATGCACATACACTACCACATACATACTTACACAGATATTCATGCCCATTAACACACAGATGCATATAAATACACCGACACATACACACAAATTCATATAGACATTGACACATACACACACACAGATACACACCGACACATACACAAATGCTCCCTGACACACACATACATGCCCACACCATGACACAGATACACACACTGACATAAAAACACACACCCTGATACACAGAGGCACATACACAGATGTGTGCGTGCACACAGAAGCACACTGACATATATATATATACACACAGATGCACACCATGACACACTCATACTCCCACACATACACTCATAAGCTTACACACTCATAAATACACTCACACACATACATTCATACACATATGCACAAAAACACACTCAAACACACACACACACACATACATATACACCTCCTACACATACAAACACTCATACACATATACACTCACACTGATATACACACTTACAAACACACTCAAACTCATGCAAACACTCACACACAAGTGATTTTTTTTATATCTCCAGCCACCCTCCTGTTCTCTTACCTTGTGTGTCCAGGAGGGTGGCTTGGAGTCCTGGTCGTGCATCATAACATCGTGGAAACATTCCGCGGCACATCTGTGTGCATGCACCACACAGTTTTGGAACCGCCGAGTTAAGCAATTTTTAAGGCACGTGTGGCCATTTGCAGGGTTAAATAATACTATGATTTTTATATGAAGAAACATGATATCACAAAAAAAAAATTTTTTTCTTTCTCATGGCTGTTTAGAAGATAGCTTTTACTTTGTCGCTACGGCCTCCCCACCTCCCTGGCTGAGATTGTCAAGATTGATGATATCACCCAATGTAATTCTTCCCTTTTGGGAGTTATGTGGAGGTTAGGGCGCATGCACAGCCAAACACCATGCTGAGCCAATCAAATGCTGTCTTTGTGCAACATTTTTCAGCAGAAGAGCTTTTAGTGGCTCTCAGGACAAAAGCCACTAGAAGTGTGTTTAACCCTGCAATCGTAACATTGCCTTATCTACTAAATGGCAATGTTTTAGATTGTAGGGTTAAAACTCAAGGGCCACTGCACCCAGACCAGTTCATTGAGATAAAGTGGTCAGGGTGCCTTTATTGTCCTTTAATTAACTTGGATGAATTACCTTTGAAGGAAATATTAAACAAGCCTTCCAACATACCAATTGGTACTTAAATAAAAACGTACTAAAAAAAACAAAACACCTTTTGTTTCTTTGTGATTATGCTAATCTTCACAAGACTGTTGGTCAGCAGCATCTATTTTTTCTGTTCAGTCGGAGGGGCAACGGGGGGATTAACTACTGTGCAAATTCTATAAGAACGAAAGGAGGAGTATGCTAGTTTTTTTTTTTATCCTTCAGCTTACTTCTTTTCTGTATGAAATATGCCTTATTCATCGTACCTTGTCGGGCATACCTAAATGCTCCTTCATGTTGAGGTCTTAAAATAAAGTGTTATTTTTAAAGGCACCCTCTATGAGGGTATTTCAACAAATCTATTTGTGTGTCCAACCATTTTCATACAAAATAATCCAAATATAGAGTTTGTAATCATTGTGTTCTCTCTTCTCAGGTGCTCAAGGCTCATCTGGTCCGTTTATGAGCAATGGCCGCCATGCCACTTCCAGTCCGTCTCCACAACAGACAGAAGATCCTGCGAGACCTCTTTCTCCTGATAGTCCTGAGATCCTGAGTGAGCTACAGCAGTATGCAGAGGCAGCTGTTGCTCGAGGGTCACACACCACTCCCCAGAATGCAAATCCAAACAGTCATCCCCAAGTGCTGCACCAGGCTGTCAAAACACAGCCCAAAAAGCGCAAAGAGCCACCTGATCATTCAAGTCGCTGGCATCCTAATAAGAGGCACCCCTTTTCTCAATTGGGTTATCCTGGTGCAGGAGGCTTTGGTATGTCATCCTCTTCAGTGAACCATGGTCTGTCCCGGAGTGCAAATTCTGTATACATGGGAGCTAGTGGTTCATCACATTTCCAGCTGCCTTCGTTGCTTTCAGATCCTCAATTAAGCCTCCCACTTGTTCCAGATACTTTATTAACTCCATCTTCGGGAGCTTCATCTGCCCCAAACAACGCGTCACCGTATCTGCTGCCACCTGGTTTCCCCCTCCCTTTCACGCAGCCATTGATGCCTCAAACCCGGATGTTTGCCCCATTCCCATCTCCACTGCTTAACCGAGGACTCCCCACTAATAACCCAGCCTCAAATTTTCCTGGCTACCTCTCTTCTCAATCTGGCTACCAGGGTGTTACATCTGGTAGTGCCTCCCGGACCCTTCCACAAGGGGAGGCAGAGGTAGGTTCCAGTGAAGAGGATGGGAGAGATGACGATGTTGTGGAGATAACAGGGAAGTGAATAAGCAACCATGAACAAAACCATGGGCTTGAGAGGTGGGGCAAATACTGTGATTACTTCCACCCCTCTAGCCTCTGTGTTTCATCTACACTGTGGGCGTTCAATCTAGACGCTTGTGTGTGGGGCAAAAGCTGTGGACAAGAGATCTCATCTACCTGAAAAATGGGGAAGGGCCACCGTGCACAGGATCTAGTAGCCACATGTCATTCCAAGAGGAGAGAGCAGTGAAATTTTGTTACCGGCATCATCGTAATCCCTACTAATTTGCCACTTCTGCAAAGTTTTGGCACCTCCATACTGTACCCAGAAGGCATTTCTAAACTTTCAAATTGACCATTCTCTCCTTTCTCCACGTTTTTACGATAAAATAAATGTTGGATTTCACCAGTTGTGTTGTAGACAGTCTAGGAGTCTTACTGTCTCCCACCTGGCCAAGAAGGCTTTTTCACTCAGAAATCCCCATTTCCCATTTTGTAGTAAGATCGGGTTTGTAGGTATTTCCAGAGATAAAATAATACTAGCCTTACTGCTATGATGTCAGATCTTTTACACAAATCAAGTGTTTATGTTTTACATAAAAGAAGGCTGAACGTTTGGCCTTAGGCTCTGAAATGCAGGAGGTAGAATGTTAAAGGGGAGTATCTGTTCACAATACTGACTCCTTTCTTTCTGTCCTTCTTTCTTTCTCTTTCGTTCCTTCTTTTCCCATTATGCTGATGTGCACTGAATTGTGTCCTCAAAAATGTTAAATTGAAATGTCTTTTGTCAGAAAATATCTACATTCATTAGTGGAAAGAAACAATATTGTTACTTTTCATGCTACAAGGAAAATCCAATTCCTTGAATTCAGGTTGTTCTTCTGGCATTCAGAAGTTTCCAAGATTGTGTTCAAAGGGTCCCCTTGGGAACAATACGAAGCCCACTCATTCCGTTTCCCTTGCTCAGCAGTGAAAAGGGCTTTGAGATTAGTTTTATAGCATTGTATAGTTTCCTGGCCAGTCATAAATTAAACAATATTCCCCTATCAATTTTTTTTTTAAAATATTAAACACATTTTAAGACTTTATTTTTCCCTTTTTTTTTTTTTTTTTTAATACTGCACAAGAAAAAGTTCCATGATATGTTTGCCCAGTAACCTCTAGAAGGGATTGATTCACCTGCCATTTAATCTAATGCGTATGACATGATCTTTTGGTGTGAAATGCATTGTCACTGGTATAACATTAAAAAGAAAGATGACTTATTTTCAGTATGAGCTTATCCAGAAAACCATTATGTATGTGTTCTATCCCAATAATGTTTAAAGCCTCCAAGCCTTTGAGGGCTGTAAGCAGGCCTTGATTTCTGTACTTTGGCAACAGTCCATCAATATGAACACTATAAACTGATCAACCCTTCTATGGCTTAAACAGTAATATCCAGAAATCCTGGCCTGGTTGCATACCCTGAGGCCAGGTATGCTATGCTTGTTTTTATCCTGTCCACAATGACACTTTTACAATCTGATAAAAGCAAGAGGAAATGACTCTATCAAATTCTGTTGTACTAAAGGTTGGTTGATTTAAGTTGCAACAACCACATACTAAAGAGTAGCCAACATGCCTGGGGTTTTAAAAATACATAATGTAGATCAGGATCAAGCTGCCTATGTTATGCTGCCATCTGTGAACAGAAACTACCATACTGATCGGTCACCCTGCCCAGGAGCTTAGCGTTATGGGAGTTGTAGTTCAGCTGATGAGGCCAAGACTGTCTTGCTGCTTAGATCCTACTGCTTTGCATAACCAGGTTGTGTATTTTAAGGGGTTCTGCAAAATGCCATATTTCCATTTTACAATGTTTTACAATGGATCATCCCTTGAAATAAAATGTGAAAAAAATGATAGTAACATTTAATCTGCAATATGCATTTTTCTTAGCAGTCCTTATTTGAAGAGGTGGCCTGATAATCCCCAAATAATGTTCTAAGTATGTACACGGAAATCCAACCCCAGAACATCTAAATGTTTGCAGGTTGTTTTTTTTCTGTTTTTAAATTAATTTTATATTTTCTTTGGTGTCTGTAAAAACGCATCAATAAGAATTTTGGCTGCTAAATCAAAAAGAAAAAATAATTGACAAATGGAAAATTATGAAGTGTAGTAGTACTTATTATTATTACTTTGTGATACGCAACACTGAATGATTAAACTTGTCAGGAGAGGGGGAGAACCTACAAATGCAGAATATTCTGTTGTCCGCAATGATAGGTCCATGGTTTTGTGATGTGTGCAAATTTTAGTTGGTCAGTTGAGCCCTAAATTCGGTACAAAGCAAACAATAACACCACATACACTATACTCAGTGTGATGCTGCCCCCCCTCTTCTCATTATGAACATGTACTTGGCATAAAGGGATGCTGTTATTAAGTCTTTGCCGAATGTTACTAATTTTTCACCATTACTGTACTGCAACTTTAGAGATTTATACAAAGATGACATTTTGGCTGTGAAAGGCTGCGATGGCAACGTACAGAGATACTCAGGATTATAATACGATGAGAAATGGAAAATTACTTTTCAAATGATCACCGATTCCTGCACCAACTTCTTTTTAGTGTTATAGCCCTTTAGATACCAAACTTCTCTCTGGGTTGTGATAAGAGACATCTAGCACAAACCTGACCCAGATTCATGTGTCATTAGGAGACTGCATGAGTTGTGCTACCAGTCAAAGACTATTTTGGAGCAGTTATTAGTTGTGCGGCCTGTCACCTGTTTGTTTATAGGTAGCCTATTTATTTCTATTTTCCTGTGTCCCATGTCATTTTTTTAAAAAACATATATATATATATGGGGGGGGGGAAAATAAACACAAGTTACTCGAGGATGTCATGTTCGTAAGGCTGAATGACTACCTGCCTTTTTTTTTGTTTTTTTTGTTTTCTTTTTGTAAAATAAATGTTAAAGCTCAGAAAAAGAAAATCTAATTTAGGGTGTGTTTTATTTCTGTCTCATTACTGTAAGTTTGTATTTCTGTAACCATGTAAAATTTAGTACATGCAGTCAAAGATTGTATTCTTCTTCCTTTTAATCGTGCTGGTTAGGGTCAATGCCACACCTGTTCTGCAAAGCTTTTATATTGTGGTGATAATATCTATATCTAAACATGGGTAAATAGACACATAAAACATGCTCGGGAAACTGTATAACCATTTGTAAAGATTACCAATTGACTATTAGAAACTGGTGAAAGCACGGGAGGGGATGGCAAGGACCTGGAGGGACAGTAGCATAGAAAGGATTGTGGGCTGCTTCTTGAAGGTATAGTATTATGTAAACAATATTAAGAAACTGTATATTTTAATTATTATTGTATTCTAGTTCTTGCATTATTACTATAAAACTTTCAATATAAAATTAACAAAGGGAGTGGAGTTTGCCGATTTAAAAACGCCTTTTTTTCTTCTTTTTTTCCCCTATTTTTAAATTGCACTTCAGGCCAAATGTAGCCAGCCTTTCCGTGGGTAAAAGTATAAATAGCCTTCCATAATAATGTAAACTGTGTCCATTTCCTAATGGAACACTATAGTGTTAGGAATACAAAAATGTATTCCTACTGTTATAGTAAGCCCCTATAGTAATTCAGAAGCTTTCAAATTCTGAAATTTGAATAAAATGTGATTTGTCTGATTCAAACATGTGTCTAGTGCTCATATTGCCACAACCTGAAGTACAACCCAGGCACAAACATGTTGAGGAGAATCCACCCTTTATAAACCCTTCAGCATACATGGTATCCTCTCTACCCCCAATGTTACAGAAGGCCTGAACATTTACCTGTAGTGAAATAATCTTGCGAGTGATGTAGATGGACTCATTTAGTTTAGAGCGCATACAAAATTTTGCAGCAATATATGAAGTGAGGTGACATGTGGGAATAAAATCTCCATCTGTCAGGCAATGATTCTGATAGATAAATCAAACACCGGGATAATGTAAATTCTAGAATATGTATTCCTCACTGTCATGTATCCAGTCTATATTCAGGTTAAATGTGATATAAAGTGAATTCTTGAAATCTTCATCTCCCTAGCCCCAGAGTGTCCCTGTATGAAAATACTAATCTATTTGGTCTTTTGAGGCCTCCAAACAAGTAAACAACCTGAAGGAGAAAATATATTTAAGACCCAAACTGAGTAATTTACTTAAGTGAGACAATCCCCTTCTCACTCGAGTGACATGATGATATCCTACAGTAGGAAGATGATTGACTACCACCTTTATCTTTCTGGCTTGCATGGAGGTGGCCATTCCCTTAAAATACAGATACAATCTCCCTGCTTTAAAATGACAGGGAAAATGTGAGATAGCAAGCCCAGTATTATTATATCCTCTAATAGGCAAGGGGGATGGCCACAATAAAAAAAATCAGGGATGATTAAAGGAACACATGTTGATGAAGTTGTTATGGTGCACATACAGTTCCTTTAATTGTTGTACCTGCAAAGTACGAGGCATCTCTGCTCCCACTGGTCATTTGCCAATTCTATGAGACTGGTAGTTAGTTTCCTCACTATTTTGTCCTATATTTTGTTTGCCGGTGTTCTTAAGTCATGGTAAGTTAATGAAAACTATTGAAGCGATAGGTCGACTTTAATAAATAGTCTCCTAGAGGTGTTTGCTGAAGCCAGGGCTCTGACATTGCCATGTGACTAACCAATAAACTTCCTATCACCGAACAACTTCCTGATCCAAGGAGAGACCTGACTGCCATTCTGGGGTCAAAAATGATTTTTGTCTTAGTTGATTATTATTATATCTAAATAGCGCTAACAAATTCTATAGAGCTTTACAATGGGTGGACTAACAGACACGTATTTGTAACCAGACGAGTTGGACACACAGGAACAGAGGGATTGAGGGCCCTGCTCATTGAGCTTACATGCTAGAGGGAGTGGGAAAAGTGACACAAAAGGTAAGAGAAGTATTAGGGAAGTAGATTGGTAGAATAGTATTCAATGAAGACTAAGTGTTTTTTTTTTTTTTTAAATGACCGTCGCTAGAGATGAATCAGTTGGGAGCCATTAGCAGTTTAATTGATACGCTTTTGTGAAAAAGTGAGTTTTTAATGCTTTTTTGAATGAGTGGAGACTGGGTGAGCGTCTAACGGAAAAGGGAAGGGAGTTTCACAGGAATGGTGCAGCCCTAGAGAAGTCTTGATTGCGAGCATCAGAGGTGGGTGTACAAACAGAGGATAGATGCAGGTCTTCTTTAGAGCATAGGGACCTAGACGGGACATACTTGTGTATTAGGGAGGATAGGTAGGTTGGAGCAACATTATGTTGAGATTTGAAAGCAAGAACCAGAATTTTATATTGAGCCCTATATTTTACAGGAAGCCAATGCAGGGACTGACAGAGGGGTGAGGCATGGGAGGTGCGGGCAGACAGGAAGATGAGCTGTGACGCCGCATTCATCATTGCATCACTGCAATGGGGCAAGTTGGGAGCATGTAAGACCACTGAGAAGCGGATTGCAGTAGTCGAGGCAAGAGAGGACAGTGGCATGGACCCGCACCGTTGCCGCATCAGGTGTTAAGTATTGGTAGATGCGCGCAATGGTTTTTTTTTTTTTTTAAAGAAGTGGCAGGATTTGGCAATCGACTGGAAATGAGGGGTGAAGAATAGGTCAGAGTCAAAGAGAACACATAGGCAGCGAGCCTGCCTGCAGCTGCAGCTGATAGTAGCACCATTAACATGGAGGGAGACAGAAATGGGAGTAGCAACATTTGAGGGAGGAAAGGCTAGAAGTTCTGTTTTGGACAAGTTTAGTTTAAGGAAGTGGGCAGCCATCCAGTTAGAAACAGCAGAGAGGCATTCAGAGACACTAGTCAAGAGGGACGGGGAGAGATCAGGAGAGGACAGGTAGATTGTGTGTCATCTGCATAGAAATGATACTGGAAGCCAAAGGAGCTAATGAGTTTACCAAGGGAGGCAGTATAGATGGAGAACAGTAGGGGGGGGGGATGGAGGGGGAAAGATTGAGCCAGAAGAATGCAGGGAGAGGTAGGAGGAGCACCAGGAGAAAGCGGCATCTCGTAGACCGAGATTACGGAGAATGAGAAAAGACTGTTGATGATCAACATTTGTCAAAAGCAGCAGACAGGTCAATGAGAATTAGGATTGAATAGTGAGATTTTGCAGCGAGTAACTCGTTTGATTATTTGGTCAGTGCCATTTCCACAGAGTGCTTAGCGCGGAAACCAGACTGAAGCGGGTCTAGCCGAGCGTTGGACTGCAGTAAGTCAGTCACTCTCTCACACACACGGCTTCCAAGGATCTCGGCAGCAAAAGGCAGGAGCCAGATAGGATCACTGCAACAGCAATAACATATGTGAGAAAGGCTGAATTGATGGACACGTGTCTCTTTATTTATTCTGGGACGCTATACATATACAGCCTCCCATACATAGAATGGCTGTAGTATCGTCTATCACCACGCAGTGAACCCCTTGCGGGTTTTGCCACACACAAGATGGCTACCGCGCATATACACACGTGGTTCAATCGCTAGTAAGCAAGTTCCTCTGTTTGCTTTGCCAATCGCAAGATGGCCGCCGCGCAAAGCGATGTAGCGTCTGAACAGCACACGTGACGCCGTGTTTGTATGAGACTGTGCGAGTGTTTCTGCCAATCACAAGATGGCCGCAGCGCCAGTAGTTTATAGGAAAAAAAAAAAAAAACAAGTCACGTGCTCCAGGAGACATCTTTGCCAGTCACAATATGGCCGTCACGGGAGACGTAACCCCAAGTTGAACTACTGCTCCCATAACACCGCGCTCCCCGCCCAGCCTTGTGTGTGTGCTGGAGAGAGAGAGAGAGAGAGAGCGAGAGAGGGAGAGAGGGAGAGAGGGAAATCTAGCGCGCGGACCTGTGACGTGAAAAGTGAGCGCCGCCATAGCGGTGCCTGTGTGAGAGCGTGAGAGAGACACAGACAGACAGGGGAGAGAGACAGCACGAAAGGTACCCGGGGGGCCACACATGGGGTGACCATGCGGTTGGTGCTGAGGCCCAGAGAGGGTCTGGGGAGAGACAGGCATAGCCAGGAGACAGCCATAGAGAGACAGGCATGGCCAGGAGACAGCCATGGAGAGACAGGCATGGAGAGACAGGCATAGAGAGACAGGCATGGCCAGGAGACAGCCATGGAGAGACAGCCATGGAGAGACAGGAGACAGGTGTCACCCGCAGGGGGTAAATCTACCGTCACTGGGTACTGAGAGGGGCACATGGAGACCCCATGCAGGGGGAGGGGGGAGCAGGGACTAAGGACCTGGGTTACCAGAGACAGTAAATATTCCTAGAGATGGACCAGTACTCCCTGCTCATGGGCAGCACAGGAAAAGGGCTCCCCCTGTACAGTATGGAGAACTCATATGCTGCCCATCAGTAAACATCAGTGTGTGAGGGAAAACATGGGTCTGGCAATTCTGAAGAGAAGGTGTGAGGGATAAAGTGGGTTTCAGGGTCTACTAGGAAGGAGGTGGGAATAATGCTGCTGACAGGTTTCACCATATATAAGTATGTAGGAAGTGTCATACATGAAAGCACTTTGTCTTGCCGCCAAGTTGTATGTAATCAACTTTTGCCATGGTATTTATAGACAGGGCATTGCATGAAATGTAGCTCACCAACATTACTCTCTTTCCTCTTGTTGTACAGAATACCAGTGGTATCTAACCAGGTTTATAGGCCGGTTAGCCGTTATAAGTAACACAAAGAAAACAAGTGTCTATGAGCTATATTGCCTATGATGTTCAGCCAGCTTCTAAAGGTAGCTGAACATCATTCTACTTCACAAACATCAGGGGTTGCCAAGGTAAGCTATTACTATTGTAAAATAAAGACAAATAGTAAGGTAGACCAACAATCATGGTTTGTGTGTAGAACTTGGTAAGTGAGCTAGCAAAATAATACAGTGTGAGCAAAGTATAAACAAGCCAATTGTCTGTCCTAAATTCAGCATTTGGACAGTAAATTGTTACATGTTACAAATTCAAGATAGTTGGTGGGTAGATACAAGTTTTATTCAATACTGAATGTTGTGTGGATTTTGGTTTAATCTAGCCCTATATCATTGATGTTACCTGTATTTAAATATACAAACTGGAGGTCAAAGAAATCTACCTCAGTGTGGGTCACTTTAGATCTCCTTCACTTACCATTTTTCCCAGACATTGTAGATGAATGGTTTTAAAGCACTGTGTAATATGTTGGCGCTATATAAATGCTAATGATAGTAATACGCAGTACAATCTAACCTGTGCAAGTCAGTTGTGTCCTCCTGGTTGAGTTTTCCCATTGTGACCCTTGGTGATTGAGAGGCCATGCATGACCACTATTGTTACAAGTAGTGTTTGGCTGACATCACCAAAATTCATGTGGCAACCAATATGTCATGGATACAGTAATTAAGGATATAAGAGTGGTAGAACTAATGTGATTGTACAGGGAGAGAGTAAAATATGCCCAACCCTGTAAATGCTGTAAATGATCACTGTTAGTGAGTGAGGTCTGTATTATTAGTTTACATTTAAAAAAAAAAAAAAAAATGTATGTAGTTTTTGTATCTATTTGTAATCATGCAGTTGAAATACGTGATCTTTCAATAACAATAAATCGGACCGTTAGAATGTTGCCACTTGCTACTGGTCTAATCTCATTTTGTATGAATACTAGATTGCCATAGACTGTGCTTTGAGACTTTCTTTTGAATTTGACATTTTCTCCAGCCAGCAGAGGGCAGGCTCTTATGTTCCAATGCTGAATTATACATTTTGATAAATAATTAAAAGGACATACTAGTCTGCTTAACCACTACATGCTGATGTAGTTGTTATGGTGATATTAGACTGTGGATGCATTTCCCCAGTTCCTGGTCATACTATTTTAGAGCGGTTTGACAAACCTGACACCCATGGCCCAGCCCCCTGCCATCAGTTGCCAATGTGAAAATTCTACTTCTATATTAGTGATATTAACATCATCCATGTTTTAAAGCCATTCATTGACTGAATTGCTCAGTTTATGCACTCAGCAAAAAGGAGCCTTAAATTAAACATAGGTGAAATTGATATTGCTAGTGTGGGAGTGTAGCTTCCAGTACCATGAATGCCTCAGGGATCACTGGTTTTGGTCTAAACAGTGGAAAACTGTTTGGCATGTAATTGTTATGGTGCCTGGACTGCTTCTGTAAATACATAGAATGCATGTCATTTTAAACATAACATATAAACCATTAAATCAAAACCTGGTTTGGGATAAAGGATATTACAGCATCACTGTGACTTGTGAAAATCAAAACTTTTGAAATGTATTCACAAAACTGTATATTATGGAGAGTTGACAAGGCCAAAATAACCTCATATGGAAAAATTGTTGTGAATGCTTGCAGTTTTGCTATTTTTACCTAAAAAGTGCTGGCGTACAAGCTCATTTTGTGAATGGGACCAGTGACCAAAACTTTAGGATTAGCCATCATACAGTCGATGAATATGGCTACAAAAACTTTCTTTGTACATCGTTATGTTTCCATTACTGTTTTCATTGCATTCCAAACCTCCAGGAAATTCTAATGCCCAAATTTTTAAGAAGACACACTGTATATTTTAGGGTGTTTTCACTAAACCAGATATTGAAGAGAACAGCCAAGATCATTCCAATTGTAAGTCAAAAGTAACTTTAAAAAAACAAAAAAAAATCTCCAACTCTTGGCTTCTTTTGTCAGCTGGACTGTTGTCTGGTTAGTGTAGATACCATATCATGGTTACATATTGGCTGTGCTAACCACAATTCAATGGTTACAAAACCAAATGGGCAATACCACTGTCCTATTTAACAGATTAAATGTAAACATGTTAACGGTGTGCTAGTGTGTTTGGAGACGGGGTTGAATATCCCCACATGCATTCTGCAAGTCTTGCAGAACCAGTGTTAAAATATAACATGTTCATGCTATAAGCCCTGTCTATACATAGCACAAGTCAAAAGTTTGAGTGCTCCTGCCTGGATTCAAATTTCTCATGGTCCGTCTGAATTCAACCCTTGCCTGTGATCATTCACTATTTAGTTATATGATACACAAAATCACTTAACTAACTGGTTACACAGAGTAGGTGGAATTCAATGTGAAACCCATATCTGCTAAGGAACAGTTAGTGGACCATAACAATTTCATCTTAATTAAGTTGTGATGCTAGGAACTCCCTGAGTGCCAGTTTACCTCAAGGGTTTAAACGGTTAAAGAATGGTTTAACCCCCAAAGTGTTGAATTTGGCACCCAATTGTTCTGCCTATCAGTAGTTCCTCATTCACAAAATGGTTTGGCAAAAATAAGTACATTTCTGAAGCAATTTTGTGAATGGGGAGTGACTGAGAGAGTGTCCGCTGATTCCAGCCTTGGACTGTGGTGGATTTAGGTGAGAAAAATGATCAGGTGTCTGGTTCACAGATTTGCTATTAAACTGTCCATTAGCGGTTTAGTCCCTTGTAGTGAGCCAGCGCCTGTAGAACTCCTGGCATTATAACATTATCCTGCCTCTCTTTAAAGGTCTGAAATGTGTATAAATCTGTTATACCAGCTTAAAGGGACACTGCAAGCACCATAATTGCTATAGGTTAAATTAGTGGTTATGGTGGATAGAAGAAACGTGTATGTGAAGTATCATAGGTTTTTGTTAAATCTAGTGGGTTGACCAAATGAGTTAAGGTATGCTCTATATACCAAAAGCCCACCCTTTAGTTTGCAATGTCGTAATGAATGATTCTCATTTCCTCATTATTTGTACAAGTGTATGTACAACGTTGTCACGTGCTGTGCATTGAGTACCCAAGAGAGCTGGTGTATATGATTCTTGGCTTCATTGAATTGATGCAGCCCTCCGGTTGTCGAATTGTCTGCACAAGATAGACTGTCAAGGTAATCGCAAATTGGTCCCCCAGTTGTTGATTACCTACATCTCTCAGAACTCTTTGAATGCAGTAGATGACCAGAGAATCATGGGAATTGTAGTTCAGCGACATCTCTGGAGCTGGAGTTTGAGGTGCCTGCTCCAGATTGACAATTTGTATTACCCTTAATCAAGTGCAGTGTAAATTGCTGGACTTATATCCATGACAACTGTGAGACTTCTGTGTATTTTACTTTTTTAATGCTTTATTAAAAACACAGAAGGTTTTTCAGTTGGAGAATGTGTATATTTTTAAAGTTATTTTACCATACTCTCTATTTGAGTTTGTGTTCTTTTACACAAAATAAGTTCTTGCGTGTGCCCTAGGCTTTATCTTGTGTTTAGCTGGCAGTGTTACACAATCATTATTTCTTCCTAGCAGGTGGCCTCACACTTTCGATTTCCATGTGCTTCTACTCTTTCTGGTACTTTGTCTCCCTCTCGAGGTTATATGTGGTAAAACATACAACCAGTTTTGCAATCAATTTCAGTGAGCCTGTTGTCTATTCTTAAACATAAGTTACATTTTATGAATGTTGTTTGCGTAACACAAATTTAATTTTTTTTCACTATCTTGCAATGGAGCTTCATTGATTTTTCAGGATATTCCTCTCCTTCTCAATGGTTTCATAGTCCCCATTAGCCTGCCTTTGTGGGCTGCCTGAAATCTCTTTTTAGTCTTGCCTCTCTTTGGGTAAAGCCTTAGATGCTTCTTTGCCTACTTATCAGTCCATTAGGTCCCCAATGTTCTTCTATGAGAAGCATTGGATTGGACCATGTCATAGGAGGCCATGCTTCCTCCATGTTGGCACAGAAGGAAAGGTAAGCCGCACTGAGGTAGCATCAGTGCTGGAAAGAGGTGAACGGTAATGGGGTCACCTGTATAGATTTAAGAACAGGTTTGTATTCCTAATCATATAGTGTTCGTTTAAATGTTTTCCTGCTTTGTGTGTGTAACAAAGTATATTAAAAATTTATTTTATTTTTTTGCCAGTGGTGTTGCAATAAAGTACAAACTGACTATTATTTATTTATTTAGACATGGCTTCCAGTGGAACCCATGTGGACTCAAAGTCCGAGTTGACGGCCTTGTTGGAGCAATGGGAAAGTGGACATGGCACCGGGAATGACATGGTTTCCATCTTAACCAGGTGAGGGTTTATACTAATCTTTCTGCTCTGCTGAAATCTGTATATTGATGTAATTTGCAGATAGTGGTCATGTGGTGTGTGTGTGTGTGTGTGTGTACCTTGCCACTTCGCATTGTGTAAGGTGCACTCTGCCTATCAGAAGCACAGTTATGCTCTCAGAATATTGTGCAAATACGGATGCCAAACACAGGTAAGTTTTTCTAGCTTTGGGTGCCAACTCCCATCACCCTTAACCCTGCAAGTGTAATTATTGCAGTTTTTATAGAGACAAACTGAAAAAATGGAAGCTAAAAGAACGCTCATATGTGGGGTTAACCCAAAAACTGTATAAATAGAGAGAAGAAAAGGGATGAGTGTTCTAAGGGAATATTAAAATTTAACCTTTAATAATAATAATAATAATAGTAGTAGTAGTAGTAGTAGTAGTATCATCATCATCTTGTGTAAATGTCCATAATTGAGGTAATACTCAATAACAGATTGGAGTGTACGTACACCTTAATAAGTGATAATCAAAAAATGAGAAAATATGTAAAGATATCCTATAATGAGAAATAAATAATACAAGGATAACTAGGTTCTATTTAAGAACAAGAAAGGAAAAAATAGAGGTGGACTAAGTCCACATCACTAATTCCGAAGAAGGGTTACAGAGATATCAAGGGGCATAACCCCACGAAATAATTTAAAAGGATAAAAACGTGAAGAAAACACGTGAAGTAAAAAGTGGGTAGATGTAGTTTGGATATCCTCAGTATGTACTGGGGTAATTTGGATAGCTTCACTGAGAACACTAATAACCAGTACAATATAGTACCGTATATGTTCAGTCACATATCACAAAATTACTCCCCCTAAAGTCTACAGGGATCTAGAAATCCCAGCTATGTAGAGGTACATCCACAGAAAATGGGAAAAAACTACAACTTTTTACTTCACGTGTTTTCTTCACGAGTGTTTCACTATTACTTTATTATCATTTATTGTTTTCTGCTTTGCATTAGTCGGCTTAATAAAGGTTATACCTAACAATTATTGTAATAATCTAGAGATATCATTTGGTGAAGTGGATGTCCAAATTTCTCCATCTTTAGTGGAACAACCACTTCACTTTAGTCTTATCCTTTTAGGTTCTATTTAAGGTATACTGATACCTAAATATACACAGATACAGTTAACTGATATATATTATATGTGTGTGTGTGTGTGTATATATATATATATATATATATATATATACACACTATATGTATGTATGTATATGTATATGTATGTATATGTATGTGTGTGTGTGTATATATATATATATATATATATATATATATATATATATATATATATATATATATATATATATATATATATATATATATATATATATATATATATATCTCTATGTGTGTGTGTGTGTGGTTCTGTCGAAAAGATGAGACCTTGGCCGCTGAAAAAAACTAAAGAAATAAATGAAAAGAAACTAAGATATGTACATAATAAAAGGAAAAATCTGAGATCTTTATAAATGTAGTAAGCAATAACTAAGTTTGCAATAAACGGAGCATAAGTCCAAATAAGAAACTATCCGAGAATAAAAAAAAAAAAAAGGAACTAAGGTATGTACAAAGTGAAAGGAAGGTTCTGATTGAATGTACTCTGAAGCTTTCACTAAAAATAGTAATCACGTTTTATTATCCACGAAGCCTGAGTCCAAATGAAAATTGGCTGTCTGTGAATCAATAATGTTCAATGTAAAAAGTAACGGATATTAGTCCTAGGCATAAACAGGTCCTGTTCAAAAGTTTTCATGGGCCTGAATATAAATATGTGTGCGAAATGAAACGTTAACGAGGAGCGCAGCAAAACACAGTGCTGTGCCATGCAGCATCTCCTTGTAGAGTTTGTTTGAATCTGTGCATCACTATGGGGAATGTTTAGCTTCTCCATGCAGAGCGTGGAGATGCTGAATGCCAGTGCTGCACACTGTGCAGTACTTCACTAGGAAGCACCTTGGTGGCTGTCTAAGTGACTGTCACAAGAGGTGTTACTAGCCAGCAATATAAACACTGCCTTTTCTCTGAAGCCGCAGCAGTAGTCACAGAATTGTTTGCTGTTTGCATGTTGGAGCCTGGGATAAAGGGAAGAGAGATGCACCTCCAGTGCTGCCATCTTCTGGTTGACTCTTTCTTTTGCTTCTGTCAGATCCATACGACAATGTAGTACACTTAGATATGTTTGTATTGGATTGCATTGGAATATTGGTGAAATTCAGTGAAATTCCAATTGGATTCTATTTTTCTAAAAAAACTTAAACATGGACAGTGCAACTTTGCAAGAAAACAAAAAACGGTGAATTGCTTTTATATGCAGTTACTCTGTATAGTACGTGTAAAGAACTTTGTTTTTAGGTATCTTGACAAACAGGCTTTTTTTTCTGCTTCTTAATGCAGAATGTCAGAGCTGATTGAAAAGGAAACAGAGGAATATCGAAAGGGGGATCCTGATCCCTTTGATGACCGCCATCCAGGTAAGGCAGTCAGAAATAAATAGTTGTTCTGTATTATTAGAGGAGTACATATGTATATTGAAGTCTGTTTTCTTTCAGGTCGTGCAAACCCAGAGTGTATGCTTGGACATCTCCTGCGTATTCTGTTTAAGAATGATGACTTTATGAATGCGGTATGTTTAGCCCTACATCATGTCTTTATTCATATAGGTGGGTGTGGAGAGAGGAAGCACATTGACTCTGGAACGAGGGGAATCTAGTTACCTCTCTTTCCTGACCCATGGTGGCAGTACAATAGGGATGTACTCTTCCCATGGGGCAAGCATCTGAAATTAAAAATTAACATAAACATTCCAGCCCAACAGGTATAAGACTCCAACCTGCCATGGACCCTCAGTTCTTTTTCTTGTTCTATCAGGCACGGACGGCATCTGGACTTTGTGATGAGGCACATGGGTTGCTGCCGGGGGGATCCGGCCTAATAGCCTCCCAGGCGGAGAGCTGAGTGGCCTGTGTGCATCCTGCAGGACTTACGGAGCAGGTATGTTTCACTTTCTTTATGCCGAGTGTGGTCACTGGCAAAACGGATGAGATCTTCTTCTAGATCAGAGCTGTCCTCGGGCGAATGTTTTGTGTCTTCCTATTCAGAAACTTCCAGCGATTTGATTTTAAGAAGAAGAATTAAGAAAATGTATTCATGAAATTAATGTTGCCTTCTCTGAAGAAACATCAGATAAAGCAAGTAAGAAACCCTTTCCTGCTCCACAGCAGATTCTGGAACTTATGTACAGAGAGTGGAAAAACCCTGAAAAAAGTGCGTTAATTTCCAGGCATTTCAAGAACATTATAAAGCTGCAAGGAGAAGACAAGTGGGAAGACTTGCCAGTCATTGATGTACAAGTTGCTCAGTTGTCTAAAAAGACTACTATACCGATTGGAGAAGTCTCTGGACTTAAAGACTCTGTGGATAAAAGGGCTGAAACGTCCAGCAGACGAGCATATCAAGCAGCAGGATTTCAGGCTAAAGCGGCATTGACAGGAGCTTCAGTGGCTAAAGCTCAGTATTATTGGATTCAGGGATTCGAATATAGCCTGATAACCAGGACAAAGATCTCTCTTGCCTGTTCCACAATTTAAAGTTATCTAATGAATATCTGCTAGATGTTATCACAGAGGTGATTAAACTTTCTGCTTGTCATTGGCCTGATATCTGTAACCCACAGTGCACTTTGGCTTAAAGCATGGATGGCTGATACGGCCTCAAAATCTGCATTTTGTGAACTGTCCTTGGAGAGGAAGAAATTATTTGGTTCTCCTTTGGAAGAATTAATCCGACAGATGTCGGAACCCAAAAAAAGCTCTCCCTCAGGACAGGAAGTATGCCTGGAAGCCCAGATACAAGAACTTTCAATACAACCGCAGGGGGTATCAAGAAAAACCCAGTTTTTTTTTTTCCTCAACAAAGGAAAGATTCTAAGTTTGACCCAAATAAAGACTTCAAGACTGACAGACCAAAAAGATTCTGACGCCATAAGAATAGGCAGACAGATACAGTTTGCTCACAGATGGAGAGACCACTGCAAATCCATGGAATTTGAATCTAGTTGCAAGAGAATACAAAATAAAGTTCTTAGATTTACCAAGACAAGCTCTATTCTCCGCTACAGTTACTGTTTAAAAGAAAGGTGTTCTAGAAAGAGTTCCAAGAACCCAGCTGTATCAGGGTGTATACTCTCGGTTGTTCCTGGTCCCAAAACCAGATTTGTCCTGTTGTCCCATTTTGGATCTAAAAGAATTAAACAACAATATTCCTTACCAACATTTAAGAATGGAAACCATTGCATCAGTCACTCATCATCAAAAAAGGAGATTTTGTGGCAACTTTAGATTTGAAAGATCACTACCTTCACATTCTTATGGATGTTAGCTCAAGAAAATACCTGCTATTTGCCATAATAAAGGGTCACAAGGTTCAGCACTTTCAATTCAAAGCCCTTCCATTCGGTCTTGCCTCAGCTCCCAGGATTTTTACAAAGGTTCTCATGCCTATTGCATCCTTCTTAAGGGTACAAGGTATCATGGTTACTTAGATGACTAGTTCGTAAAGGCAAAGTCAAGAGACGCTCTAGAGATGAATGTGGCTTACACCCAAAAAATCATGGAAGATCATGGTTGGGTGATAAACCGAGGAAAATCTCATCTGCATCTCACAAGGTCAGTTCAGTTTCTAGGGTTTTTACTCACGTCAGACACTCTTGCTATTCACTTACCGGCGGGGAAAAAAAGATAAAGAAGCTGACAAAAGAACTTCAGAGAGAGCCAAAATGCTCTGTGAGGAATGCTATGCATGTGTTGGGACACCTCACTTCCACTATCCCAGCAGTAAAATGTCTACGGTGTCTTATCTGAACAAACAAGGGGGTACAAGGATAAGAAAATTGCACTCCCTTTGCACGAGAATTATGTCCTGGGCTCAAAGTCCTCTAGAAGACCTTTCCGCTACTCATGTAAGAGGAATAGACAACGTTATTACAGACGACTTAAGCAGAACGAGTGGTCTCTAACTCATTGTCGTTTTTTCTCAGCTGGTGAAGATATTCGGATTGCCTGTCATCGATCTAATGGCAAGAAGGTCAAATGCAAAGGTGAAAACATTTGCCTCACCATTCATGGCAGACATGCCTCTGGTTCTGGATGGGCTGTCAATCAAATGGAACTTCAGCCTGTCATACATATTCCCCCCGGTGAGCCTAATTCCAAGGATATTGAAAAAGATGAAATCAGAACATGCAAAAGTATTGGCTATAATCCTGTACTGGCAAAATCGGAGCTGGTTCTCAGTTTTAATGACTGGTTTTGAGGTACTGGGAACATGCGGTTTCAACAGAGATCCTGGAGAACAAAGGTATTCCACTGGAGGTACTGAAAATGTTCAGGTGGACGGCTTGGCTGCTGCAAGGCTAATCCTGCATAGCAGGGGCATTAAGAAGGAGAGATTCAAGTTTCTGCTGAATTCCACCAGAAGATCTACCTCTATCTAATATTTGGACGAAATTTCTTTATTGGTGCATATCTCATCATTGCCTGCAAGATTATCCTTCTACTGACACTATCTACCATTTTCTACAGGACAGCCTTAAAAGGGGGTCTTAATTTATCTACCCTCAAGGTTCAAGTTTTTGCTCTCATCCATTTATTGGTAAAGATTTTTTTTAAGGCTGTCAGGAAGAGTGTTTTTTTTTCCCTCTTGGGATCTGTCTTTGGTTTTGAAGGCTCTTTGTACCCATCCTTTCGAACTTTTGGAGGAAACATCTTTAACCCCTTAGTGACTAGACCGTTTTTCAATTTTCTAACCGTTAAGGACCAGGGCTCTTTTTACATTTCTGTGGTATTTGTGTTTAGCTGTAGTTTTCCTCTTGCTCATTTACTGTACCGACACACATTATATACCGTTTTTCTCGCCATTAAATGGTCTTTCTAAAGATACCATTATTTTCATCATATAATTTACTATAAAAAAATTATAAACTATGCTGAAATTTTTTTTTAAATACACTTTTTTTGAACTTGGACTCTCAAAATCTGTTACGCATCTACAACCGCCAAAAAACAGCCGTGCTAAATAGTTTCTAAATTTTGTCCTGAGTTTTGAAATGCCCAATGTTAACATGTTCTTAGCTTTTTTTGGAAAGTTATAGGGCTATAAGTACACCACTTTGCTATTTCCAAACCATTTTTTCCCCCCAAAATTAAAGCAAGTTACATTGTAACACTGATATCGGTCAGGAATCCCTGAATAACCCTACACATGTATATATTTTTTTAAAAGACAGCCTAAGGTATTAAACTTGGGGTATTTTGGGAGTTGTGCTGCGTTGGTTTGGTTTAGTTTGTGCTGTCTCGGTCCTTTATGGTCGGGCCTCTTTTTGGATGGCTTGTTTCCTTTTCATTGGGTCTGTGTGTGGCCATGTTTTAGGGTCATGTACGGGTTGTGGTACTCTTTTCTTGTGGTGAGGTGGGGGTCGTCAGGTTGGCGTCTTAAGTGGGACTGTTCCTGTCGTGTGGTGCTTGGTTTGGAGCAGTTGCGGTCAGTTTCGGGTGATTTGTGTCCCAGAGTTCCCAGGTCCGGTGGAACGCTTTGTATGAGTCATGTATCTGTGCGGTCAGTTCGTCCAGGTCGCGTGTTTCTTTAACCCCTTAAGGACACATGACTTAAGGGGTTAATCTTGATGATGATGGTTGATAGTTCGGGGATCCGTTGGTCTGCCCATAATTCTGCTGTTGCTCTTCGTGTTGCTAGGGTTATGCGGGCCATTAGCTAGTTTTCGTTTCTCGTAAGGGTGTCCATAGGTTTGGTGAGTAGCATTGTCCACTGTTGAGCTGTGATGGGTTTTTCGATAACTTGTTCTGAGTTCTCGTACTTCGGTCCAGAGTGGTTTGAGTTTGGGGCAGTTCCACCAGCAGTGTAGGTAGGTGCCCGTTTCGCCGCATTGTTTCCAGCATTGGTCGTTGGGTTTTTGGCCCATTTTATGAAGTCTGTGTGGTGTCAGGTACCAGCGGAACAGGGTTTTGTAGGCCTGTTCTTTGTATTCATGCAATCATTTTACCACCAATCTATGCCAAAAAATAAATAAAAATTGGTTATTTTTTTTTTTTTTTTTTAAAAACACATAGCAATTTAAGAATACATGTACGGAGAACTTTAAGGGTTACTGCCAAAGAACACCCTAATATGTGTTCAGCAACATCTCCCGAGTACAGTGATACCACCTATGTATAGGCGTGTCTGGTCCTCTGGGGGCTAAAAGACCTTATTTGGAGGGTGCACATTCCAGTTTTCTAACTTGGAATTCTCTCAGCTGGTCATCATGCACCCATGTCCTATTTGGGACATTTTTGAAGCCAGCCAATGTAATTTACCCCATTAAACCATATATTTTTAAAAAGTAGTTTTTTTGGGGGTTTTTTTTCTCTACCATTGTACTTTAGGCATGTATTCTCAGTTCCTGTTATGTGTTACTGACAAAGAAGCCCCAATCTGTGTTCAGGAGCATCTCCCAAGTGCAACAGTGCCCCCAATGTACAGGTTTTATGGGCATTTGTAAGCTTACAGGGGTCAAATGTAGGGCTTTCCTCTTTTCCATGTTTGCACATTGAAATTTGACAGATTGGTTTGCTGGGCCTATGTTGCCTTTCAGACCATATAGCAACCCAGGAATGAAAATTAACCCCATCATGGCGTACCATTTGTAAAAGTAGACAAACCAGGTTATTCAAAATGGGGTATGTCCAGTCTTTTGTAGAAGCCACTTAGTCACGGTTTTCTTAGTTTTTTTTTTTTAGTTTTTTTTTTTTTTACATAAAAACTGCACTTTTACTGGTGATTTCATCTTCGGAGTATGTTTTACTGATTTATAATACTCATATTTGTGTTCAACCAAGTCTCCCGAATATAGCAATACCCCCCATGTACAGGTTTTATGGTGTTTTTGTGTGATTCAGTTTGCCAGATTGGTTTGCTGGGCCTGTGTTGCATTTTGAGACCATATGGTAGCCCAGGAATGTGAAATAACACCATCACACACACACACACACTACTATGTATGGGGGGGTGGCGATCACTCGGGTCTCCGGCAGCGTAGGGGGGTATTACACGATGCCCCGATATCGAGGCATCATGTAATACCATAAGAGCAGCTGGAAGAGATCATGATCGTGATCAGGTACGTCCGCGGTCCTTAAGGACCGTTTTTCGTCGGACCTACCTGTTACGTCTGCGGTCCTTAAGGGTTAAAGCTCTTGCCTCTAAAAGCAGCTTGTTTGGTGGCCATAACTTCTGCTAAGAGGATAGGTGAAATTCAGGCTTTTTCATAATCTGCAGAATTTACAAAAATTCTTCCAGAAAAAGTTGTTCTGTGTCTGAAACTTAAAAAAAATAGTCGAAAAAACTCAGTCATTTCTTCCAAGGCTATCAATCAACCTATTTCCCTGCCTTCCTTTGGTTATCCATCTGTCTCGGATTTGGATGATAATTGGCACAAGTTGGATGTCTGAAGATCTACTTAGACCGCTCCTCTACATACAGGAAGACTAACCATTTTTTTGTTAATTTTTTTGGAAAACTTAAAGGTCATGTTGCCTCCAAATCTACTTTAGCAAGATGGCTAGTGGACACGATTAAGTTGGCTTATTCTTCCTCAAATCTGCCTCTACCTGCCTCCTTGAAAGCTCATTCTACCAGAGCAACGGCTGCTTCTTGGGCCGAAAGAGCATATGCTTCACCTGATGCTATCTGCAGAGCTGCTACATGGTTTTCATTCAACACTTTCATCAAGCATTACAGACTAGACTTATTCTCTGCCTCTGACGCTGCTTTTGGGCATAAGGTGTTACAGGTGGTGGTTGCTTAATTCCCGCCCCTAGCTCTGTGTTCTCAATATATACCTATTGTACTGCCACTATATGTCAGGAAAAAACGCAATTTTACTGACCATCAATTCCTTTTTCCTTAATATGATGGCAGTATATCACTCCCTCCCTTTATTAATAAATTTGATATTTTTGCAGTAGTATGTCTCTGTTATATTGGGACGTACTGAGGTCCATGGCAGGTTGGTGTCTTATACATTTTTTGGGGGGGGAGGAACGTTTGTTAATTTTTAATTTCAGATGCTTTTCCCATGGGAAGAGTACATCCCTATTGTACTTCCACCATATTAAGGATAAAGGTATTTACGGTGAGTAAAATTGCAGTTTTCTCTCAGTTTTTGTAATTTGTTTTATGACTTCTCTTCTGATTAGCTGGTGAATGCGTACGTAATGACAAGCAGAGAGCCTCCTTTAAACACAGCAGCTTGCCGCCTTCTGCTGGACATTATGCCTGGATTGGAGACAGCCGTTGTTTTTCAGGAAAAGGTGAGAGCCTAAATAATTTGTACCAGATTGTATGAGATTAAAGGGACACTTCAGGCTAGACATAACACCAACACCTCTCCATCCCTCCCATTTCCTGCCCTTTCTCCTTCTATGATGTTTGTTGATCAACCTTACATCTTCTCTCTTTCTCCTCTTCATGTTGTCCTTACAGCTCCAGTCTATAGCACATCATCCATGGATCTCCTATACAGCATCAGCTTAGCAAAACTGCCTCCTTACAGCACACACTTACTATTCATGCAGAATCATACTCAAACCACACATTGCCAAATTTTCTTCTTTACACCTGGGAACTTTTTAGATCCCTGTGCTTTTATCTCCTGCTATGGGGACAGGAAGAGAAATCCTGTGCAAAAAGAGGAGGAAGCAACCACAACATTTGTCTAGGTGGCTCTGAAGGTGGCAAGACCCATTGAAAAACAGGTTTTCCTTCTTGGAAATCTGAGTTGGGTACAGAGCTACCCTTCATGACTACCAAACGTAGCAGAGCTGTTCTTGCATGTGAAGCCCAGCTTACAAATCTGGAAATTCCAGGTGTAATCCAGAAACTTTCTAACTATGTACACATATCACCGCTATGTCATCCACACGGCAGCAATCAGCCACACATAACCCATATATAACACACAAACTAAACAGCATCTGCTAACTCGGATCTTTACTACCACTGCTTACCATTTACATGTCAACAGGAAGGAATTGTGGAGAATCTTTTCAAATGGGCTCGGGAAACAGAGCAGCCGCTCCGTACGTATGCTATCGGATTACTAGGAGGAGCCATGGAGAACCAGGATATAGCAGCCAATTATCGGGATGAGAATTCACAGATGGTGAGTTGTAACTGCAAATACTTGTATGATATTTAAATGATGTCCATAATAAAGTGTAAAAATAGGTTTATCTTCCATAAAAGAGCACTTGTAGAGAGTACTTTTTACAGCCATAAGGTGCTTGTCAGTCTTGGTTTCATGATACACCTAAACTATTTCTACCAGTGTATTTTCCTTGCCGCTGTTCACCAGATGTCATTTGCAGCTGTTTGCAGGAATTTGAAAATGCCTCTAGTACAGCAGCATAACAAAGCTCTTTTTTACACCATCTGAAGTGTTTAATGCCATGGTACATTTACTTTTTGTTTTGGGCGGAGCAGCTGAGTGAAAAGAACTATTTAAGTAATGAAGCTCTTAAAGAAATAAAAACACTGTATGAGGAAGGCAGATTACACCTGGTTCGATTTACCAGTTAAGCGTTCTAGAAAATACATGTTTGCTTGTTATATTACTATTTATTCATTGTGATTGGCACTATTCTCATGCAGTACTATTAAAAGTCCTTAATGTGGAGGAGGTGATGGACCTGCCTGTGGAATGTAGTCGCCCAAGAAACAATCAAAAAGGGCAAAACATCCATTGTGTGTGTATATATGTAAAGATGCAAGTATGTGACATGTTCCTCAAGGTGAGAAGGCAGTATACCACCTTTACCATAAAGGGCCACACCAAATTTTGGGCCTGAAGTATTGGTAATAGCCCATCGTAATGGCCCATACCCAGGTAGTAGAAAAAACACCTGCTTATGGTATAGTGCTGGGGTTACCTCTAATTGTCAGACCAGGACCCTAAGAGAAGTTGATCTAGGTATATGTTACCAGTGCCAGTTGAAAGGTCTGGGGTATGTATCCTTTGAGAGCAAGTGCCAAAGGGTCTACAATTTGATTAGGTGAAATGAGGTGGCTCCAACACTCAGACATGTGTGTAATAAGGCAGTCAACCAAGCCAACTAGAGTCCAATAGGTACTGGTAAATGCCTAAACCATGTCAATCAGTTTTTCGAGTTTACTGGCCTGGTAGATTCCAACCGAGGCTGCTGTGGTGTCTGTGGAAGCGCCAAGGTGGGCAGTTGTACTAGGCAGAAAATGGTGTCCTGTGGTGGACTGTCAGGAGTGCCCTTGGACCACAGTGCACTGTGTGCTTGCATATAATCTTTGCAAAAAATTCCTAAAAGAAAGTATAGAAATATTTTGTGGTTTTTTTAGATCAAAATTTGTTTCGGGGGCAGAGCTAGCACCCGACGGCAACAGTCGCACTCTCCCTGAGCTCCGTCAAACGGGCATGAAAAACGCCCAAAACCTGCTTTAAAAAAAACCCCAATATGCACCGGGACAGCACTACTAACGATGGGGAGAAAAACTAAAAAAACTCCGTCCGGATCGACCCAGATTCTGCGCCGAAATCGGCGACCTCCTGAGGGGGCCGCGGGGAGAGCTGACATGGCAGCGGACCTGGGAGACTTCTCCGACGATTCGGATGACTATTCCCTCCACAATACAGAGGAACTGGGAGGACAAGAGAAGGTGGAAACACCTGAAGATCAGGGGCCTAGCGGACAATATCACACAAGCAGAACTGCCACACTGCCTGCGCAGGCTCTTCACAGCCCTTTTATCTCACAAACAAGCGAAAGGTATCGCACTGGAGGGGATGTTCCGGCTCCCCAAGCCTCCTGCAGCTGCGGCCTCAAACACCAGCGACCTACTAGTCAAGTTCCAAAATGGCCAAGGTAAGGCAGCCATCATGAGAGGGAAGCTCGCATTCCGCTTTGAGGAAATGGACATTAACTTCTACTCAGATCTCTCCTGCCCAACCCTACAGTGGCAGAAGAAGCTACGACCCTTCACATCCATGTTATCAACGAAAGGAATCAAGTATCGATAGGGTCCAACACGCACGCTAATTATTCAGCACCAAAACACGGAGATCAAGGTAGCGAGGCATCTGAGATAAAGGCAACCCTGACAACTCTAGGACTGAACAACGCCGACAGCTCTGTCCCGTTCATCCCTTCAAATCGGAACATATCCAGCCGTGCAACTTCTTGACTCTGGCAATTATATAGTTTCTTTTGTATATTTTTACTTAAATCCTTGTCTTTTCATTTTATGTGGCACAGGCACCTCACAGGGCTAGCCTCACGCTGAGGAACTGTAGACGCAGTATAAGTTATACCGTTCGTATTGTATTCCCCTCTGTTTGTTTGTTTTCTACACCACTTAAATACCGTGCTACATACCACGCCATGCACCGACAGCAGGGATGGGCCGTACCCATCTCTACCATCTCCCAGGCCTAAGCAGGCCGAAACCGGGATCACCCGGAAACACTAGCTCCTTAAAGAACACCTATCCCCCCAGCTCCGCGCTAGACCCACTTACACCCACTGAACCATGTGGAGCTGTGCCCACTTAGCATCCAGCCCGCCTTAGATATAAATCACAATCCCTCTAATTTTCTGCTACCACACAGCCATACATGTCCCTGACACCTACACCAACTACAATCACCGCTTGAGGCATGATCATGGCGGTAACAAGCTACATTACCATAAACAAAAGGAACCGCAGCCAACATCAATACCCCACCAATGTATGCAAATGGTTAAAACCAATGTTATGGTTCATTGACTGTTACACGCAATGTCTATATCATGTTGACTGCAAAAAATAAAGAAGAATTTAAAAAAATAAAAATAAAAAATTGTTTCAAATGAGGTATAAATAATTTTTAAATTATGATGTGCAGAATTTATAATTACATTTTAAACACAGTTCTTCATAATAACCGGAATTGTCATTGCTTTTTATTTTTTAATTATGTAAAATTATTAGTATCGAACTCCTTCCAAGCTGGGGTTTGATGGCATTAGTTGGTTCAATTAATGTTATGCTGAATAATTTTATATCCTTCAAACTTGATTAATACTATTTTTGTTCATAAAATTGGAATTATGTTTGTTTATGAGAATAGGTAAGTAAATTGCAAAGCTTAGACATAAATAGCCAAACTGATACATTTTCCAACCATGTATTTTGACATAGTTTGCAGTTTCCTTGTTAGTGCTTAACAATCCCCAGTTATTAAATAAATCCCTTTTACGTCAAAAGTATGTCTAGTTTCAGTAAGCATAAGGTTCACCTATAAACAATGACAAAAAATATTACTCAAAATGGATCTGTTGTTCTTTGTTTCCATTGTAGGTGGCGCTGGTGCTACGTAGACTGCAGGAACTACAGTCCCAAGACACCCCCACAAACAAATTGGAAACAAAACGCCCAAGTCCCCGTCGGCCAGTTGGTGAACCACTGCTTCCACTTGATGAAGAGGCAGTGGACATGGATTATGGGGAGACTCCGCTGGACACTGGGCCGAACGATGGGAATGTTGATCTATCTTTCCGGCTGCAAACCAGCCCTGGGTCTGGGATCCTGGTGAACTCCAGTGGGGCAGGAACCCCACGTAGAGCAAAGCAGGATGGAGAAGTCCATCGAAAGATGAAACACAAGCTAACCTTCTCGGAGCCGGAGCGAGCAACCAGCGAACTTTCCAACAGCAGCTGGTCAGAGATGTCTGTCTGGGTTATTGGCACAAATTATTCTCTATACCCCCTCACTCCAGCCATTGAGCAGAGGTTAATTCTTCAGTATCTTACTCCTCTTGGAGAATATCAAGAGGTAAATGTATGTGGTGCCTAAGACACCATTATAAATAACTTAATATTTCAGAATTTTGCTCTTTATTATCCTTTTGGTTTAGAGCTTAAAGGGACACTCTACTGCCTAAATAAAAAAAATGTATAATGCATATTTTTTTTTTCACCTGGTGCATAGCTAAAAACCGTTTGCAAATGCCAAAGATCTCTTCTCTGCAGCCTTTGCAAACCTCCCCCTTCTTCCTCCTCCCCCCAGACTTTCTGTGGCTGTCCACTCACAGACTCCCTAGTGCAGTTCAATGAGAAATCTTTGCAGAGCAATTGCTGCCACTTCAATTTAGCTCCACTGAGCTAAACTACCAGGAAGTAACAGTTCCTGTTCTCTAAGTAATAGCCAGGGGGCGTAACAAGGTAAATTTTATAAATATGCCAATTTCTATTGAAATCTACACTTTATGTAAAATGAAAAAGAGGATGCACGCTTCACACATAAATCGCTACAAGCTTAAAGCGCTTTAGGGGTCTAGACAGTCCATTTAATAACACTATTTTTTGGTTCTCCTGTCTTGTTTTCAGTTGCTGCCTACCTTCATGCAGTTGGGTTCCTGGGAGTTGATGATGTACTACATTGATCTGAAACGTACAAATGATGTCCTCCTCACGTTTGAGGCGCTCAAGGTTTCCCTGCTTTTGCCTATCTCTTATACCACCTTTTCACAAATGTTTGCTACTTTTCTCAATATTTTTTTCTTTCTATATTTAAACAGCACCTGGCCTCACTACTTCTTCACAACAAGTTTGCTGCAGAGTTTGTGGCTCACGGGGGTGTTCAGAAATTGCTTGAAATTCCTCGTCCCTCTATGGCTGCCACCGGTGTGTCCATGTGTCTTTACTACCTGTCTTACAACCAAGATGCCATGGAAAGGGTAAGTCCCACACCTAATCTTAGCATAGCTAGTGAGGAAAGAGAACAAAGAACTTTGATCACAATGTGTGCTGCTTTCACTCAGAAGTAGGCTTTAGTTCTATATTTGTAGGAATACAGTGAAGTCTGTAAAGTACCTTTGGTAAAACTTGGAACTTTTAACATTGGGTGGTGATATTCACTTAAAAAGAAGAATCAGTCTGTGTGCAATATGCACAGATCACTGTATAACCAGCCATATAAACCCTTTTTTGTAAAATGTTTCAATTTTGGTTGTAAAATGGCTCTCCAAGCATCATAAAAACTACATTGATAAGTTTAATAGGTAGTAGATTGCATCCCCCCTCAAGTGGGGGATACGCTACTTTTACCCCCATTGCTAGGATCTTCATAAAGTTGACCTACCTCATCAGCTCTCCAAATTATTTTAGATTACCTTAGTACAAGAGGAAAGTAAATGCAAGTTCAAACACGCTGATAAATGATCTTAAAGGACCACTATAGTGCCAGGAAACCATACAGGCTCTGGAGAGAGGAAGGGGTTAAAATCTTACCTTTCTCCAGCACCGGGCGGGGAGCTTTCCTCCTCCTCTCCTCCTTCCTAGCGACGTCATCGGCTGAATGCGTATGCACAGCAGGAGCCGCGCGCGCATTCAGCCAGTTCATATGAAAGCATTTACAATGCTTTTCTATGGACGCTGGCGTCTTCTCACTGTGATTTTCACAGTGAGAAGCACGCAAGCGCCTCTAGCGGCTCTCAATGAGACAGCCACTAGAGGCTGGATTAACCCTCAGTGTAAACATAGCAGTTTCTCTGAAACTATGTTTTAAAAAAAAAAAGGGGGGGGGGGGGGTTAACCCTAGCTGGACCAGGCACCCAGACCACTTCATTAAGCTGAAGTGGTCTGGGTGCCTATAGTGGTCCTTTAACATTAAGTGCTTCCATAGTTGCTAGCTCATTAGACAGTTTTATAATCTAGTGAATCAAGTAAAGTGCAGGATTCATATCAACGTAATGCTGGATGTTGTTTGAGTCATGCACTTTTCAAAGCCAGGTATCAAACTCATTGGTAAAGTGAATGAGACCTAAAAAGCGCAAAGGATGTACTCACAAAACATGAGGAACAGAGTACATAAAATAAAATCGTTGTAGGGAACTTCTGATCTGTGTAGATACTGCAAGCTGTGTATGGTACCATAGGGGGAATCATGGTATGGGGCATCACAAGGGTCAAGCCCTAGTAAGTTTGGTGATCGTTATGCTTGTATGCTTTTGTGAGATTGCACTCTTTTCTTTAGTGAACGATCACCCAGGACTGATCCTATATATAGGTATCTCCGTTTGCAGAAATACTTAGTTGCTTAAAGAAACAATATACATAAAAATTGTAATACCGAGATCCGGATAAAATCTTCTATGTTTTTTTTTTTTTTTTATATTATAAATTTAAATTCAAAAAGCATATTAAGATGCTAGTAGTAAATAATAAAATCTATATAGAATAAAAAACGACAGAGCCTTACTCCCCTAAACTGGGAATTGTGAAGACGTGATAAGGAAATTGTACGTTGGAAGCAAAGACCCACATTGGAAACATTCTCCAACTCCATTATTTTTTTTTTTTTTTTTTTTTGTCTGAATCCTGCAATTTCCTTGTGATTTCTCCATAAATCTCAATTAAGTGGGATAGCCCCCACCATTTTCAGTAAGACTTGTAGACATTTTATGTGATTGTTCCACTATGTGTCTGATGTGCCAAACACCATAGATTCCAGTAGACTGTTCCTGCTGTTCTCCATTTTATTTATGCTCCCACCATATTTGTTCTCGCAGGTTACGGCACATTATTCAATTCTACATGTCATATTGTGTTTCCTTTTGTTCCTTATAGGTGTGCATGCACCCGCACAAGGTACTGATGGATGTTGTGAATTATACTCTTTGGCTCATGGAGTGCTCACATGCGTCTGGATGCTGCCATGCTACCATGTTCTTCTCGATCTCCTTCTCATTCCGAGCTGTACTAGAGCTGTTTGACAGTCAGGATGGATTGAGGCGGCTGGTTAATCTGGTGAGATGGATGATAGAGAGCCTAGCTTGACGTTTCTTTTAGTTTTAGTTATCATGGTTTTTTTCTTTCTTTTTTTTTCCGCCCTCCCCTCTCGTCAAAGGATTACAAGTGCATGCTGTCTGAGCCTATTAAACGATCCAGTTGTGGGTGATGGGGGGCCGCTAAAGTATAATGACCTATAGGTGTTATTCAGTCAGAAAGAGCATTAAAAAGGGTTGGAGTACCCTGTAAAGTGTATGTTGTGTTAATTGGGAAGGTTTAGAAAAAAACTAAACAAAATGGACTGTAAGCCAGTAAATAGAAATGTTTTGTTATACAGGGCAAGTGCTGGAACAAGGTAATGGAAGTTATAAATGCATCATGGGTAGTCTTTTGGTAGCTGATTTGAAATCTAGTAAAGCAACATGGAGGCTACTGGTTGGTACTTTAGCATAACTATATAATCTATATATTTATTTTTAGTAACTATATAATCACCTACTTTACTGTTGTCTTGTTCCTCTCACGTCCCTTCACAGATCAGCACTCTGGAAATCCTAAACCTAGAAGACCAGGGCGCCTTGCTAAGTGATGACGAGATATTTGCAAGTCGACAGACGGGAAAACATACATGTATGGCTCTTCGCAGATATTTTGAGGCACATCTCGCCATTAAAGTGGAACAAGTGAAGCAGTCACTGCAGCGCACTGAGGGGGGGCTTCCCATACATCCGCCACCTCCCTACAAGGTTAGATTACTGAAACTCTACTGATTGTGGCTCCGGTTTATAACTGTAGCTTCCATTTATAAATTGCTGTATTGACTGCTGCTGATTTTTTTTAATTTTTTTTAATTTTTTTTTAATCCACAGTGGTTATAAGTTACATTTCATATCATGAATATTAATATGTAATTGGAATACAAATAAATATAGATCTTTTACAAAAGTGGCGTAAGAGGTCTTAACCATAGGACAAACATTTTGTCCATTCTGGATTTCCCACTTTGGTTTCTGCCATTATACAGAGATATGGTTGACACCTGTCTAGGCACATTGAGCAAGGGATCTACATTTGAATTACCCATTACATGTAAGGGTGAGCAAACCCAATGTATACTGAATGTACCTCTCACTAGATCAGGGGTAGTCAACCTTTTTCTACCTACCCACTAATGCATCTTTCTTGATGGAAACATTTCCTTACCGCCCACCAGTTTTCGCGCAAGTGCAGAATATTTTTTAGAAAGGATGGTGTTTGTTTTTTTTTTTTTTAATAAAAAAATGTATGTACATTTGTTTTTTTTATTTCTACTTAATGCATGTTTATAATGTTTTTTAACTTTATAAAGTTTAATGAGAAAACAATAAAGTAAATTGAAATTACCTTTACTAGTGATTAATGAGATCCTTGATGTTGATGCTGCGAGACTAAATATTTGATATCTGGTTCGATTTTCGTAAGGAACAAACGAAGGTCTCCTCTTTCGGTGATATGCAGACGATTTCTCTGTTTGCTCATAATATGATTTCTCATCTGTGTGTCAGTTCCCCTCCCCACCTTTTTTCCCCCTTTTTCCTATTTTTTTAACCTTCCTTATAGCAATGCCCAGCAGGAAGGCTGAGCTAGATATCCCATTTACTATTACTAGCCAACAACAATTCTCTCCTTTTCCTTTTTATTTTCCTTATTTCTCCTATGCTACAAGTACTCTGCTCCTTCATTCTCCTTTTTTACAAATACTCTCCTCCTTTATTTTATCCCCCTTTTTTCTATTTTTCTTCCCCTTTTTAAATTTTTTTGATCTTTTCCTTTTTATCTCCTTTTTTATGCTTTTCTTTTACCTTCCTTAGGGCAATGTACAAAAGTAAGGCTGATGTATGGTAGTTAGGGGGGCTGTGAGGTGGGTAGGGGGGCTGTGAGGTGGGTAGGGGGGCTGTGAGGTGGGTAGGGGGACTGTAAAAAGGTAAATATCTTTCAGTGTCCTCTTGGTCCGGTGGGCAGCTTTCCAGCAACGTGTGGGGCTTGTGGGCGAGAGACGGGCTTCCGTTTGGGGGCGGGGCATGCGGGCGAAATGGTTTCAGACTGTGCAGGGAGACTGACAGGTCTCCTTTCGACCGCTGGCAGCCACACCAGCCCCCAGCTCCTCCCTCCTTACTCCCCTCGGACTGACAGGCTGGCAAAGTCCGAGGGGAGGATTTATCAGAATGATCATTAGGGCTGTCAGCCCAGCCCAAGCTGGGCCAGTCTGGCCCTGCCACCCACTCTCTCAAACAGCCACTGAAATCCCTACCGCCCACCTGGAATCCTGAAACGCCCACTAGTGGGCGGTAGGGACCAGGTTGACGACCCATGTCCTAGTGGATGTTGCAAACTGGGCTTTAACAAGATTGTGGCAGGGTTTTAAAAAAAATACACACACAAAAACTACCTCAGTACAAAATTTCAGCTGGTAGTCCTAGGCTTGCAGTCTGAGCTTTTAAGGGAATGCTGAAGATCTGTAGTCCAGTAGCACAGATTACTTTTCCTCGTTTACGCTCACATTTGTTGTAGGTCTGAGCATTCTAGGATATAGTCTCTTATCCCTGTATTAGTGTGCACAAATAGTGAGTAGGAAATAGATCAGTGCTAATGAGGATGTCTCTCTAGATTAGGTGTAATATTATGTGATTTCAAAACTCCCATTTGGGGTAAAATTGTTTACAACTTTGAGGAACACTACCATTCCACTTCATCATGTAAGATGCAGAGTCGCAAGGATGGTACTGTCCATTGCTATGACTGTCATCTAGTCGTATGCGCTTTTATGTTAGCAGTAAAATGTAAATACAATTTCTCTGGTTTAAAGGAACACAGCATAGGGTCAGTGACACAAACAATGTCCCTGACCATATAGTATTAAAACCACCATCTGGCCCCCCTTTTAACCCTAAATATAGTAAAATCTTACTTTTATATCAGGTTGTGCTGGCTCTACCCCTGCTCTGTCTGCTTGGCTGACACAATCAGAAGTGGTGATCTCACATAGGAAACATTGGGTTGGCTGAGCTTGTCAAGGAGGCATATCAGGGGCAGAGCCAGCACAAGCCAAACACAGCCCTGGCTAATCAGCTTCTCCTCATAGAGATGCATTGAATCACTGCCCCAGAAAGCACCTCTAGTAGCCATATGAGTGACTAGGCTGTAATGTAAACACTGAATTTCTCTGAAAACAGTGTTTACTGCAAAAAGCTTGAAGGGAATGATTCTACTCATCAGAACAAATTCAACTAGAAAAGCTACAATTCCTGGGGAAATTGTGTGAAGTGTTCTTGCCTCCACCAGTAGTCTACAACTGGAGTGGGCGGAGTAACTGTTATCATTTATATAGCACATTCAATTGCAACGTTGTTGCACAGTTACATTAAACCATACATTTATAAAAACATTAGCAGGTGTTCAAAAGGCCCTGTCTATGACATCACTTGCTGCTGCAGCCTTGACAGGTCAGAGTATTTTGGCGGTTGCCATCTTCAAACGGTCATATTTTAAAAACTATAAATCCTACAGCGAAGAGCTTTATATTGTGAGAATCACAAGACCCAGACCTACATTTTGATGCATAGTATGTCTCTGAAGTATTAAAATTGAAGGCACAGTCGCAGTTTAGAAATTGCACTTCAAATTTGAGCTTTGCAGAGTGAAGTTTCAATGAATGTCAATGGACGGCGTTAGTTGCAAACAAATGATTATATTGTGAAAACTATCAGGACTATGGCTTAGCCGTTGACATGTTTAGTGGCAGCAGGGATAGCTGAACGTTTTGATATAAGATTTGTGTAGGTGGGCCTGAAAATAAGGGAGTGGTGGCAGTTTAGAAATCATGTCCTGATTTTTCAGCTTTTGCCAGCTCCCACTCTAGCTTTGCCATTCATTCCTATGGGACAAATTTCGCCACAAGAACGACGATATTCCGTGAACCATTCGGCGAAACGTTCCACAAAGTAATAGCAATCCGATCGGGAACAATCTGCACGTTTTGGTAAATTTTTGTCTATGTAGTGTAAAAACTGTGGGAGGAGTTAGGGTGGCAAATTTTGCTATAATAATAATAATAATATATATGTGAGATAACATTAAGTGGTCTTGCTATGTAAGAACACTTAATAATATATATGTGAGAACATTAAGTGGTCTTGCTAGGCAAGAACACTTAATAATAATATATATGTGAGATAACAATAAGTGTTCTTGCAAGAACACTTAATAATATATATTGCTATGCAAGAACACTTAATAAGCTGTAGTTGTTCTGGTGACTATAGTTTCCCTTTAAGTAAATTTGTCAAGTGTGTGTGTATATATGTGTGTGTGTGTGTGTGTGTGTGTGTGTGTGTGTGTGTGTGTGTGTGTGTGTGTGTGTGTATGTATGTATATGTGTGTATATATATATATATATATAATGTGTATGTATGTATGTATGTATATTCGCTTTCCTGACATTAAATATTGGAGTTTGCAAGTCATGTTAATGCCTGCCTCTGTGTCTGTTAAAGGCCTGCACATACACGAGAGAGCAGATCGTGGAGATGATGGAGTATCTGATTGAGTTTGGGCCATCTCAGCTGTATTGGGAGCCTGCTGAAGTCTTTCTGAAGCTCTCCTGTGTTCAGCTGCTACTGCAGCTCATCTCCATTGCCTGCAGCTGGAAGACTTATTATGCCAGGTGAGAATGGAAATATATGCAAAGCCCTGGAGAGAAGTCAAAACAGTCATGTCTGGCTATGTAACAAGAGCACTCTATCAATACAAGTCTCTATATTTAGCCTTAAAGTGACAACTGAAATTTCCTTTATGCTATTCTATTGTACTTTAAGATCGACTCAGCAGCACTTTACATATGAATGGCTGTTTCATGCATTTTTCATCTTGCATTTGTGTGTCATGCTGTGCTTGTCATTAGACCTCAATTCCCTCTAGAATTTAAAAATGTTACTTCTGTACCCAGGAATGATACAGTTCGTTATGCTTTGGATATTCTTGCTATCTTGACTGTGGTTCCAAAGATTCAGCTTCAGTTGGCAGAACCAGTGGATGTTTTGGATGAGGCCGGTTCCACAGTCTCCACCGTAGGTAGGAAAGGATTTTTCATACAATTTTCAAACTTTACCTTTTTCAGTATCCTTACGTCTCCCTGACCTGCTTTAACACTGCCTTTTCAACCCACAGTTATCCTTCTGTTCACTCTCCATTTGTGTTTCCTTACCTCAGGTATAAGCATTGTGCTGGGTGTGGCAGAAGGTGAATTCTTCACTCACGATGCTGAAATCCAAAAGTCTGCTTTACAGATAATCATTAACTGCGTATGTGCCCCTGAGTCCCGCATCTCCAGTATTGGCAAGTATGTCTCTGGGACACCTCGTCGGCGCACTCCAGTTGTCCCGTCGTTCCACCAACAAGGCCGAGGAAGTGCTGGGGAGCCTACGCTTGCCAAGATGTGGAATGTTGTCCAGTCTAACAATGGCATTAAAGTTCTTTTGTCTCTGCTGTCTGTTAAAATGCCCATTACAGATGCTGACCAGATTCGCGCTTTGGCATGCAAGGCACTGGTTGGTTTGAGCCGGAGCAGCTCCGTGAGGCAGATCATCAGTAAGCTGCCCCTTTTCAGCAGTAGCCAGATACAGCAGCTAATGAAGGAACCAATACTCCAAGACAAGCGCAGCGAACATGTGCGCTTCTGTAAGTTTGCCGCGGAGCTCATTGAGAGAGTATCAGGGAAACCATTGCTGATGGGAAGTGATGTATCCTTGGCACGATTACAAAAGGCAGATGTGGTTGCTCAGTCTCGTATCTCTTTCCCAGAAAAAGAGTTGCTTCTGCTTATACGCAATCATCTGGTCGCCAAGGGCCTTCATGAAACGGCCACTGCACTTACCCGCGAAGCTGACCTTCCCATGACTGCTGCTTCCCACACCACTTCTTTTCTGCCAGCCGTCACCACTCAGCCACCCTCTACCTCTTCACCGGTTGCGCTTCCACGCACACCACGCATTCCTGCCCGTCTCTCTGGCACTGCCTTGTGCCCTCATCCCCCCACCAGACCTCAGTTGCCACCTCCACTGGCTTCCCCTGCCCCTGTTCCCTCAGGCTCTCCACTCATTGGGCGCATCAGCTTTGTACGAGAGAGACAGTCACCCTGCAATGGCAAGCGAGCCCGTGTATTGAGGCAGAAGTCAGACCATGGTGCCTATAGCCAAAGCCCGGCATTCAGGAAGCAGTTGGAGCGGCATGCCCCTTCTCCACCTACACTGGACAGTATCATGACTGAATATCTGCGGGAACAGCATGCCCGCTGCAAGAACCCAGTTGCCATATGCCCACCTTTTTCACTCTTCACCCCTCACCAGTGCCCTGAGCCCAAGCAACGTAGGCAAGCACCTACTAACTGCACATCCCGACTTACTCGCCGTGCTGCCTTCCCCAAATATGGTGGGGTGGATGGGGGCTGCTTTGACAGACATCTTATCTTCAGCAGGTGAGGTGTGACGCACTGAGCAAGTATGTTATGTTTTACACAAAAAAGGCAATAGTTAACTGGTATCCTCTTTTTCTCCTCAGGTTCCGTCCGTTATCTGTGTTCCGTGAGGCCAATGAGGATGAGAGCGGCTTTACGTGTTGTGCATTTTCTGCCAGGGAACGATTCTTAATGCTGGGTACATGCACAGGACAGCTTAAACTGTATAATGTGTTCAGCGGGCAGGAGGAGGCTAGTTACAATTGCCACAATTCTGCTATAACACACCTTGAGCCATCCCGGGTAAGAAATTGTTTGGCAGCTTTCCTAAATTAACTGTATGGCACTTATGTACTCCTGATAGAGCTGACCACTATTGGTTTTATTTTCTTTGTGCTCTTCGTTATACCATGTCTAATTCTAACTTCTGGTGCTTCTCCTTGGATGTGTTTTATAAGCCTTTAACTCACTGCTGTCATGTTTGTTCCTATGTAATTTTTTTTCTTTATTCATCCCTTTGTTGTTTTCTACCCTTTCTCAGGATGGGTCTCTCCTCCTTACTGCAGCCACATGGAGTCAGCCTCTCTCTGCTCTTTGGGGCATGAAATCTATCTTCGATCTGAAGTAAGTTTAAGCTTCTGGGGCAATTAAAGTGGTGGTTGAAATAATAAGGTTCCCTTTCGGTATTTTCATGGCTCACTATACATTTGTTTATTGGCAGGCATTCATTCAATGAGGATCATTACGTGGAGTTTAGTAAGCTCTCACAGGATCGGGTAATAGGCACAAAAGAGGATATTGCTCATGTGAGTAAACCTGCAAATATGGGATTGTTGAAAAATAAACTCTTCTTTCATAAAGCTGCATTTTACCAAGGTTTTTTAAGGTGGGGAAAAAAAACTAAAGAAAAAAATCTATTGCTTTTGTACTGCAACATTGGCATAACAATCGACTCCTGAAAGATATGCTTTAAACACCTTACGTCAGGTGTGCTAGAGACACTGCCCACTAGGCTTATGCGTCCAACATGCAGATCACCATTGCATGGGAACTTTATTTTTGTATTCACTATGGCTTGTTCTGTCAGCTTTGCTTTCTGTCCAGAAGTACCACTCCCCAAAACTGCTGTTGCGGATCAAATAATTATAATTCCCCTGCCTCCTGAGTGGATTGCAAGAGGACTGAGCATTTCTCTGCTTAGTACTTTCTTGTGCTCTTTGTGGCTTGAGATGGATAACAGAGTGATGACAGCCCTACATCATCCCTCTTACAGCCTCTGCTGCACAGCGCAAGTACAGGAAGAGATGATGCAGAGACACATGAAGAGAGACAGGCACAAGAGGGAATGAAGACCTAACAAGGAAAAGACCTAAGGGGAGTGCAGAAACACAGTTAGAGAAAACCTACGAGGGGATGAAGAGATACAGGGAGAAACAGACCTAAGAGTAAGATGGAAAGACTCTGGGTTATTTACAGGGCTATAGATGAACCAGAAAACGAGTTTACTGTGTGCATGCAATACACATTAATATTTTTTTATTGGCTGTCTCATAGCTTTCCAAGAGAATTAGTGCTTTTAAAGCATTAGCTTGCATAGGGATTTAGTCTTATCTTTCAATAAATAAAATCATGGTCTGTGGATTCACATATCCCTATACATCTTGAGGAGTGTGGGATACGTATTAAACAATAGAACATATGTTTGTCACCTCCAGTGCGGGAAGAATAAAGTTGTACAGGGGAATGCTTTTTGAAGGAACACTCCAGAGCACCATAACCACTAAAATCTAGTGGTTATGATTCGGGAGTGCCCTGGCACATTTCCACAGTAAGATGTCGCACTGTTTTTAGCAAGATTTATCAACTTGACGAAGTACTGCCTGGTGCCCATGCTGCATTCAGTCTTCTCCAGATATCCGGATGTCTTTGTAAGCCTGGCCTAAGCAGGTCATGCTTGTTTGCTAAGAATGCTCAGCTGACACTCGCAGCCCGTGAGTGTCATCCTGCCCTGTTGTGTTTTCCAGCCGGAGTAGCAGATTGCTCTATAGAACATTGGATGTAGTGGATGCTACCTTGGTTGTCTGATGGAACCCAGGTAAGTTTTCAAATAGATGACCTCTTTCTGTGGGCTGGCACCAGGGCACACCTGGCACCATTACCACTACACTGAGAAGTCTCAGTTTTTGTGCCTGGAATGTTCCTTTTAAAGAGATTTTATGCGGGGCAAGTTTAGTGACATGAAAATTAATTCAATTTTACAACTGTAACAAATCATCTAATTTTGTTTTTTTGTGTTGTTTTTTTTTTTTTCTTTGTCATTTAGCTTTATGATCTTCAATCAGGAAAGAAGTTTTTAACCTTGTACAACCCTGATTTGGCGAATAACTACAAGCGCAACTGTGCCACCTTCAACCCCACAGATGATCTTGTACTGAATGATGGAGTCTTATGGGACGTGCGCTCTGCTCAAGCCATCCACAAGTTTGACAAGTTCAACATGAATATCAGCGGTGTCTTTCACCCAAACGGACTTGAAGTTATCGTGAATACTGAGATTGTATCCTGCCTGACTCACAGAAGAATCTCTAATCATTTTATAGTGTGCTATCATTTGTGCATAGGGTTAATCAAATTGCTACCAAGTGTATCAATAACATTTAGTTTAGTATTGAAGACTTTACTTGTGGCACAAACGTATAAATGTCGGCTAAGCTATTTAGTAAGATACATGTGACTCTATCCTAGAATACAATGCAGAGCAGCATTTAGACTTACAGTGAGATTTTCTATCCTGGTGGTTGGATTACTGTTCTTGCAGCTCCCGCCAATTATATTTTATCCTGGTAGCCAAATAATCTTGTATGTGTTGAAGGTCTCTTTATGTTCTGTTGCATTGACTCTGTTTTCCCTGTCAGCCTATAAATCCTCTTTAAAAAAATAAATAAATAAATAAAATATATATATATATATATATATATATATATATATATACATACATACATATACACACACACATATATATAGACTATATAATTTCCTTAACCGTTCTTTAGTGGGACCTCCGTACCTTTCATCTTCTACACACTGTGCCTGCTCTAGACCAGTGTCGTTTGGTCTTTAATTACACGGGAACAGTCATGTATGGAGGTATGAATGTTTTATTTATTTTTTACTTCTTAGATCCATGTAGTTATTGCACTTTGTTTGCAGCCCTACATATTCATATTTCTGTATTGGTACCACTGTAGATCGTGGTCTTGTTTTGTGCTTATTTAACTGCCTACCTTCTGAATGTATCTTGTTGTTTGACCTTTTTTTTTTTTTCTTCAGCCATGCTGCAGGCAGATGATGAAGATGACCTTCTAGAAGAAAGAATGAAGAGCCCGTTTGGTTCTTCATTCCGGACATTTAATGCGACAGATTATAAACCAATAGGTGATCATCGGAAGTCATGGGATGGTTGGGTTGGAAAACATGGAGAATGGTTTAGGCCTCTTTGTTTAATGCTTTTTATACTGTGAGCACCTATCCTAGTCCATACTATTATGATCCGTTCTATACAAGATTTTTTGGGGGGGTTATAATTTGCCGTAGTGCTTGACTGTACAATTTAGTGAATGTCCTGTCTTCTTTCAGCTACCATTGACGTGAAACGCAATATATTTGATTTGTGCACAGACTCAAAGGATTGCTACCTGGCTGTAATTGAGGTGAGAGCTGGTAGGAACTTGGTGTTTCAGTGGAAAAATTACTTTAAGAACCTAAGGGCATAAATTAATACCAATGGAAGTGTGGAGTATTACATTTTTGTACAGATATGTGATTATTTGCATTGTTGTGTGGGGGCATGATATTTGCTCTACATTCTTCCTGAGTTTTGTAGTCAGTAGTCTAAGATTATGTTGTACCTTTTTTAGAATCAAGGTACAATGGATGCCCTTAATATGGATACTGTGTGCCGTCTGTATGAAGTAGGGAGACAGCGACTGGCAGAGGATGAGGATGAAGAAGATCAGGTGAGCTTGCACTTCAAAGTCTAGAACGAATGGACAGAAGGGAAAACAGGTCTTTTGTTTTCAAACTTACATTGGACTTTTCAATTAAAGGAAGAAGAGGAGCAGGATGAGGATGATGACGACGATGATGATGACTCTGACGAATTTGGACCTCTCTTGGATGCTTTGGACGAGGAAGAAGAAGCTGGTGAGCAGGCCGGGGAAGATGGAGAGAATGACTTCTCACCTTCTGATGATGAAGAATTGGCAAATTTACTGGAAGATGAAGATGATGAGGGTGACGATGGAGATGAGGAAGGCCATGATGATGATGATTCTGACATTGACCCAGAGGTGGAGCTTATACTGGGAGACTGTGAGTAATATCAAATCATTCGAATAGCTGAATTCCGTATTTGTGTGTGTTATGGCATCTCTGCTGCTTGAATATTTCTTGATCTAGGTTTTCCATAAATCTGGTGTTTTCCACTAGACAGATTTAATCATTAAGCAACAAATTGATAAAATAACAGCTGTAAAAACATCTCAATTTGAGATTTTTCTGTATTCTCATATTTTGCCATGTGTTGCTGTTTTGTGAATAAGTCACAAAATGTCTGGGTATACAATGCTTATGAGTTTGAATAATGCTGAGATTTATATCTTTTTTTGTTTTCTGTTTTAGCCTAAATAGCAAAACTGTGGAAGTTCTCAAACTTGTATTGTTATTATGGCTTAAAACATGCAATTCTACACAGTTTCCAGTTTGGCTTACTTGTCTATCGATTAGATGTAAAATGGTTTTACATTGAATAATTGTACCGTTATTTCCTCCCCAATTATCATTCTTCAACGATTTCTAACTTTCACACTAATAATGGAAATTCCCTCCTAATTATTGGGCAGACAAAGCTCTTCAGCAACTTCCAGTCTTCTGTTACGTAACTTACTTTCATTCAAATAGTCTGTTGATGCACTGACTGGGGTATGTGTGCAGCTAAAGAAAAGTATAAAATAGTTACCTCTGCTTCTTTTCCATTAGATTAGAGCAGAAATCTTCAAAATGAATCTACTCCCCATGGTTCTTCATGCATGCTCATATTGTCTCGGACTAAATACAGGAAATAATAGAACATGTTGAATTTAGATCAGATGAAAGGGTATGCCAGCACCGTTACATCAGATTCACATTTTAAAAGGGTATAAATACTTCCTAAATTACATGATTTAAGAAGTTTCTGGTGTAACCTGACTGATACTCAGAAAACCCATGGATAGGCTCTTTCCTGTAACACTTTATATTTTGGGATTAGTGATTCAGCAGATACTAGTTTGCTAATGGCAATTAAAGAGATGGGTAATTGGTGTATATTCATATTTAAGAAGTGCTATTGTTTTAATCTCTTATATTTTTTCCCCCCCACAGCTGACAGTTCAGATAACTCTGACCTGGAAGATGATATAATCCTAGCACTGAATGAATGATAATTTGAGGGTCTTCAATAATTATACACAAGGCATTTTCCTTCCCGGAGAAGCAGAGCACACATCAGCCTTGTGTGATTGAATGGCAGGCATTAGGAAGTGGACTCGTCATACTTTGGAGGGTGAATAACCCTTTAAATAAACATGTTGACTTTTTTCACTGTGGCTTTTCTCCCACAAAATGCTCCTTCCTTGATCTCTCGACTCCTAAGATCCTTCAACCTTTCAAATGGACATTTTTTTTCGGGTAAAAAACAAAACAAAAAACTCTTAATTAGTTTTATATAAAAATTTAAAAAAGACCAAAAACACTTGCATCCAAATCCACCATCTCCTCCTGTGGGGTGAAACAAAATCAATCTCCCGCTTTTTTTTTTTTTTTTAAATGACACGTTTTGTGTGTTCAATTTTTTTTTTTTTTTACACAGAAGAATTTAAGACGGGAGAGTTATTTTCTTCTCTTAACTTTGGTCAGCAAAGTATTTTTTATGATATAAATTGTAATATATTCCATAGGAAATTGTGTATTTTTTGTTCCTTTAAAGCTTGTATATGAGAGGGTATTAATCAGAGAACCAGCTTTGTACATGGAAAGGAAGACGAGCCAATCTCTAGCTGGTTTTCTCAGTGATTTTATCTATTCCATCCAAGCTTCTGAGAGGAGGTTCCTGTATCACCTCTTTTTAAGACAGACCTGTATAAGTTAGATGTTAGAGCAATCAGATGGGTATCATGACTTCAGCACACAAATGCCAAAGTAGGGAAGTTGTGTTACCATCACTCATGAATTTAGTAGATCTGTTTTTGGATGTAAAGCAAATGTCATTTTTCTTTGTGTGTGTGTGTGTGTATAAACTTTATGACCTGTGCTTACCCCTTGATAGCCAGTTTATGCACGAACATTGCCATATTTTTAGAATTGAGCAGTATTGATTTGTGTTAAAACATGGAATAAATTGAGCTACAGATCTGGTTTGTAAAACGCTAACAGGGCATCCAGCATTAGCACCTGTGGGGTTTGAAGAATCTTGAGATGTGTCATACCAATGGATTTTCAGACACATTGTCATTAACATATCACCCTCCACTCTTTTCAGCCCTCCCCCCACCCCTCAGCCATCTTTAATTCCTGGTCCTTTCCCAAACTTGTTCTCCTTAGTAGGACAAATCAAGAGAAGCATTGTTTCCTTTTTGTTTCATGTAAAGTGTATTTATTTAAAAAATAAAATGAAAAGGTCACTGTGGGTCTGTCTTTATTCTGTAGCAATTGCAGAAAAAGTCACAACTGGACCCTGCGCCGCACATACTTTCAGCCCGTTCACTCTCTCTGTTCTGGCTTTTTTAGCAATGCAGTAAATCTGGAGCCAACATTTCCTGTGCACTTTAAACATGGAAGATCACGTAAAACTTTTTTTTTTTTCCAGCCAGGAAACCTTTATGAAAGATGCATGAAAATTTTAACTTTTTACACCATCGTTCTGCCCATAGACTGTAATTTAAACATATTCATATTACAAACTCTTTGGATCTTGACAAGTACATATTAAATGCATTGTGTTCACATTCTTCTAGGGTGGGGGTACCTAAAAAGTTAGATCCCTCAGATGTTGTAGAACTACAACTCCCACAATGATTTGCATGCCTTTATAATAACAAAGCATCATGGAAGCTGTAGTTTAAAAATATCTCTGGATCTACCTTTTAGGCATCCCTGTTCTAGAATGTAAGATACAGTGTATGTATAGTTTTTGATTCAGGCCATTTCTCTTTAACAAACTTCCTGAATTACATCACAAGGCAGACAATGAAGTCACAGCTAACATTGTAATCCCTTTAAGACGGCTAACATAACATATATGCCATCATGAAGTGCCCAGCTTAGGTAGCATTGACAACACAGTCTTATCAAGTCTTTAAAGGCCAGATTTTTGTTTTGACAGACAATTATTGGTTCTTAACACACTGAGATTTATGCTCGAAGGGGATAACCTTAAAATATAATATGGTTTGCTTGTTTCATTATCAACCACCTTTGTGTTGCCTGTTTTTATTTTTGCACACAGTGTCATTTGAATTAAATAACTTTAATACAAAAGAACATAATACACAAGGTTATTCATCAAACAATTGTCAAAAGTTCACAAGAGAATTGTAAACTTTAGGCAAACATAGCCAAGTAACAGAATTTGATTTTCAGTTTTCCATTATTCTTACTCTAGTTTAGTGAATAACCAACAAAGAATTTCAATGTATCAAACTACACAAGAGGTTTGTCACCAGGATGTGCACCTTCTATCCCTTTTGAATGTGGAGTAACTCTGCTGGTCGTGGATGATTTAGGGAAATTTACATAAAACATAGTTTCAAAGCCTTTAAGGCACTAAAGTAATGTCTCTGGACGTGGATTAGTTTGCCAAGTAAATGCTATGTGATCACCAGAGGAAAGTTAGACTGGGAGGGGGCTAAATTGATTTGAATGCTCTGTGTAAAATATAAATGCAGAATTAAAAAAAAACAAAAAAAAAACTTTTCATTAAAGGGAAAAGCCGCTGCTCAATACCCACAGTAAAAATGTGCATGCATTTAAGTATGCATTTTATCAGTGGGAGTACAGCTAAAACCAGTTTGGAAAAAAAACCTGCAGATCTCTAGTCTGCAACTTCTGCAGTCCCTCCCATTCTTTACCAGTCTGGACTTTCCATGGCTATCCAATCACAGACTTCCCAATGCAGCTCAATGAAAAGTCTTTGCAAGACAGGTGCTCTCTGGGCAATTGCTGCCTCTTGTGTTTAGCTCCACTGAGCTACACAAGCCAGGATGTAACAGGACTAGTTATCTGACCGCCCGTGTCAACGTTAATTTATTAAAAAAAAAAAATGCTATTTTTTAATTGAAATCTGCAGTTTATCAAATGAAAAGGACACAAAAGCAATCCAACAAACTGATTTAGGGGTCTAGGGTGTCACTTAAGCTTTCACAAAAAAAAAAAAAATTACAGTGCCACTTTATCAGTAAATAGGCTATTTATAAGAATGTTACAGTGTGCTTTGTTATGACTTAACATTACACTTTAAAGCCCAGTTATGTGGACTGTTTAAATTATTTGTATAATGTCAAAGGTAAACATTTCAACTTTGATATGAACCTATCTTACAAGTCCACACTGAGTGATGTCATTTTCTGCATGAGACTCTGGGACCAGCTACTATTCTGCATCTGAAGTTTTCAAAGTTACTACCTAACCATAAACAGATTGATCCGGTGCAAGAATAAAACAGGCAAACCATTTACTACTATAATGGGTTGTTCCTTAATAAAGTGCACAATTCAGGGAAGGACTGTTTCAAACCAGTGAACAAAACATTTGTGAAGCTCGTAAAAGGAAATGCATATTTCGCAAAGAATTGCTCTGGAAATTTAACGTATACAGAAAAAGGTCTACCAGCCTGTGTTTGTTCATCACAAGGAAAATGAGACTAGTATGATCAAAATTAGGAGGTTGAAGTTCTATTTTTAAAAGCCCCTGCAAACGAGTTTGAGGCCTGTTAATTCTGTCATTTTCTCTTGAAGACATTTGTGCAATGAAAATGCTATTGCTTTTTTCTTCTTCCTTTTAATCATTTACCACTGTTTAGACAAAATGTGGGTTCAAACTCACCTCACAGTAACTAAACTAGTGTGTAAGCTATGCAAATATATGTATAAACTGACCAGCAAAGATTAATCAATGTAACCTTACTGAAATGAAAATAAAGGGGATAATTCTAACTTCTTGCCAGGACATGTGGCCTTAAAGTGCACATGCCATAGATTTGAGTTTATACAGCCAGATGGTTTGCAATTGTATTGAATAAAGTTCAGTCTTATATTATAATTAAGCCTACATCTCTGTGCCTGAAACAGAGGTCTAAATTATAAACATGGCAGATCCCTTTCTAAATTCCACAGAATAAAAATATATAATCTATACCTATACTATTTCACTAGCACAATAAATAAGTTACACTTTTAGGGTTATTTACGAATTCAAAGTCAATTGGTTATTTCTATTCTGTTTTCAGTTTGTCTATTTTAGCCTTAAGCGGTCACTCGGCTGTGCTACGTCTTCCCCTCCAAAAATAAAAAAAAACAACCATCACTGTTCACAATGAAAACATGCATGTATTTAAAGGGACAATATAGTCTCCAGAATAAATGCAGCTTAATTTAGTTGTTCTGGTGGCTAGAGAATGTCCCTGCAAGTTTTTTAATGTAAACATTACCTTTTCAGAGAAAAGGCCATATTTAAATTACTGCCTAGTAACACCTCTATTGGCTATCACCCAGAGGCCACCAGAGGTGCTTCCTGGGTCACAGCACTGGTGTTCAGCATCTCCACTCTCTGCATGGAGACACTGAATGCTCCCTGTAGAGATGCTCTAATTCAGTGCATCTCTATAAGGGGATGCTGAGAGGCGCAGCATTCCCTTATAGATGCGCAAGAGTCTTTCTATGGGAAACCATTGGATTGGCTAAGATGATCAAAATTGATGACCTCAGCCATGGAGTCGAGAAAAAGCAAGCTGAGGAGAGCCTGGTGCAGCCCAGTAAAAACAAGGTGATTAAAGACATTTTTAAAAGGAAAGAAGGGGCCAGTCATCTAAATGAGAAATATTTACAAGACAGGTGCAATTCCTGCCTCTTGAGTTTAGCTCCAATGAGCTAAACAACCAGGAAGTAAAAGGGCTGATTGACAGCCAGGGGGTTTAACAAGGATAATTTTATAAAAGTGCAAATTTCTATTGATATCTGCACTTTTTGTAATATGAAAAGTGAGGACACTCTTCACATATAAAGCACTTCAGCAAACTAAAGTGCTTTAGGCGTCCAGAGTGTCATTTTAAAATTTGGAATACACTTTCAATTCTGGGCAATAATCACTTTAGTAAATAACCCTGTTTGCAATTCATCTGAAACAGGTTTCAACTTTAACCTGCAGAATTCTGTGTGTAATCCATGTAAGAGAATAAATCTTTGGTATCCCTGTGCCTATTTTAGCATTTTTACACAATTCAAATTTTAAAAAGGTGCATTTGGGATGCAAGTTTCACAAATATGTCCCCAAATAACTGATACATGCAGTGCATATGTTTTACAAACATGTTTTCCTTTACATGTACTTTTACAAGGATTTGTAACCATTTCAATTTATTTCCTATTTGTTTGTATCACGGGACTGTATTACTGCTTCTAAGCACAAGACATATCTATTTGTCATTTTTTATAGAGGCATGGTAGATGTTCTTCTGCACACCAGTGTATTTTATGTAGATAGATATATATATATATATATATATATATATATATATATACACACACATATATACATACACACACACACACACACACACTCTTGAAGAGTTCACGTATAAAAAAAACACAAACTCGATATAGGAGTGTAAAATTAAAGGGACAGTCTAGGCACATAGGATGTAAAATGCATCTGATACAGCATCATACAAAAACTTGATTTTTTTTTTTTTCTTCTTTCATTCTTTACAGGCCAGATGCAGGATTTTGAGAGAGTAAAAAATAAAAAGGGTGCAATAATCACTTATCTTTAATACTTACCATGTCTCTCAAAGGAGGCAAGAAAGAAATGTTTTTTCTCCCCCCTATAAACCCCTGGTGTCGGAGTTGATGGGAAACATAAAAGGCCATACGTGTATCAAGAGTAGTTGTACAAGAAAGTGTATTATAGCACTGACAAAGATGTGCTGGCCATTTCTCATTAATAAATAAATTAAATAAAATAGATGCAACTTGTTACTTGCATTCATTCACGTGTTCTCTAGTCACATAATGACAAATGAATGGTAAACTGACATATTACTGTTATATGCCTCCTATGAACCCATATAGCAAAAGAGATCATGAGAACAGGATAGCTTTGTCACAGAGAGCTATGGAAGGAACAGGATTGGCTGAGATTGCTTATTTTCTGGCAAACACGGATGTCAACACATGTAGGGTAAATGCAAAACAAATGCATAAAAATGATCTATATATACCATGGAATGTCCCTTTAACGTTATACAGATGTACGTATAATTTAGCCATGTGTACACAAGTAAATAAAGTGTAATACATGTGCATGTGTATGTGTATGTATATATAGATCTATATATAAGTCTACACAAACTTTGAACTATAGATATAAAATAGACAAGTTTACACTAACACAAACATGATGTTACGGTATGTTGTTCTGGCTCTGACACGTTAACAAGCTCTAGTTTAAAACAAAACAAAACAAAACAAAAAAAACTTTGTATATATAAAGCCTCCCTCCGCATCTTGATCTGCTAATTTTTAGGGTGTGGTAACAAGTTTAAACCCCCACCCTCCCTTCCCTTACTGGGGCACATGTAAAGCATCATTATAAAGAAATAATGAGCTGCCTCCAATCCTGGGAGGCCTTGTGGTTATAAACAGAGTGTATGAATGCAACTAATCAGACTCCTGGGTTCTCTTAACCATCCCTCACCTAATCCACACCAGATACAGCCACCAGAGGGACACAGTGACAGCACACAGTGCACTAGCGTCACATGTACATAAGGCACTCTCGGGACCCTCTTGCTACCGAGGACTCCAAAAACAACACAGGCACACAAACTAAAACAAAAAAATCAAATAGCCACCGTCCCTGTGACACAAACCCTATTCTACCTCCCATCTACCCATCATAAAACACAAAACCATTTGGGCTCTATACAGAGATAGAGACAAGAAAAACACCTAATAAAAAAAAAAAAAAATCTGTCCGGCAGTAAGTTTACTGGAGAATTAATCTATTGACACTTAAAAAGAGGTCCTGATCATTAACTTTGCTCAGAAGACTAGCTACTCTTTTGGGGACAGATCAGGAACAGTCCCTCAAGGACTACCACCTCTACATTTTACACAATTATATAACAGCAGTGCAGTTAATTGTTGTTGTATTGTATTTAACCCATTCAGTACTTAAGTGGTCTGTAATGCAATGTTTTACAGGCCCCCTCAGCACTGACCAGGCTAACCCAATGACGATTTTTCAGTCACAATTTCATGTATATTTGTGGTTTCCCTGTCCCCATCATTTCCTGCAAACCATAACAGAGAGAGGTCAGAGAGGGCACATGACAGTCTGTGAGGGCACCATTGGGCACAGTAACTCCTGGATCAGGCGCTGTCTTTTACTAGCACAATAATCATGTTTTCTTCTAGCTTGCCCACAGTGCGCTGGGCACTCTGCTGGTACAACTGATGGAAGTCACATGGTGGGAATGCGTATAGCATGCCGCTGGAGTCTCTGCCCTTGTTGCTTCCTCCAACAGGCAAACTGATGACACCAGCTGCCTGCTTCTGCTTCAGGTAGGAGACAAGATTCCTGAGCAGTCGGCGCTGTAAACCAGGTTCACCAGGCACAGCCCCTTCGTTCTGTGGGGCCTGTGTAGCAACCAGTACAGCATAACCTCCAGTAGTGCCCTGTCTCACACGTCGAGTAACCTCCTCAAGCTTGGGTTGATCTAGCCGGAGCCTTTGAGCAATCTTGAGTTGTGCCAGGCTGCCCCCACTGTTTGTAGAACGATCTCTAAGCAGGGCACTTGGTACATCACGGTCACCTTCCAAGAAGTGTAGATAAGTGGGGAAACAGCTGTTCTTCAGTACAAGATGTCCACACCAAACAGGCGGCAGCGTCCGTCCCTTCTCTATCACTGGGGACTGTCTATCTGCAGGCGGCTCCGGGGGTCTAGGATGGTGGTTTCTTCGGGGCTGTGGGGGTTCAGGGGTAGGGGGCCTAGGTTTGTCTTGTGGTGGGGGACGGTGATTGTGTTGTGGGGACGGTGGGGTACCAGGATCCCTCTCTGAGGGCTCTCTTCTGGGCCTATCAGGGCTCCTTTCAGCTCTGCTCCTACCCCTTTCCCCAGATAAACTGCGCCTCCGCTTTTTCTCGTCCCTAGTCCTTGAACTGCCACTTCCTCCCCCACGATCTCCACTCCTGCTACGTGCACCCTGCCCAGCACTCCGTCTTTCTGAGTTTACCCAACCAGCTTCCACAAAGGGCCTCTCCCGGTCAGAATAAAGAAGATGTGGAGGGGTTCTATCCCTGACCCTAAGGTCTGGTTCAAGAGCTGCCCGATGTCTGCTGTATGCTTCAGACTGCAGCAGCTCATAGGGAAGAGGCAAAGGGTATGGAGTAGGCTGAATAGGGGCATAACGGGATGCAGCTGCCGCAGCCTCCTCCGGAGTAACTTTTGCAAAGTCCACACGAAGTCTGCGATCCCCAAGTGCAAACCCCCTCATTTGCGTACAAGCAGCCTGAGCAGCATCCAAACTTTCGTACTGTATGTAGGCAAAGCTGTCCCCTTTCACATAGTCCACTGTCCTGATGCTTCCAAATCTGTCAAACTCTCGGGCCAATGCTGCCAGTGAAGTATTGGGCCCCAGCCCTCCCACCCAGAGGCGTGTGCTAGGATTGGCTTTCCCATAACCAATTTTCATGGCATTGCGTCCCAGCAGACGTCCGCTCATCGCCAACTTAGCTCTGTGCGCCATGTCTAAATTTTGAAACTTAAGGAAGGCGTAGGCTGCCCCTTGATTCCTCGCCGGCCGCTTGATCACCACTTCTTCGATGGGGCCGTATTTGTCAAAGGCCCTCCTGAGGTCCACTTCCGAAATGGTGTGGTCAAGGTTCCCGATGAAGAGGTTGCGGGTGGCTCGATGGTCGTCCTCCGGTGCCAGTTGCTCGTCGTCCGCCGTGCTGGTGCTGCCCAGGCCATACGTGGCTCCCCGCGCCCTCTCTTCGTACAGCGGGTAGTAGCCATCGCCCGAGGCTGCGGTGGAGGTGAGGGCTGGGGGCAGCAGCAGGTGCCTGGGGGAGGTGGAGCGGGGGTAGGCCGGCAGAGTGGCCAGCGGCAGTGGGGCGGGCTCCGGCCGGCGGGCAGGCTGCTGGGTGAAGACCGGTTCCACCCGCAGGGGCCGGTCGTACAGCAGGGGGCGCAGCTTGGCGTGCCGGGCTTGGCGGGCGTCCGCCGGGCGGCGGAAGTTGATGTAGGCCACGCGGCCGAGCTCGGGGGTGTGTGACAGCTTGACGCTGATGTCCCCGAAGCGCTGGAAGTGCCGGAAGAGCCAGTCCTCCAGCAGCGGGTCCGGCAGGGCAGAGCCCAGGTTGCTGATCAGCAGCGTCTTGTACTCCAGGCCGGAGCTGTCTGCCGGGGCGGGCAGCAGGAGCGGCCGGGGCGGGGGGTCCCGGGGCCGCCGGGAGGAGGACGAGGAGGTGGAGGAGGACGAGGCCGCGGCCTGGTTGGGCCTCTCCCGCCTGCCCGAGCTCTTGTGGTGGGCGCCGCCTCCGGCCTCTTCCCGCCGCTCGCGGGCCCGTTTGGCGCGGCCGGGGCTGGGCTCCCCGCGCTCGCTCTGCCGCTTCATGTCTGCTCGGTCACCGCGCGCTGGGGGGGCGAGGAGGAGGAGCGGGGGGCGCGCTCACTGTGCGGTCGCCATCTTCCACAATGAGTCCGGAGAGGGAGCTGTGACGTCATCAGGGGGCGCCCGGCGAGAGGAGGAGGAGGAGGAGGGGGATCACCAGAGGGGCGGGAACAACCCCTGTCACGTGCGCGGCCACGCCCACACCGCCACGCCTTTCTCCCCCCCCCCCTCTCTCTGTCAGAGGGAATCCTGCCCTACAGCAACATGGCGGCACTGGCATCCACACTATGGGCTGTGCTGAGGGCGGCCAGGTCCGCCATGTTTGTCCCTGACATGCATTGCACACACACACTGTGACTGGGAGCTGTTTGCAGCGTATAGTGTTATTATTATTATTATTATTATTTATATAGCACCAACACATTGCGCAGCGCTGTACAATTTATTCTCACTGTATGATTCTCAATGCGAGGCCGGAGTGCTATCCAATACGTATACTAATCAGATCTCTACACGGACGCCATAGTGCCGCAAGAGCGCGCTTGCTGAGCTCGGGTATAGAATTCTGCATGCGCAACACCTCCAGGGATCAGCTGCTCCTCTAATCTGAAGGTCTACTGCGCATGCACACAGCACATCCCTCAGATATAGAATGGTTAATGGTGTGACACACCGGGGATGGGGGATTAATGGTGTGACACACCGGGGATGGGGGATTAATGGTGTGACACACCGGGGATGGGGGATTAATGGTGTGACACACAGGGGATGGGGGATTAATGGTGTGACACACCGGGGATGGGGGATTAATGGTGTGACACACCGGGGATGGGGGATTAATGGTGGACACACAGGGATGGGGATTAATGGTGGACGGGATGGGGATCAATGGTGTGACACACCGGGGATGGGGGATCAATGGTGTGACACACCGAGGATGGGGGATTAATGGTGTGACACACCGGGGATGGGGGATCAATGGTGTGACACACCGGGGATAGGGGATTAATGGTGTGACACACCGGGGATGGGGGATTAATGGTGTGACACACCGGGGATGGGGGATTAATGGTGTGACACACCGGGGATGGGGGATTAATGGTGTGACACACAGGGGATGGGGGATTAATGGTGTGACACACCGGGGATGGGGGATTAATGGTGTGACACACAGGGGATGGGGGATTAATGGTGTGACACACCGGGGATGGGGGATTAATGGTGTGACACACCGGGGATGCGGGATTAATGGTGTGACACACCGGGGATAGGGCTGTTACTGGGGGTGACACATAGGGGATAGGCCAGGTTAATCAGGCTATACACTGGGGATGGGAGGTCAGGGCCGCCATCAGGGGGTGACAACCATAACGGTTGTCACGGGCCTCACATGTGGGGCACATCGGGTGGCCCACACACTTAGGGCCACCCGATGGGCCCTATATCTTAAAAAAAAAAAAAGCTGTGGTCATTTCCTCCCAGCTCACTCTGCGCGGGAGGAGTGCGCGCCGGTGAAAAGGGAGAGCCAGGCAGTGAAGAGGGAGCCGCGCAGACTCCCATCATCCCCAGCCACCCTCCTGCAAAGAAATGGTAAGAGACAGGAGGGTGGCTGCAAAATGAGCTGTGTGTGTGTGTCTGTATGCATGTCTGTCTGTCTGTATGCATGTATGTCTATGTATGTATGTGTATGTATATGTATGTATGTGTATGTATGTCTGTATGTGTAGGTATGTCTCTCTGTATGTATGTATGTATGTCTGTCTGTATGCATGCCTGTATGTATGTCTGTCTGCATGCATGTCTGTCTGTGTATGTCTGTCTGTCTGTCTGTATGTATGTCTATGTATGTCTGTCTGTATGCATGCATGTCTATGTATGTATGTATGTGTATGTATGTATGTCTGTCTATGTCTGTCTGTATGTATGTGTATGCATGTCTGTCTGTATGTCTGTGTGTATGTCTATGTTTGTCTGTCTGACTGTATGCATGCATGTATGTCTATGTATGTCTGTATGTATGTATGCATGCATGTCTATGGATGTCTGTCTGTATGTATGTCTATGTATGTATATATGTATGTCATTATATATGTATGTCTGTATGTCAGTATGAATGTATGTCTGCATTTCATTATGAACGTATGTTTGTTTGTATGTGTGTATGGATGTCTGTATGCATGTATGTCTGTCTGAATGTATGTATGTATGTCTGTATGCGATTATTAATGTATGTCTGTATGCCATTATGAATGTATGTGTGTATGGATGTCAGTATGTCTGTATGTATGTATGAATGTATGTGTGTGTGTATGTATGTATGTCGGTGTCTGTATGTATGTGTCTTTATGTCCTCATGCATGTGTGTCTGTATGTATGTTAGTATGTGTCTGTCTGTCACTATGTATGCCTGTGTGTATGTCTCAGTATGTGTGTGTCAGTATGTATGCCTGTATGCGTGTGTCTGTTTCAGTATGTGTGTCTGTTAGTATGTATCTGTGTCCTTTTGTATCAGTGTGTGTGTTTGTGTCTGTGTGTGTATTCCTGTGGGCGGTATTTGGAGGCGGACCCAGTGGGCGGTATTTGGAGGCAGGCCCCAGGGGGCACAGACCGTGAGCTGAGTTAGGGGCCCCAAAATTTCTGGTGGCGGCCCTGGGGGGAGGGGGGGGTTAATGGTGTGACACACAGGGATGGGGGGTTAATCATGGTGATCCCCTGACTGTCACTCCACAATCCCACATCCTCTGTCACCCCATTAACCCCCCAATCCCCAGTGTGTCACCCGAACCAAAATTTTTCCCCATGCACAACCCTTGTGGATAGAGGCAGCTACTGCTGGAATTAAACCAAAGAACATTTCCAGTTCTTGGAGATCTGTATGCACAAGATGGATACAAATCTGGTGCCTCGCAGGGCTCCCATAGAGACGAGCAAAGAAAGACGAATTGTGAAGTTCTACTCTTAATGTACCTGCGTACATTTTAAATGTGTTTTTAACAGAATGTCTGAAAAAAGGGTAAAGATACACTATGACCTTTGCTATCTTGTTTCTTGTATATCCAGTATGGTTATATTTTGGAATTCAAGATTTTGAGATATTTCTAACCTACAGATTATGGAATTTTTGTTTTTAGTTGATTAGTATTAGATGTGTCTCTATGTATTTGTTCTTGGACAATTTTATATAGCATACTGTATATTTTTTTATGTTATTAGTGTATTTCGCCCCATTGAAATAGGTTGCTTGTAATGAACCAAAAACACGTCAGGCAGCTTTTTTTTGTTTAATGTATGTTGGGACATTCTGCACAGGCACTTGTATAGTTTGTGGTGAGGAAGGTTGTACCAAGTTGCTAGCTTTGTCTCAAGGTGTAAGTCGGTAAAGTTGGTGGTTGGAGAGGTAGTGATGCTGTGGGTAACTCAGCGGCTGGTGGTTCATCTATTATTTGATTGTAGCTAAAGCTCTTTATATGATCCTATATAGGTATAGGATAAACAGGTTTTCTTTGAATACAGTGTCTCCTTCTACTCACGAGCTAATAATACTTTTTATTTTTTTTTATTTATTTTTTTGTAGAATGTTATTCTAGTTATTCACCAAACACAGTTCTTACAAACACATTTTATAACCTGTATCTGAGGGTCAGACTTTTGCTAGTGCACTTCTCATGTTTATTACAATTTTCATATATGATTTTCATATTGATTTTCCCAATCAAATTTACTTTCTAAATTTGTGGATTCCCTTAGGTATGCTTTTGTGTAGTATAGGGTGAAACCCTTGTTGGAGTTATTTAGTAACAATGAGACATCGCAGTTAGGTCTGCAGTTTATATATTTTATTCTCTTTGGTGATATAGACTGTTGGTTTCATTGTGGTTTCTATGAGGTAGTTCTC